AAGTGTGGAAATTTATGGTTGACCATGTCGACGGAAACCTTAAATTTAACATCCAGTGTGGTTGGCGGAATTCTACGACGACCGGGTTGAAAAAGAGGGAATGAAAGGGGGTGGCCGTGGCATAACACGACGAAGCTCATCTGAATAAAATGATAATAAACCGCGTTGTAGAGCTCCTCGTGTTCGTTGAGAGACTTCGCGTTTCGCATCCGAAACGAAATAAGCGAATAGAAGGCGCTCGCATATAGTGCTGTGTGTATATTCTGCATATTCTTTTCTACTTTTATAATAATAATATTATTATTATTATTATTATTATTCAAGTCGTTTAGCAGAAAGAAAAAAATGATGTCTTGAAATTTTTATTAATTTTTTCTCACAAATAATAATCTTTGCCTATTATTTAGTTATTTTGTTTATTTAATAATAGACAAAGACTATTTTTTGATTTTATGTGTTTAATAATAGACAAAGGCTATTTTTTGCCTATTATTTAATTATTATTTTTGAAAAAAAATAGAAAATTGAAGGCAAATATTTTTGAAATATTTTGCTGCCGCAAAAATTAATTCAATCATAATCATAATCATAAAATAGAAATCTTTATTAAAAATCGTTGAATTCCGGTCATCTGTTCGCAGTTTGAAGTTAGTTGATGTTAGCTTTTTTATTTCCAAACTTTTTTAATAACTTTTCTTTTTAAATATTTTCAATTTCAAATTTAATATACCTATTGAAAATCATTGAATTCTTATAACGAATTTTATCAAAAAATTTGAGAATAATTGAATTCCTTCAAAGAATTTTATTATTTTAAAAAATCGAAATTTTAAATTGTTTTGAAGAATTTCTTTGAATTTTTTTTTAAATAATGGAGTTTTTTTTTAATAATTTTAATTGAAAATTTTGAAATTAATTGAATTTTATGAAGAATTTCTTTCAAGTTTTTAAAATAATCGTGTTTCTTAATAATTGAAATTAAACATTTAATTATTTAATTTTATTAAAATTTTTAGAATATAATTAAATTTTTAATTATAATATAATTAATATAAAAAATATAATTATATAAAAATATAATTTGATTTTTGAAATTTATTAAAATTGTATTGAAAATAATTGAATTCCTCAGGAGAATTTTATTATTTATAAAAAATAATTTAATTTTTGACAAGAATTGACAAAGATTTGTTTCAAATTTTTGAAAATAATTGAAATTCTGTAAAGAATTCAATTATTTATGAAAATAATTGAATTCTCGACAAGAATTTATTTCAAATTTTTGAAAATATTTGAAATCCTCCGAAGAATTTTATTATTAATGAAAGTAATTGAAATCTTCCAAAGAATTTTATTCTTTATGAAGATAATTGAATTCTTGAGAAGAATTTTATTAAAATTTTTTAAAATAATTGAAATCCTTTGAAAAATGTTATTATTTATGAAAATAATATTGAATTCTTGCGATGAATTTTATTAAAATTTTTGAAAAATAATATAATTTTAATTCTTTGGAGGAATTTAATGAAGATTGTATTGAAAAATAATTGAATTTTTAGGAAGAATTTTATTAAAAATTTTAGAAAATAATTGAATTCTTTTGGAAAATTTTATAAATTAAGAAAAAAATTTTATTCTTTCGTGAAATTTTATTGATAATAATTGAATTTTTGCCAAATATATTTTACTATTTATAAAAATAATTGAATTCTTCCAAAGAATGTTATTATTTATGAAAATAATTGAATTCTTACGAAGAATTATATTAAAATTTTTGAAAATGTAAACAATATATTTATTAATTATGTACTTAATAAGTGGATTCTTTAAATTTTGATTATGAAATTATTTAAAAATTTATATTTGAAATTATTCCAATTTTCAACGAATTTTAGTTTTTCACTATTAGAGATTTTTCTATTTTGAAAACTTTCTGGGAAAAAATCCTTCTTATTTCAAAGAAAATTCGAAGCACTTTTCAGAAGGGATTCTTTTGGAATTCTTACCAGATTTCTGGAAAAGTTGAACAATTTTCCAGGAACTGAGAAATATTCTTTCAAAATAGTTTTTTTTTTGACATTTTTCTTCTTTTTGGATTATCTTTACATTTTTCAATTATTTTTTTACCTTTAATATAGATAAAAAAATAAATGAATACCTATAAAGTAAATAAATGAAAAGTAAACGAATGAAAAAAAAATATTATTGAAAACTTTTTGAATGAAAGTAAAAAATAAAAAGTAAATATTATTGAAAAATCCTCAAATAAAAAATAAAAATAGAATGTAAATAAATAAAATTAAAGATAAATGAATAAAAAATAAATAAATAGAAAATAAAATAAAAAAAAATCAACAATTTTGAAAATTGGAGCTAATTCGATTAACTTGTTAGTTTACTTAAAAAAATTGACAATTTAAGAACTTAATTCTATTATTATCAATCGTGAAAATAATTATTGTACAACATTTTTTTTTTAAGACAACTGTTTATTAATCTACTTGCGGTGGTAAACCTTATTTTGCTTGTTACATATCTCTACAAACGTACAATTACAATCTAAATTGCTAACAAAACAATTTCAGAATTTTTTTTTTCTATCACAGGCAACATTTCCTGAATGAAATCAAAATAGGGTATTAAAAATACATCTGCATTTTTTTTTCTCATATATATTATTAATTAACTATAAAAAAATATAATTCAGTGTTGGATTTAGAAAAACTTAGTGATTTCTATTTTTGAATTATTATTATATGGTACACATTTTTTTTCATTATACATGTATACGTATATAGATAAATTTTACAGTAAAATATTATCAATTTCCTCAAGTGCCACAGGGATCAAAAATAAATTAGTCGGAGTAAAGAATTTTTAAATTCTGCCTAAATTTGCAAATCATTGAATTTTTCATATTTATTAAAAAACTAAAAAAAAGAACTAAAGGAATTAAAAAAAATAAAAAATTTATAATAATAATTTTTACTTAATAGTAATATTTTCTTATAAATGAGTAAATAATTATTACATAAATAACTTAAATAAATTTTTTTAATAAATAAATATATAGTTGTCTTTTTTTTAAATAGAGAAAATGTTTTCTTGGAAAATAATTTTCTTACCTATTTGTAAAATGTTTAAACTCAATATTTTTCTGAAAACTTCAAGAAATTTGCAAATTTAGTAACAGAATTAAAAATAAAAATTATATTTAAAAAAATAAACTAAAATTAATACTTTTGTTCAGTAAACTATCTTATTCTTGGAAATTTAAAAATTTTTTCAAGAAAAGTATTTTCTTTTTTATTTTTTTTCTCTTTTTTTTGTTTCCTTTTCTTTTTTTTTTTTTTGCTTTGTTTTGGAAATTATTTAGAATTCTTTGGATAGCGTCAAATATAGCGTCTTAATTATATTTCTTAAAGCTTAAATGCTTTTTTTTTTTTTTTTTTTTTTTAAAGTGGAGATAAAATCACATATTTTTTGTCAAATTCAGTTATGATATATAAGTAAAAAAAGCTTTCTTAATTTCTAGTCTTTTGTCACTACAAAAAACATCGATTCAACTATTTTTTTTTAATCATTTTTTTCAGTATATAACTAAATTTAATACAAAAAAGAGTGAATTATTTCACTTATAAACATTTCAATGTTTCAATATTTATATATATTATTATATAGATACATATTCTTATAAAGCAAAAACGTTCATATTCAGTAAACAAATTATTTTTTTTTAAATTGACTAATTTACTCAACATTTTTTTTTTTTAGAATTTGAGTAATTAAATAAACTACTACATAGCACTTCTGTGAACAATATAAGAATGTTTTTATATTAGAAATAGCAGCCTTTAAAATCTTTTAAATTTTTTTTGAAAAAATTTGATTTTTCTTGTGAAGATATTTTCTTTTTTAATGCGAGTTTTAAAAATCGAAATACTTTCGTCGATTAATGAACGCGTGATTTTTTTTTTGTGAAAATATGGCTTTAGAATTATTTTTGCCATAAACTTATAATTTAGTAAAATCTAGTTTCTATATTAAATCGTATATACAGATTATAATTTTTTATACATAACATTATTTCAGGTCATTGTGATGAAACTCGATGTATAGAGCAAAATGAATAATTTGGTATTTTAGTGAATTAATATAATAGGCATTTTAACGTTAATTTGCACCTTTTCTTTTTGTATTGCATTTAGTGTTTCGTTTAAATAAATTTTAAACGAAAATTTGTGTTTTCGTTTGAATTTTTAAATAATTCACGAAAAAAATACCTTTGCACCTTTGAATCTAGAGTTCGACTTTTGAAATTTGACTAATTAATTGATAATTAGTTTCGAATTATTAATTAATTAGTCTATATTATGATTTCTGGTAAATAAAAGAAAAATTAATAAAGTAGAAAAGAAATGAGAAAGTAATCAAAATTTTAAGAATTGGTGATGGATTTTTCTGTTTGAAATTTTAAATAGTATTTTTTTTTGCTTTCGCTTCGAAATTGTATTTTTTTTTTGTTAAAAGATTTTTGTTTTCGTTTCTCGATTAACAAAAAACTGTTTTCGATTAACAGTTTCTTTTCTCCGTTCGCTTCGAAAATATCCTTTAGAACTCTAGACACATCTAATCATTTCTTTTTCGAATATTTACAGTAGTTTTTACATGATAATGAATCATTGAAATATTTTACAAATCTATTCTAAATTCGTTAAGGAAGCACGTAACTCCTTTATACTATGTAATAATTATTATCATCAAAACTTTTCAAGTTACACTCAGTCTCGTTGCACGTTTTTTTTTTCATTGAGAAAAAACTCGGGGTTGAGAATTTAAAAAATTTCTCAAATTTTTCTCTTTTCCATAATAGTTAACGATTACTTTTTTTGAAAAATCCAAAATCTGGATGGAATGCTTTTAGTGGAAGCGTACTATACAATTATAATAGTACCTGGAATTGTTTCTGGGAATGTAACAATTTCAGTTCAAAAAATCCCACTCAGACTTTTTCTTCAAAAATTAAGAGACATCTCATCTTAGATGTCAAAAGAAAAGTTCCTTTTTGAGATTCAAATAAATATCGATGTTTCATTAATGAATTTACAAAAATCGCATGTTTTTTTATATGCGAGATATTTTTTTTTTGCTTGTAAATATTAAATTTACAAACGAGATTCGATGTAATACTGACCATTGAAGAATTTCTGATTATGTACAAATTGTTCGATAGAAAAGGAGATTTCTATTCGATAAGAGTATAGAACCTTGAAAAGAAAAGAAATTAAATCTAAAACTAGGTACAAATATCAAAGGGCAAGTCTTCTTTTTTTTTTACAAAGCGGTGCTCTCGATTGGAGATGTACACCTACTGTGGGAATGACATAATTCTGGAATTTCACTCTCGTCTCGAAGTTTATCTAAATCGAGTTCAGAGAAGAAATCGCTTTTCATTGTACCCACCGCACTATCCAAATAGCTGTCCTTCCTTTGAACCTCATAGGAATTTGATGGATTGCGCAATTTATTATCGACAGCTTTTAATTTAGTTTCGAGAATATTTTTCAAATCATTCTCGTCCGTGGTGGATAGATTTTCGATTTTTGGTGGGAATTTTTGACGTGAGAGTGGGGATTTTGATTCTTCGGTTTTCTCACAATTGTCTATTGATTCATCTCTTGTGAAGGCATTTTTTGTTGTTTCTTTCGTTGGGGATATTTTTGTTCTCCTCAAGTAACAACCGGTTGATTTTGAATTCACTGTCTCGTCCGTGGTTGTGGTTCCTTTTCGAGAATCATTTTCTTTTGAATTTGAATTATTGCGACGACAAGATTTATTTTCCTTCTCGGAAGGTGTTATTGATTTGCTTATTTGACGCAAATAGGTACCAACGATATTTGTTGAATTTGGTGTTTTGAATTTAATTTTCTCCTGGGAATTATTAACTTTGTACTTGTTTTCATGTCCGGTTTTTGGAAAATTTGATTCTGTTCCCGGTTCAATGTACTTTGTTTCTGTCTTTTCCTCGTCTCGGCTATTTTGTAGGGTGCGTAAATTTTCTTTGGTAACTTCGGTAGAATTTTTCTCTTTTGATTTATTGTGTGTTCTTAGATATCTACCACTGAATCCACTGATATCGGGAGAGACGAGAACAGTTTCTTTCTTTTCGGAGGAGTATTTTCTGCCTCGATGTCGTCCGCTCTCTTGACTATTTTGCCTCGAGTAGCGAACAGTGTCGACTTCTTCGGATGCACCACGTTCTGGGGATATTTCCCGTTCTAGAGTGCTGTCATTGCAGCCTCCTCGTTTTCGCTCTTGATGCACTTGTCCTTCGTTGATGGGTTTCAGTTGAGGTGCTAGAGTCTCGGGTGTTGTCGATTCACTGCTACTTGGACTTGGTCCCATGTAATGACGAATATCAAATTCGAGATCAGACGGTAGACTTGCACCGACAGATAAGTGCATTGCTAGACCCTCTAGCCAAACTTCCATAATTTCGAAAGGCGGTCTCTTATCGGGATTTAAATCACAGCAGAGAAAAGCTATTGTGTAAAATGTTTCGGGACAATTGGCGCAAAATTTCTCCTTGAAAACGTGTTTATTGAGTCCGAAATCGGATGATCTTGGTAAATAATCGGGATCCGCTTGAACTCGGCCAATAATTTCGCAGACGACAATTCCAAAACTGAAAATGTCAACCTTCTCGTCGTATTTATTGCCTTTCATCATTTCCGGTGCCATCCAGTAGGGATTTCCCACAACTGTGTAACGTTTTTTGCGCTCCTTTTTCGAGCATCTCGCCTCGCCCCCATCGGAATGTCGACTGTACTTTCTTTTGTCCAAGGCACTGCCATTTTGCATTATTCTAGCGAGTCCAAAATCCGCGACGACAACTGTTTTGTCCTCGCGAACGAGACAATTGTGAGAATTTAAATCACGATGAATAATATTCATTGAATGGAGATAGGCCATGCCGGCTGCAATATCTTTTGCAAAAGAAGTCCTTTGCTCCCAGGGTAGGGGTTTGTTACTGTCGTGAAGTAATTCACGTAGAGTGCCACCTGCTATGAATTCCGTGACGAGATGAAGTTTTTTGTCCTTGTAGAGGACACCGATAAAGCGTAGAACATTATTGTGATGTAGGGACCGAAGTACTGCGACCTGGAAATTAAATTAAAATTTCAATCAAAATTCTAAAAAAAAAAAATACTATTAGATTCAAGATACTATTAGATTCTTCAAAAAATGATTTTTCACCTCTTTCAAAAAATTCTTTTGTGCTTCTTCATCAACTCTGTATAATTCTTTGAGCACCATAATTTCCTTTGTGTCTCGATGAGTGACCTTATACACTTGTCCGAAGAATCCTTTTCCCAAAAGTTCGCCCTTCACCAAATCGCTGGCTCGAAAAATCCTCTGATTCTTCGGTTCAACTCGAAATGATCTCGTTCGACTTAGATCGCAGGTCGGATTTGGCGAAGTTCTAAAATAATTATTGAATTATTAATTATTAAATTATTTATTTGAATTATTACTTCCTCATAGAGGAAGTATTGTAATACCAAAATTTTTCGAGTTTTAATTATTTAATTAACTAGCAAATAATATTCGCGTCAGCGCGCGGAACGCAGTATTTTATTTATTATTATTTTGTAAATTAAAAAAGTTTATATTTTCAAGACTAAACATCAATTTTTGAAATGATTACAGTTTTAAAATTTAAAGAATTCACTTATTAAGTACATAATATTAAATATTCTTGTTTTTTATTATTATTATTCTAAAATTTTAATACAATTTTTCGCAAGAATTTCATTGTTATTCTCATAAATAATAATATTTTTTAAAGCAATTCAATTATTTTTAAAAATATCAATTAAATTCGATTATTTTCAAGAATTTTAATATAAATTCAATTATTATCAACAATTTTGATGAAATTCTTTAAAAAAAACATTATTTTCAAAACTTTTAATAAAATTTCTTTAAGAAATTTAATTATTTTCAAAAATTTAGTTAAAATTCTTCGAAATAATTCAATTATTTTTAAGAATTGTAATATCCTCCGCAAGAATTCAAATATTTTCATAAATAAGAAAATTCTTCAAAGGAATTTAATTATTTTCATAAATAATTAAATGTTTCGGAGGAATTCAATTATTTTCAATACAATTTTAATAAAATTTCTTTAACAGGTTCAATTATTTTTAAAAATTCTTCTACATAATTTAATTGTTCTAAAAAGTTTTTAATAAAATTCTTTGTAAACTTTAAATTATTTTCAAACTTTTCAATTAAAATTATTTAAAAAAGTTTCATTAATTTTACAAAATTTAATGAAATTTTTCGAAATAATACAATTATTTTTAAAAATAATATTATTTAATTTCAATTATTTTCAAGATTTATTATAAAAATTCAATTATTTTCACCAATTCTTATAAAATTCTTCGAAACAATTCAATTATTTTTATAAATTGTAAAATTCTTGGCAAAAATTCAATTATTTTTATAAATAAAAAAATTCTTCGCAAGAATTAAAATATTTTCATAAATAAGAAAATTCTTCAAAGGAATTTAATTATTTTCATAAATAATTAAATGTTTCGGAGGAATTCAATTATTTTCAATACAATTTTAATAAAATTTCTAGAAAGAATACAATTATTTTTAAAAATATTATTTTTATTCAATTATTTTTAAGAATTTTAATAAAAATTCAATTATTTTTATAAATTGTAAAATTCTTCTCAAGAATTCAATTATTTTTGTAAATAATAAAATTTTTCTGAGAAATTCAATTATTTTCAATACAATTTTAATAATATTCTCTCGAAAGAATTCAATTATTGAAAAAAATGTTGATGAAATTCTTGAAATGAATTCAATTATTTTCAAATTTTTTGATAAATACTTTGCAAGAATTCAATTATTTTCAGTACATTAATTTTAAAATTGAAAACATTTAAAAAGGAGAATTATTTAAAAAGTTAGGAAACAAAAAAGCAAACAGTAACTAACTTGAAACTGCGAACAGATTACCGGAATACAACGATTATTAATGTAGATTATTATTTTTAAGTAATTAATTCCAAATCTGTTAAAATATTTAAAAAATTATTTTTTCAACTAAAAATCTCACCCGTCCAATAATCTTGACATCGAACTGCTTCTTTCCTTATGTGGATCCTTTGTTCTTCTTAATTGTCTGCTTCTTGTTCCGCTAATGTATCCTTCGTCTCTTCTTTTAAAAATTCGCTCTTTATTATCGGGACTTGTTTTTGACATTACTGTGGACGGAATATTTGAGAAAATAGGCCTACGTGAAACTGCATCCGGATCGTGTTCTATTGTTAACTGTAGAAAAATAATATTATTACTATATTTATTTTCCAATTTCTAATCTTATTGCTAATAAACAATTCTTTTCAATAAATATTTATATTTTTCTATGACTAGCAAAGAAAAAAAATACCTGTAAAACTGAGTCTGAATATCGAATTAGATTCTCGATACTTTCAATGGGTTGATCTTTGACAGGTGTTCCATTGACTTCTAAAATTCGATCTCCAATGTGTAAAGACATGAGATCGTTAGACATGTTAAGCCTGTAAATTAAATTCCACGAGTTAATTAAATATTCATTTAACATTCTGATAACATATACAAACATCAATTACGACATTAATTATCCACTTGTGAAAGGTCATAATAAATTAATTTTTACACCAAATGTATTCTTTTTTGAAGGAATACTTATATTTTGTCTTGATTTTTTAAATAATTCCTTTCCACTGGAAATTAATATCGCAAATTCTTCCCTAAAGGACAATAAAACAAATTCTACATGCAGTTTTTAAAGTGCAGGTGCATTTTTCAAAAAAAAAATAATCCACTGAAAATTCCTTTCTGAAAATCAATTCACTGAAAACAATAATTGTATAATTAAGTCTGTGATAAAATATTTGATGCAAAAGTACTAAAATAATGATTATTAGTATTTTTTAGCTTATTTTCATTCATCGAAATGTTTCTTTTCTAATTGGCAAAATGAAATTAATAAATTGCGATATAAACGTGCAAATTTAATTTTACCGCAAAATTTCTAATTAAATTGTTATTTTTCTTGATATTTACAAAGATTTTGAAAACAAATTATCTAAAAAATTAGAAATTACTAAATAACACAAAATAATTATTAACTATTTGATAAAACTAAAATTAGTGGGATGTAGGAAAATATTTCTAGTGTTTCAAAGTCAATTATAACAACACAACTACAATTTCATGCAGGTGATAAAAAAATATTAAAACCATCACAATCTGGAATTTATGGTATTAGTCTAAATGATTTTCTAACTAGACACAGGACTAGAGAAGCACATTATTTACTGTTATAAAGTACCTATGATTAGAGAAGTGGCAGCAAACTCTAAAGAAAACCTCCATGATAGAGGCCACCAGCTTACAGATCTTTCCACGAACATTTTTCAATAACCTGTATTTTATTGCAGATTTATTATTAAAGGCTCAGCATAATTAATAACCCACGAAATTAACTACTTAAATTAATTCAACTTTCTCAGAGAATTTCTTTTTTATTTTTAAATTTTCAAAAATTACGTTTCTAAATTTTAAATGAATCATTTATCTGTTAAAATAATTATTATTAGTCAAGCATTAATTCCTTGTTGAAATATTTCTGCAGGGCTGCAGGGCTAAATTATCAAATGAAGAACTAAAACTTATTTTACTTATTTATTAAACTAATTTTTTTTTATTAAATTTTGTATTCTTTTGGAATTGAGTGATTAAATTCTTTCGAAATTCACTTACTCGGATATGCGGAGTAAACCACCGCCACAGCTACGGGGACTTGGTGTCGTATCCAAAGTTAATCTAATACCTCTTTGTTTTTCAGAGTCACCAGTGTTTGGAGGGATTTCTACCAGTCGAATACTGTGAGGTTTCCTTGAGAAAGGCTGATTGGCAGTTCTATTCAGTGGTTGCATTTGTCGTTTGTAACAAACGCCGCAATAAAGATTTGATCTTTCAACGAGGGCATAACTCTCACCATCGCCGATGAATGCACCACATGAGGTGCAGGCAAAACATTCTGGATGAAATTTGTGATCTCCTGCCAACATGACAGGGCCTGTGATGATTTGTCCACATACTTGACATGCCTCTCCGTACGCTGCCCAGTAATCGTCTTTACAGAAAAGTAAGCCATCTTTCTCAAAGTACCACGACGATAAGCCAATATCACACGCTGAGCATCTGGTGAGTAACAATATTTATTATTAATCACATTACAATATTTATTCAAAATAATTATTTATTAAGCAAATTAAACGAATTTTTTAACTTCAAACATCAATTTTCATTTTGGAATAATTTCGGATTCAAAATTTAGAAAAATTCAATTCTTAACTAATTTACTAATTTATTATTATTATTTAATGTTTTAGAATAATTTTATAAAATTCTTAGCAGGAATTCAATTATTTTCAATACAATTTTAATAAAATTTCTCAAAAGAATTAAATTATTTTCGAAAATTTTGTTAAAATTCTTAGTAAGATTTTAATTATTTTGGAAAATTTTGAATAAATGTGGACGTCCACATGAAAAGGGCCCATTTTGGCACTATTGGAGTTATCTATATGGGCGTAATCCTGGCAAAATTTGGAGAATTTTGAGTGGTCTTAGAACTTTTTTGGTTGAAAATTCGCTGAGTTACGGAATTTCAAAGTTTAGAACGCCAAAAACCTCATTTCGAGAAAAACGGAATTAAAGATTGCGATACCAACTAATTGTTGTATCTCTGGTTCTTCTTGGAAGTTATTCAGATAAGAATTGTTTCTAGTTCAGGGCACCTTGAAGATAAAAAACCAACAGGTTTTAAATTTTTAGAACCACCCCCTCCCCTTAATTAATTAATTAATTTAAAAACCGACAATATGGGCCCTTTTCTAAAAAGGACAGTTTTTCTATTAAAAAACCATTTTTTTACAAGATAAATGATTAGGTACAATTTTATTGTGTCATTTGAAGAAAAAGAATAGATATTAAACTTATTTAAAAATTTTTGACAGTCTCTATTATGAAAAAATTGACGCAATATTAAAATTTTCATTTCGACAATTACGAAAAAAAGATTCTAACATCAATATCTCTGGTTCTTCTGGAAAGTTATTCAGATAAGAATTGTTTACAGTCCAGGGTACCTAAAAGATGAAAAACCAATAAGTTTTAAATTTTTAAAACCTTCCCCCCTCTTAATTTTGAAAAATTTCGTACTTAAGTACGAGAAACCGACAATATGGGCCCTTTTCTAAAAAGGACAGTTTTTCTATTAAAAAACCATTTTTTTACAGGATTAATGATTAGGTACAATTTTATTGTGTCATTTGAAGAAAAAGAGTAGATATTAAACTTATTTAAATTTTTTTAACAGTCTCTATTACGAAAAATTTCACGAAATATCGAATTTTTCATTTCTATGACTACAAAAACAAGGACTCTAACATCAATATCTCTGGTTCTTCTGAGAAGTTATTCAGATAAGAATTGTTTACAGTCCAGGACACCTTAGAGATGAAAAATCAAGAGGTTTTAAATTTTTCTATACCTCCATTTTTAAAATACGGATTACTTTTGCAAATGACCGACAAAATGGGCCCTTTTCATTTTTCTAAAGAACCAATGAAATCAAACAGTTAAAGTATCGATAAATTAATGAAAACCGCATGATTCGACTTGTCAAAACATGTAGATTGATAATAAAAAATAAAAAAAAAATTAAGAATTTGCTCAAAAATTACTAAATTGCGATTATCTCGAAAACTAGAACCGACAATATGGGCCCTTTTCATGTGGACGTCCACAAATTCTTTATGATAATTAAAATATTTTCAATACAATTTTAATTAAATTCCTCGAAAAAAATTCAAGTATTTTCAAAATTTTCATTAAATTCTTCACAAGAATTCAACTATTTTCCTAAATAATAATATTCTTTGCAAGAATTCAATTATTTTCCTAAATAATAATAGTCTTTGCAAAAATTCAATTATTTTAATAAATTTAAATGAATTTCTTCGAAATAATTTATTTATTTTTAAAAATGTTGATAAAATTCATTGCAAGAATTCAATTATTTTTATAAATATACTTTTCAGTTCAATTTTAACAAAAATTTCTCTAAAGAATTCAATTACATTTTTCAAAATTGTAATAAAATTTGTTGAAGAAAGTCAATTATTTTCACAAATTTAAATAAAATTCTTCGAAAAAATCAAATTATTTCCAAAAATTTTAATAAAATTCTTTGAAAGAATTAAATTATTTTCAAAAATTTAAATAAAATTCTTCGAAAGAATTAAATTATTTTCAAAAATTTTGACAAAATTCTTTATAAGAATTTAATTATATTTTCAATACAATTCTAATTGAATTTTCAAATGAATTAAATTACTTTTGCATATTTTAATAAAATTCCTTCTTTTGAAAAATATTTCTAAAATATTTCTACAAAACTTATTCTCTGAATAAGCAAATAATAAATCAGAATTTATTTAAATTTGAATGATTAATAATTTACATTTTAAAAATGTAGAAAATATTCTTGTAATTTTAAAACAATTATTCGCAAAAAATTTAATTTGAAAAATTTCAATAAAATTCTTTGCAAGATAAAAATTTAATTAAATACTTTGAAGAAATTCAATTCTTTTCCCGAATTATAAAATTCTTTGCAGAAGTTCAATTATTTAAAAAATTGTTATTAAATGCTTAATGAGTATCGAAATATTTTTAATACAATTTTATTAAATTCATGGAAAAAATTCAATTATTTTCGAAAATTGTAATAAAATTTTTTGCAAGAATTCAATTATATTTCTAAATAATAAAATTCTTCGCAGAAATTCAATTATTTTTAAAAATGTTGGTAAATTTCTTTATAAGAATTCAATTATTTCTTATTCAAAATTGTAGAAAAGAAATATTTTTAATTTAAATCAGTTTGGTTTAATTAAATTTTGTAATTTTTTAATCTTCAAAGCATTAAATTAGAATTTCATTAATTTAAAAATTTTAAACATTTAAAAGAAAAATTATTAAAAAAAATTAGGACACAAAAAGCAAACGAAAACAATTAACTTCAAACTGCGAACAGATTTCGGAAATACAATGATTATTAGTATAGATTTTTAATTATTAGGGAAATTAATATATTACCTGAAGCAATCAATATGCCATTCTTGATTAAGTGCTTGAACAAATTCATCGTCGTCAATTGCATTTAGACAACCGGCACAAGTTAGACCTCCAGGATCTAGAAAAAATAATTTACTCATTATCTTGTATTTTCCCAAGTATTAATTATTCACAAATGGAAAATTGATATTTAAAAAATTAATTATTGCAAAGAATGAAAATTAACAGATCTGAAAACAAAAATTATTTAGTGACAGTTCTATTCTAAAATTTTAGCAATTTAGTTTCTATTCTTTCAAAAATTCGTCATTTAATGTTTTTAATTACAAATTTAATTGAATTAATTAATTGAATTGAATTTAATTGAATTGGCGTTATTTAATTATTTAGAAAAGTCGTATAAATGTGACATAAAAACGGTTTAGAATCAATGAAAAGTATATAATTTATATATTACACAATGAGAGTTGCTTATTATCAATATATGTCAATAAATTACGCAGTCACAAAGAAACTTTCAAAAATAACAAAAACTCATGTGTGTGATATTTAAAAAATGCAATGTAAATTAAGAATAAAAAAAAGTAAAAGGAAACAAAACAGAATTCGATGGATAGGTAGAAACAACATCTTAGAAGGACAGGACGCCCACATGTTAAAAGCAAGTTTCTTGTATACTTTCAAGACCCCCATGACATTTTGTCTCCGAGGACAATATTATATTTTGTCTTTCTTGGAAAATTTAAAGAAGCTTATTGTATTTTTCTTTTTCAATTTTCAAAACCATAGAGACCAAATTTCCTTTTACTATTTAAAAGCATTTTTCTATAGATAAATAGTAAATTAACCTACCATTTATTGAAACTTCATCCATCACAGCATCTACGTGCAAGCAATTTTTTTCACTTTCACGACAGCTTACACAAAACAATCACTAGCGAGAAGAGAACATTTTTCTTTTGATAATCAAAGTGTCAAAATTGTTTTTTTATTATTGGAGCAATACAGCGTCCACATTTCTTGTTGTTAATTGTTATTCGTTTTTTTTATCGCTTGGAATGATGTCACCATCATCGATGTCAAATTATTTACTTGGTTGTGCTCGGAGCAGACTCGTCAGTGATACCAATCGATTTCCTCCGAGGTTTCTTAGCTGTCAGAAAATTATTTCATTTCTTAGGAAAATAATTATAACATTCGAGTTTAATATGCAAGTCGAGTTTCTTAAAAGAGTGACTAGAATCGATATTGAGGGGGATTTTATTATAATTTCTTGTCATTTTTTAAAATTTTTAAATAACGGAGCTGATGTTCAAACTTTAGAGTTGGTACTGTTGATATCCTGAAGAATCACCAGGGGCGTAACTAGGAAATATTTTCTAAGACGTAATAGGTACATATTATACAAAAATTTTGTGATTCTATTATCAATTGCAATTTTTAAATTCGTAATAATAGTTTGTAACAATATTTCACTAGTATTAATTTTATGTTAGTGAAACAATTTATTTTTTATAATCCATTTTTTTATCGATAGAAATATTGTGACAAGTTTTGTTGGTACGTTCCTGGCGAAATATGCCAAATGTCAAATTAGTTTTTGCTCGTTTGCCATTTGATTTTTAAGGTTTTAAAATAAAAACAACTAAAATTGAAATAAATTATTTTTTATTAATAACTCGTTCATTAACATGGTAATTCTTTAAAAAATCGAATATTAAAAATATATTTATAATTTTTTATATTATTGTACAGAATTTTATACAGAACAATTATTAGTTGAAACTAGCAAATGATACGCGCGCCAGCGCGCAAAACGAGGTATTCCATTTATTATTATTATTTTTTAAATTAAAAACTTTTATATTTTCAAGAATAAACATCAATTTTCTTGAAAGGAATTTAATTATTTTCAATACAATTTTTTTCAAGAATAAACATCAATTTTCTTCAAAGGAATTCAATTATTTTATTATAAATAATAAAATGTTTCCGAGGAATTCAATTATTTTCAATGCAATTTTAATAAAATTTCTCGAAATACAATTATTTTCAAAAATATTATTTAAATTCAATTTTCAAGATTTTTAATAAAAATTCAATTATTTTCAACAATTCTGATAAAAAATTCTTCCAAACAATTCAATATTATTTTTATAAATTGTGTAAAAGTAACTCATCACAGGGTTTCAATTATTTTCAATACAATTTTAATAAAATTTCTAGGAAAAAATTCCATTATATACAAGATAATTTTAATAAAATTTCTCTAACAGGTACAATTATTTTTAAAAATTGTAATAAAAAATTGCTAAACAATTCAATTGTTCTTAAAAGTTTTTAATAAAATTCTTTGTAAATTTCAAGTATTTTCAAAATTTTCAATTAAAATTATTTCAAAAAAATTCATTATTTATACGAAATTTAATGAATATTCTTTAAAAAAATGTAATTATTTCCAAAAACTCTTATAAAATTGTTTAAAAGAATTTAATTTTCTATGAGTAATTTTAATATATTTTAATATTTCAATTTTTTTTTATAAATACTTTCCAAGAATTCAATGATTTTTAGTTCATCGACAATTTAATTATTTCTGAAAAGAATTGAATTCTTGAATAGAATTTTATTAAAACTTTTTTAAATAATTGAATCCCTGCCAAAAAATTTATTATTTCTACAAATAATTGAATTTTTGGAAAATTTTAAAAAATATGTGAATTTTTGAGAAGAATTTTATTAAAATTGTATTTAAAATAATTGAATTCATGTAAAAAATTTACTATTTATTGATATTATTGAATTCTTTCGAAGAATTTAAAAATATTTAAAAATAATGTTTAAAAATAATTTAATTTTTCCTATTTATAAATTGACTTTTTGCAAAGAATTTTATTACAATTATTGACAATAATTAAATTCTTGATAAAATTCAATTACTTTCAAAATTTTCAGTTAAAATTATCAAAAACTCCATTATTTTTAAGAATATTGAAAGTAAATTCTTAAAAACAATTCAATTATTTTAAAGAATTTAAAAAAAAAGTTCTAATTACATTTTCTCGAAAGAATTCAATTATTGGAGAGATTGTCGATAAAATTCTTGAAATTAATAAATTCAATTATTTTCAAATTTTTTTTAGAAATACTTTACAAGAATTCAATGATTTTAAGTAAATTAATTAAAAAATTTTAAACATTTAAAAGAAAAATTATTTAAAAAGTTAGGAACCAAAAAAGTAAACAGCAACTAAAACTTCAAACTGCGAACAGATTATCGGAATAACAACGATTATTAATTATAAATTTTTAACTCTTCTCATTTTCTTCGAATTTTGCTCTTAAATATTTAAGACCTGCCTCAATGCTATTCGAATCGATAGGTGGAATTTTCGTTTTGGAATTAGTAAGAAAAGAATTGGAAGTCGATTCCTTGGGCGAAGGAGGTAAGGGAATTGTTGACAGGGGAGGATTTGGTGGTAATGGAATAAATGCTGGCATTGGACCAATTATTTCGGAATCATCACTGTCCTCATCTTGATGTTCACTGACTAATGGCACAGGTGGAATTTCGGTAGAATTTTGAGAACGCTGAGAATTCTGCCTATAAATGTCACTATTATTTTTCGTAACGAGAACTCCTGCTCTTTTGAAATTATCATAATTTGGTGCGAATTCATTTATTCTGTCCCTTCTTCTCTTATGAACCCATTCTTCTTGAGACATTTCCCTCCAGGGGGGACGTTTTCCTAAAAGTTCACCAAAAGCCTTCACTTTGTCCTCAATAATCGCTAAACTGTTCACTTCACTAGATTCTTTTTTATTTTCACCAATATTTTTGTCTTTACTTTCCGAAGAATTTCCTGTCTCGACAGGATTTAAATTATCAACGTCTGAATTTTTTACACTTTTATTATCCTCCTCTTCTGGTAATTCCGGTGGTAGACCTGCTCGAATTCGTTGTCGAATTCTAGCCACTTTTAGACGATTTTGTTCCATTTTTTGCCTCATCTCTTTTAAATTTTGCATTTCCTGTTGCTTCTGCTCCGTTTCCTTGCGTAATTTCTCGAGATTCTGCTGTTGCTTGGCTCTTTGCTCTTCATCGATGGAAAAATTGTAATAACCAACACCGTGAGTACGAGCTTCGTCGAATAATACATCTTGATAGTAGATATTGTCCTTATTCGTGAGTCTATTTGTCTGCTCTTCCCATTTTTTCCTCATTATTTCAATTTCCGGTTCTAGTTGCGGAGCTTCTGGTTGAATTTCAACTTCCGGTGGTGGTTTTTCCACGATAGGTTCCTTGGAAATTTGTTGTTTTAAAAGATTGTCCTTGTCCTGCATTTTTGGTAGATCTTCTCGCAAACACTTTCTTGTTCGGCCAAAACAATCTTTGTATTCAACAAAATTATCGTCTGAATCGTAATTTTGTTCTGGAAATTCGTCTTCTTTGTCCTCGTCAATTTCACTTTCTTTTTTTTCATATTTACTTCTTTTTCTAAATTCTTCTTCATCTGAATTTTCTGATTCAGTTTCTGATTTATTGCCAAAGTCAACAAGATAAAGATCGTTTTTATTTCGGGGAGAATTTTTTAATTTATCGTACAATTTTGATTTTGCCTCCAACATCAATTTTGACTTTTTGAGTAAATTAATGTCTTCTATTTCGATTATTTTAGGTGTTTTTTCCTTTTCCTTGGGAATTTTTATCTCTTTTACCTTTGGTTTATGTTTTGGAACATTTTGCGTTGGGGTTTTATTTTTTAATTCCTGTGCTTCTAGACGTTTGCGTAAAAGTTCTGCTTTTAGACCAACAATCGACGAATAGTCTGCAGTTATTTTACTCGGTCCGTTCATTATTTATTTTTCTTAATTTCCTTTAAAAGAATTTTGTTTTTGACACTTGAAAATAGACAAATTTTTGATGTTTGACGTTTTGATTTTTAGGTTATGTTCACTAGCAGACGGCCAAGTGACTAAAGCCTGATTCACAAGTTTTTTCTCCCTGTCCGAGAGAGTAATTTATTTAAAAGAAATCGATTTTTTTCTTTTGTTTAAAAAACTATTTTAGTAGATACCTTATTTTTTCCTAATTCTTCAAACTTTAAGTATTTAAATAACTTTTAACATGTTTTTTTTAAATAAAATTTTGTAGTTGTAGTTCAACGCTCTTGTCAGTAGAGGGCACGAATTTTTTTTCATCAGTTTCGCGTCTATGTTGCATTCTCATCGTCGTTCTTTGCGAAAAGGTTAGCTGTTTGCATATTGTTGAAAAACGTGGCTTTAAATAACTGTCATTAGAGTAAAATAGCAAATTTAATTTATTGTGCAAAAAAAGTTAAAATAAATTCAGCAAACATGGCAACAAGAGGCCAATCCCGGAGAATACCCGAATCGGAACCACGAATTGATTATGTACAGTGCCATGGATTAGTGATTATGAAAATGGTGAAGCATTGTCATGAAGAATCACTGAGCAACATGGATGTTTCTCAGGGTGCTCTTCTGGGTCTTGTTGTACAAAACCGACTTGAAATCACTAACTGCTTCCCTTTTCCAAAGAGCGAAGATCTCATGGATGAGGAGGAATACCAACTTAGTATGATGAGAAGACTAAGAAGGTTAATCATTATTCCCTTTAAATTGTTGATAAATTAACAAGAATTGTTCATTAATGAATTCTCATGAATTGAAATAAATATTTATTAATAAATTATCATTAATTACTATTACTTAATTGTTTATACTAAATATAAATACTAAATTGTTTCGAATAGTAACTTTAGTAAATAAATAAAAATTGAAATATTAATTAAGCAAATTATTAATTTTCAGAGTCAACGTTGATCATTTCCATGTCGGATGGTACCAAAGCGCAGATGTCGGCAATTTTCTAAACATGTCCCTGTTGGAATCACAGTATCATTATCAGACTTCAATCGAGGAATCCGTGGTTGTTATCTACGACACTGCAAAATCTGCCCGAGGTTTCTTGACTCTAAAAGCTTATCGTCTCACTCCACAAGCAATTCAAATGTACAAGGAAGGTGAATTCACACCAGAAGCTCTGCGTACATTGAAAATCGGTTACGAGTCACTCTTCGTTGAGCTTCCAATTATCGTGAAAAACAGTAATTTAACCAATGTCATGATGTCCGAAGTGGAGGAAATGATACCCGAGGAACAGGGCACGAAACATTTGGATCTTGGCACTGCAACGGTCCTTGAAAATCAATTACGTTGCCTAATGGATCGTGTTGATGAACTCAATCAGGAGGCAATTAAATTCAATAGATATCAGAGTTTGGTGATTCGTCAGCAGCAGGATAAGAATAGACTTTTATTGAAGAGAGCTCAGGAGAATGCTGCCCGTGCCGCTAAGGACGAACCACTTCTTCCTGATGACGATATTAATAAATTAATAAGACCACTACCAGTTCCGGCGCGATTAAATCCAATGATCGTTGCTGGACAAATCAATACTTACACACAACATATTTCCCAATTCTGCTCACAAAGCTTAGCTAAACTTTATATCACTCAAAGTCTCCAATCTGCCAAGGAATCAAAATCAACAAATTAAAATTGTTTCAATTTTTACTAGGACGACTTTTTTTGTATTAAAAAAAAAAATAATCTACAAACTGAAAAGCGAATTCGTTTAATTAAATAAAAAGAATTGTCTTTAAATAAATCATTTGATATAAATATGAAATAAATGTGTTTTTGATCATTTGAACCTTGTTTGAACTTTTTTCGTATTTACTAAACCAAAATTTACAGAAAATGAAAAATATTCTATTTTTACAACATTGAATTATTTTCAATTATTATAAGTAAATTTTAGTTCTCGCTATAATTTGAATTTGGCGCGGTTTGTTATTGAATTCGCTTTTCAGTTTTATAAGGTTGGTAGAATTGGTGTTATTTTGTTTTCGCGGACTTTTGTGTATTGTGCTTTTGTTATTGTTTGCTTTTAATTAAAAATCAATTGTCTTTTTGCTAGAGATTATTGAAAAAAATGGAATATTCAAAGAAACATAAAGCTTTTTTACAAGTCTTTTTACAAAATGGAATTATCTCCGCCCATGAAGCTCGTGGAATAGCAGTAAAAATATTTGGTAATCCTAACCTATAAATATAGAAAATAAAATGTTTTTTTATTTATTGATACAAAAGAAATAATTAGAAATATATTGTTATCAAATTTATAAGTATCTTGAATTATTTTGTACACTTCAATTATTTATTTATACAAAGTCTTATTTATAAACTTTATAAAATAACAATTTTTAGATATTTGTTTAGTAAAGTTTCATTTCTTAGTTCATAGTTTCTATTTCTTTTTTCCGTGTTTATATTATTTAATAGATATTTCGTAATTTTCAGATAACACTGATACCGTTGATTCTCATGCTCTTCTCATTAATATACAATTACAAATTGTAAACATGGCATTAAAATCGGTTAAATGTGAACACACCGGCGAAGAATTCTGGGTGCTTGTTAGCACTATTCTTGATGATTCGACAAAGTAATTTTGTATTTTTATTAAATTGAATCGATAAATGTAAACTTTTATATCAACTGGAATATTTAAATTTAAATTCCAATTTTAATATTTTCTGCATTAGTACCTACAGATATCTAATATTCTATATTATAGTAAATAAATATATATTTATTTATTATAATAATCTAGAATATTTGCTATAATTAAATATATTAAATAATATTTAATTGCTAAAAAAAATGTTTTCAGATTTCAACAAGAATATACTCATGCTCAATTGGAATTGTTGAGAAAAATATACGCTGAGATAATTACTTCTGCGACGAAAAGCGTTTCTGGAACCGATTGCTTAAATTTCTGCACGACCTTAGAAAACCGATTAAGTAAACATGACGGTGAAGATTTTTTGAATGAAATGATTGCCAAACAATGGCTTTATTGTTCGGTAAATTTTTAATCTTCATATAATTTTCTAAAATTATATTAAATTTAAATTATATTCAATTACATTAAAAATAATCTTTTTAAATAGTTTTTCTAATTTAATCATTTAATTTCTTAATTTTTAATTTATATATAATTTTCTAATTTACTTTATTGTAACAATTGCTAATTTCAGAACGGAATATTCTACATGGGAGCGAGGAGTATTGCTGAACAGTTGCTTTATTTTAAATCAACTTATGACGATGCTTTAGCGAACTGCGTGCTCTGCAAGCAAGTTATATTTTACGTAAGTAGAGTAAATTTCTGGTAATTTAAAAAAATGGTAATATTAAAATTATCAACTACATTAAAATTTTAATTAAAAATTCTGAAAATAATTGAATTTTATGATCAATTTCTTTCAAGTTTTTAAAATAATCGTGTTTATTATTTTTTTGAAAATAATTGAATTGTTTCGAAGGCAGAGCTCAAACTAGGTCCGTAAATCCCGTAAAAGTCCGTAACTTTGCTTGAAGTACGTAAAAGTCCGGTTTTTTGAAAAAAAATCCGTAATTTGATTAAAAAAGGATGAAAAGTTCGAAAATTGTACGATATAATTTGGATAATTTTAAAGAAATTACAAATGATTTTAGAAATCCAATTATTTTCAAAAGTAATAAAATTCTTCGCAGAAATTCAATTACTTATGTTAAAAAATTTTTAAAAATTCTCGTCAAAATTTCAATTATCAATGATTTTTAATAGGTATCTACTATTTTAATAAAATTTTCCAAAAGAATTCAATTTAAAAAAAAATTTAATAAAATTCTACACAAACTTTTAATTATTTTCAAAAAATAATAAAAATTTCACAGGAATTTCATTATTTACAAATTTTTTTTATAAATTTTTTCGCAATCATTGAATTATTTTCGTAAATAATAAAATTTTTACGGGGATTCAATTATTTTTGTAAATAATAAAATTCTTTTTAGGAATTCAATTATTTTCATAATTAATAAAACTGATTGCAGAATTTTAATTATTTTTAATACAATTTTAATCAAATTTCTTGAAAAAATTCTTAAAAATTTTATTAAAATTCATTAAAGGAATTCAATTATTTAAAAATTTATTGATACAATTCTTTATGAGAATTCAATTTTTAGAAACATGCAATTATTCAATAAATTATTTATTTGCATGTTATTTGTATTTAAATAATTGAATTCTAGTAGAATTTTCTAAAAAAAAATTGATTTAAAAATTAATTTCAGTTAAAATTTTAGATAATTGAATATTGAAAGCAATATAGCGTGAATTTTTAAAAATAATTGAATTTTGAAATTAATTTTTTTGAAAAAGTTTAATTGAATTTTTTTAATATTATGTTGAGTTTTTATTTTCTAATATTTATATAATTGAAGAATTTACGAATAATTGAAATTTTGGTAAAATTGAATTTTGTAAACAAATGGATTTGAAAATTGTCAATGAACTTTTTCGAAAATTATTAAAAATAATTGACTTTTAAGGAAGAATTTTAGTTAAAAATTCTTGTAAATAATAATTGAATTGTAAATGATTTTATCACTCGGTCATCTTTAATTATTATAAAACATGAAGATATCGATAACTTCGATTCGAAGACTCGGAGTGATCGATTTCTTCATGTTTTATAGTTATGAAAAATTTAATTTATAGTTTTAAGTAAAATGTTCTCTTAATTTTTTTCATTTTTGGTCCGTAAAGTTGCGTATTTTTAAAATACTTTCACTGCTTCGAGCTCTGCGAAGGATTTTTAAAAATTTTAGAAAATAATTGTATTATTTTGTTCGTGAAATTTTATTAAAATTTTGTTTAAAAACAATTGAATTTTTGCAAAAAAATTTACTAATTTGTAAAAATAATTGAATTCTTACGAAGACTGTTATTATTTATGAAAATAATTTAATTCTTGGGAAGAATTTTATTAAAAGTTTTGAAATTAATATCTAAACATGAATAATTAATTAGTAAATTAGTTAATAATTGAATTTTTTTAAGTTTGAATCTGTAATTATTCAAAAATTCATATTTGAAAATAAAAAATGTTGTAATTTGCATAATAATAATAATAAATTGAAATATCACGTTCCGCGCGTAACATTTGCTAGTTAATTAATAATTAATAATTCTATTAATTATGAAAATATAATAATTGGGATTATTTTAACAGGGCCATACCTGCCAGGAATGCAATCATATCATTCACAATCACTGTCTTTTCAATTACGCCCGAATACAAAAGCCATTAAAGTGTCCTCAGTGTTCTAAACCAATGCCTGATGTAGAAATCGAAGGTATGATTTATGAAATTATATTTTAAAAGTGTATAAAAATGATTTTAAAAATATGAAAATATATAAAAATGTTTTTATTAGGTACCTATTGTATTTACATTTTTTCAGCTTTTTAATTATTCTTTTTCTAAAAAGTTCCTATTCTCTAATTTTTAATTTTCTATTTTCTATTCAATTTTCAGATACACAAGATGTTACTAATGATGATAGTATGGAAGTGAGTCAGGACCAGACTCAAAACGTAAGTCAAACAAAGAAAAAACGTAGCAGACGTCACTGATATTATCAGTTTATTAAAAAAAAAAAAGTGTTTTATTTTACGAAAAAAAAAGAATGTAAATGATGAGTATATATTTTAAGTTATCAGTATTCTAAATAAGTGATGTAAATTTAAAACCATATATTTGTTATAAAAGAGAATATGTTTCATAACTTAGGTCTATATTAAAGTGAATTTTTATAATTTTGCTTAATTATTGATTGACAAGAAAAAAAAACTCGCAGAGGTAAATGTTTGATTATTTTATTTCTATTTGCTTATTTTGTCATTTTTATTTTATTTTATATTACATTCTTTTAACTATTTTGTATATTGTGCAGATTTTTTTTTTTATTTTATATTACATTCTTTTAACTGTTTTGTATATTGTGCAGATTTTTTTTTATTTTATATTACATTCTTTTAACTATTTTGTATATTGTGCAGCTTTGTTTTTTTTAAATTTTTTTTATTTAATTTGCTTCTAATCAACTATTCACTTCTTTTATTTTTAAAACGAAAATAAAAATTAGTTTTCAGTACAGTTCCAAATTTTTCACCATTCCAAGACTCCGGGCATATATTTATTAATTAGACTTTCATAATAAGGCCATAATTCCTCAATGTCAGGTACGTTCTCGTTCTTCGTGTATAAATCGAATTTGCTGCAGAAGGAAATATTTTTTTCGTAAGTGATAATTTTTTATAGCTAAAACTAAATGTACTAAAATTTTAATTGTATCTTACTTGAATTCTAAAATCCATTTCAGTTTTTCCAAGTCAGAAGATGTGCAGAAATGCATATAATCACCTCCTGCGTGCCATGGATAAAATGAATGATAGCGAATCATCGCCAAACCTTCGTCGGGAATTTTACACTTATTGTGCTTCATTACTTGATACAAATATTCGTCGTGACCCCAGGACATCAGCAGTTTGTCGAGTCCGCATTTAGGTTTGTAAATTCCATACTTTGTGCTTAAAAAAAATAATTGAATAAAAATTGCAGTAAATTCTATTTTGGACTTTAAAAAAAACAGAAATAAAAGTAAATTGCATAACTTTTGCTTTTAAAAAAACAAAAGTTCATAGGGAAGAAAATTTTTTTTGTAAATTTAAACTCACTTATAGCGACTGTCCTTTCCGTCTGGATTATCCTCGAAGCTTGTTTCTCTGTAAACAATTGAGTTACCCCAAGCACATCCAACCGGAAATGTATCGCCTACAACGGCCCATTGCGGTTCTCCGTAAAAGGCCATGACCTGGATATTTACAAAAAATAATTCTTCTTTTTTTCTATGTTTTAGATTGATTTTTCGTGGAGGAATGGTTTTATTTCAACAGTGAATTATTGTATACCTTGCCAACATCATGAATCAGTCCTGTGAGATGAAACCAATCTAAATCTGGATGTACCTCTCTTATACCTTCTGCCGTTTGAAAAGCGTGAATAATATTTGGTAAGTCAATGTCAGGATCACTTTCGTCAACCAAATCGTTTAATTTGATTAGAGCGTCTTTTATGGACATCTTGAATTTATTAAATTTTAGCCATTCGAACATTCGAGCTGCAAATGTTTTTGAATATTTTCAGCATTTTTCTTTTTAACTTTTTGAAAATAATGAAAATAAATTCATTTTTAATTAACTATTTATAATCGTATATCAATAATCACTGTACTCCTGTAATTTGTTCGCAATTTGAAGTTAGTTGATTGCATTTTTGTTTCCTAACTTTTTTAATAATGTCTCTTTTTAAATCTTGAATTTTAAAATTAATGTTTTGTCAATCATTGAATTCTTTCGAAGAACTTTATAAAAATTATTGAAGATAATTAAATTCTTTCGAGAAATTTCATTAAAATTGTATTGAAAATAAATTAATTCTTCCGAAGAATTTTATTATTTATTAAAATAATTGAATTAAATTTTATTGAAAATTTCTTTGAAATTTTTTAAATAATAGAGTTTTTTAACAATTGTAATTACAAATAATTTTATTAAAATTATTACTTCCTCATAGAGGAAGTATTTATAAAAAATTAAATACTTTTGAACTATTTTATTAGAGTGTTCGTAAATAATTAAATTCTTCTGAAGAATTTCTTTAAGTTTTTTTAAAATAATATTTTGTTTAATAATCGTGTACTTATACTAAAATTTCTATTAAAAATTTAATTATTGATTTTTGTAAAAACATTTTTTAGAAATAATTGAATTTGTCCAGAATTTTATTACAATTTTTGGAAATAATTGAATCCTTTCGAGAAATTTTATTAAAATTGTATTAAAAATAGTTGAATTCTTGAAAAGAATTTTATTATTTATGAAAATAATTGAATTTTTCTAAAGAATTTTACTATTTACAAAAATAATTTAATTCTTTCGAAACATTTTTTAACAAATTTTAAAAAATAATTGAATTTTTGAAAAGAATTTTATTATTTATAAAACTAATTCAATTGTATCGAAGAATTTTATTAAAATTTCCGAAAATAATTGAATTCTTCCGAAGAATTTTATTATTTATTAAAATAATTAAATTGTCGCCAAGAATTTTATTAAAATTGTTGAAAAAAATTTAATTGTATTTGAAGAATTTCTTTGAATTTTTTTAAAATAATGGAGTTTTTTATAATTTTAATTGAAAATTTTTTTGAAATTTTTGAAATAATAGGGTTTTTTAATAATTGTAATTAATAATTTTATTAAAATTATTGATAGAAAATTAAATATTTTTGAACTATTTTATTAGAGTGTTTGTAAGTAATTAAATTCTTTTAAAGAATTTCTTTAAGATTTTGAAAATAATATTTTGTTTAAAATAAGTTTAATTAAAAATTATCAAAATAATTAAATTTTACTAAGACTTTCTTTTAACTTTTAAAAGTAATCGTGAATAATAAAATTTCTATTAAAAATTTAATTATTAACTTTTGTGAAAACTGTTTTTAGAAATAATTGAATATTTTTCAGAATTTTATTACAATTTTTAAAAATAATTGAATCTTTTAGAGAAATTTTAATAAAATTGTTATTGAAAATAGTTAAATTTCTGAAAAGAATTTTATGTTTTATAAAAATAATTGAATTTTTCTAAAGAATTTTACTATTTACAAAAATAATTTAATTCTTTCGAAACATTTTTTAACAAAAATTAAAAAAAATAATTGAATTTTTGAAAAGAATTTTATTTTTTATAAAAATAGTTCAATTTTTGCGAAGAATGTTACTATTTATAAAAATAATTTAATTGTTTCAAAAAATTTTATTAAAATTTTCAAAAATAAATGAATTTTTTCGATGAAATTTTATTATAATTTTTTAAAGTAATTGAATTCTTCCGAATAATTTTAATGAAAGAATTAATAAAAAATAGATAAATAAAAAATTATTGATCTCAATAAGTGAATTTTTAAAATTTTGAATCTAAAATTATTAAAAATATAAAGTTGACATTTGAAAATAAAAGATTTTGTAATTATTTTAATGTTTTTGAAAATATTTATCTTGGTCTACATATATTTACTTATAAACAATGTTGTTTATTAAGGAGAATAAAGAAAAAAGAATAAAAATAAAATTAATAAAAAATGTTTATTAAGAACAAAATTAAGAAAATTATTTTCGTTATTTTCTGCTTGTAAATAGAATATTTTGTTTTTTTTCGAATAGTCACTTACAACGAACAAAATCGACAGTTTGATACGTATGCATGTGTAAATACGTTTTTCGCACACGTTCCTTAATTGGATCGTCAGCATCTTCATCGTAATTTCTGAATTCATTTTTCAATTTTCCAGCGTAAATTGGCTCTGGACGAAGTTTGTCTGAAGGATCCAGAAGCGAAGGTGCTTGAGAATGAGGCTGAGAAAAATTTATTACATTTCAATGAACTTCATAGTCTAGGAGAATAGAATTTTTTTCAAACGAGAAGCATTGGAATCTCTTAAGGTGAGAATCTCATTTTATATTTAATTTAATTAATCGACTCAACGCAGGAATTTCTAATTCAATCATTAAAAATTTCTAATCTTTCGTTTCCAAAAATATTTTTTAATATTATTATATTAAATAATAAATAAATAATAAATAATTAATAATTAATTCGATTCAGTTTCTAATACTTAACAGAGCGTTGCTCTTTTTTATTTTGCTTTTTTCAAAGACGTAGGAAAAAAATTGACAAAAGAGATTTAATAAAGATTGATTGATTCGGTGTTTGAGTTTCGATTGTTAAAAAGGCGAATGCTTTATTGTTTATTAATTTTTTTTGTTAATTTTTTTATTTGTTCTTTTTTTATTTATTAATTTTATCATTTATTCGTTTTATTATTTATCCGTTTTATTATTTATTAATTTTATTATTTATTCTTTTTATTGTTTATTCGTTTTATTATTTATTCGTTTTATTGTTTATTAATTTTATTATTTATTAATTTATTCATTTTTGTTAATTGTTAATAATATTTATTAATTTTCTTTATTAAGAAAATTAATTCTTATTTTTAAATAGAGTATTCAACGAACGTAAAATAAAAACAAACTAATTGAATAAATGAACTCTGATAAAAATAATAATTTTTACTTTTTCAATTTTCAAAATATTTCAAATATTTTATTATAAAAAAAATTCGCAAATTATTCAGAGAATTTTTTTATTATTTATTTTTATTATTATTTATTATAATAATAAAAATAAACAATAAATTCTCAGAAAATATTTTTAAATAATTTATTTAATAAATTAAATTTGATATTAAGTGTAAAAATTATTTTTGAATTGACTTTCGCTTGATTCAAAGTAGAATTGAGACTTACAATTATTTTGGCAGCCATTCTTATCAAATTGTAACGTTTTCGAAAGACTGCACAGAACTGACTGAGTAAATTGCATTATAAGTTGATCTTATAAATCTTTGATAAGTCACCTCTTGACCCTAGCTGGGACACTCTGCTCTCAGATATGTAAGATTCGTTGTCTTGTATACTATATCTTACTATACCGCAATTAATTATTTTATTACTCCATTAAACTTATTAAATCGAAGAGAGAAAAAGAAATAATCAGTCACGGTCTCCTGCAAATTATATTGCACAAGATCTCAAATTTTTTTTCTTAACATTAAGAAATTTGTATTTACTTCAAATCGATGTGGACTTTCTTGTCTCATTCTTTTGATGAGTGTAAAATTTCTAAAAATTTTAATTTTTTACTATTTGATCAAAATAGGTATTGAAAAATGAATAAAATCGGAATTTTATTAATATTTACCATGAAAATAATATTATTTATTAAAAAATTTTAATTCTTGACAAAAATTTCTCTTTCTTAAAAATTTATTTAAAAGTTGAAAGTAAATAAATTGAAAACTTTATTAATTAAAATGTTTACTAATAAGACAGTTTACATTTTATTGTTTTATCAGTGAAAATACGGATTATCTTTAAGCACGCAATAAGTGCCAAATAGAAAACTTTTCCAATTTATGATAACTAATTTTCTATTATGGAAATTTTTCTTGTTTGAAATTCTCAAAATGTTGTTGATTTCTGAATTTTCTTTCAAAATTGCTCTTTAAAAGCAGCATTAATTTTTTTTTCTAAATTAATATTAAAATACTAAAATTTCTATTTTACATTATAAATAAAATATTCTATGGAAAATAGTAAGGAATAAATTTTTAAAAATCTGGAATATTCCAATGTGATAACCTTCTGCTTTTGTTACGTAACAAAATATTTCCTAATGGTAATAATTATACAAAGACTCCATACATGTAAAATGGACAATCTACAAGAGTAGTTACTCTTTTCTCTGATAAAAAGAAATATAATAATCAAAGACGTAATTTCATATTAATTATGTTATAATAATAAAGAAGTGCTTCAATAGTATTGCGGATGAAAATGAATGAACATAAATTATAAATTAATGAATAACTTGTCAATAAAATGATATCTATTAACATTGACCGTCAAAATAAGACCTTCACTTTATGGTAATTTTAAACGTTCGCTAAATATAAACAGTTCTTTCATAAAATTATTTTTTCTCATTAAGCAGATAATTTTTATCAATAGATTAACAATGTATTCTTCAAAAGATTATCCGAATTTTATCGCAATTAGAAGATATGATAAAAATTTCGATTGAATAATTAATTTACAAATGCAAATTTCTCGGTATTGGAAAAGAGAAGAAAAATTCTAACAAAGAAATTATTTTTCAATTATTTTATTGCAAATAGTTTTATTTATAATGTACACTATTTTCAAGAATAAATAATTTCAAGAGTAGTTTCTTTTTTCTATTTTAAGAAATTAAGAACATAGCATTCTCTTCAGGTGGTTATTGTTTTTTTTTAAACAAACTAAAAGATATTGTTTTTAAAATTCGTTCCTTGAATTTGACGGAATTGTATATAAAGTTATTAATTAGTTGTTCTGTAATTTACATATATGTATAAAGTTTATGTACAATGTTGAAATTACAAAAATACTTATCTATCTTTTCAGATAAGTAACTTTTATGGTGAACTGGATAATGAATTACTTGAACTACTTCCTTTTCGTTGATTTTTTGAGCTTTGGTGATGTCTGTGGGGACTTCTCGATCGACTTCGATGCCTCGACAATTTTTTACTTTTTTTCGACTTGTGGGACCAGGATCTGCTTGGACTGTCGTAACTAAACGGAAAGAAAAGAGAAAGAAATTAGAATTTTTTCGAAAGTAATTTTTATCCAGGTAAGTAATAAGGTAATTCAAAGTAACTAAAAAGAAGGTAATTCAGAGTAACTGTAATTAATATTGACGAATATTTTCAATTATTTAGGATTCGAATTTTTACTTTCGAATTTTTTTATTTTTCTTTGAAGTAGTAACTTCAAAGAAGGTAATTCAGAGTAACTGTAATTAATATTGACGAATATTTTCAATTATTTAGGATTCGAATTTTTACATGAATATATAAAATTACTTTTTCGAGTTGCTACAAAATTTGATTTTATTTTTTCCTGACATTTTCCCGAATCTCAGAAAGAATTTCGACCTTTTCCCTGATCCTAAAGAATATTCTTGTTCATTCTAAAAATGATCAGATACACAAGAAAATGTTTGTAATATTGTGAATGTCTTTTGTAATTGTAAAATTTTTCCAAACAAATATTAATTTTAGTGAGATCTTATTAATAACAAAATAGGATCTCACTAAAATTACAAATCCAAACAAAATAACATCGTAATAAATATTAATTTTTTAAGACAAATATTTAATTATTTTTTTAATTATTTTTCCATAGAAATTGAGATTTTCAAAAATTTTCCCCAAAATTATTTTCAATTCAGTGATTTTTTTTTAGAATTTTTAACTGATATTTTTCTCTAAATCAATTAATGATTTTTTCAGAAAGTTCTTTAAGAATTCAATTATTCAAAGAAAAAGGAAAGATCAAATAAAATATTTCTGAAATTCTGTAGTTTATTTACTTTTATGAAATTTCAATTATTCAAAACTGTTTTAATTAAATATGTATTAAAAAACTCAATTAATTTCAAAAATATTTTAATAACAATTTTTCAAAAAACTTTTTTCCAAAAAATTTTTTTTTTTTGGGAACTTGTAAATAAAATTTTTTACACTCAAATTTTCTGAAATTTCAATTTGAAACCTTTTGAAATTCAATTATATATACAAAATTATAAACGCAACTGTAATAAAATTAAATTATTTTTGGAATTTTTAAATAGAATTTATTAAATATTTAAAAAAAATTATTAAATTCAAATTTTCTACAATTTCAATTTGAAACCTTTTGAAATTCAATTCTTCTGAGAAATTGTATTAAGATTATATTAAAACTAATAATTGAACTCATGCGAAGAATTTTATTATTTATGAAAATATTAAAATTCTTTTCAAGAATTTTTTTAGTTAAAAAAAATTGAATTCTTTTCAAGATTTTTAATAAAATATTTGAAAATAATTACATTTTTCGAAGAATTTACTAAAAATTGTATGTAAAATAATTGAAATCTTGTGAAGAATTTTATTATTTAGAAGAATAATTGGATTCTTGCAATGAATTTTTATTACATTTTTTTTTAAATAATTGAAATCCTGTAAAGAATTTTATCCTATTTATGAAAATAATTGAATTCTCGCAACAAATTTTATTAGAATTTTTTTTTAATAATTGCATTTCCAAGAAGAAATTTATTACTTTTAAAAATAATTAAATTCTTTTGAAGAATTTCTTTAAATTTTTTGAAAATATGTTTTTTTTATAATTTTAATTTAAAAATTCTTAATTTAATTGATTTTTACGAAGAATTTCTTTAAAGATTTTAAAATAATCATATTTGTAAATGATTGTAATTAAAAATTTGATAAAAATATTTTTGAATACAATTGAATTCTTTACAGCATTTTATTAAAAATTTTTTAAATATTTTTATTCTTTGCAGAAATTATATAAAAATTGTTTTAAAATAATTGAAATCTTGTGTAGAATTTTATTAAAATTTTTATAAATAATTGAATTCTATCAAAAATGTTATTAAAAGTTTAAAAAAATAATTGAATCTTTTCGAAAAATTGTATTAAAATATTTAAAAATAATTGAATTCCCATAAAGAATTTTATTCAATTTTGTAAAAATAATTGAATTCTTATAAAAAATTCCATCAAAACTTTTCAACTAATAATTTTATTTCTTTTGAAAAATTTTAGTATTAGAAATAATTTAATTCCTGCGATGAAGTTTACTATTTATAAAAAATAGTTGAATTCCTTTGAAGAATTTTGTTATTTATAAAAAATAATTGAATTCCTCTGAAGAATTTTATTATTTATATAAAAATAATTGAATTCTTGCGCAGAATTTTATTCAATTTTTTAAAAACAATTTAATTCTCATACAAAATTTTATCAAAACTTTTCAATTAATAATTTTATTTCTATTGAAAAATGTTAGTATTGTACCTAATTGAATTCCTGCAAAGAAGTTTATTATTTATAAAAAATAATTGAATTCCTTTGAAGAAATTTATTATTTATATAATAATAATTGAATTCCTGCTAAGAATTTTATTGAAATTTAAAAAAATAATGAATAATAATTAATTAGTTAATAAGTGAATCTTAAAATTTTGAATCTGAAATTTTTTAAAGACTTGTTTTTTGTTAGTTCTTCAAGAATTAAATTGTATAAAATAAATTCAATTTCATGTTGAGTAAAGTTTAATCATTGTCAAAAATAAAAGAAATTTAAGGTCAAAGTTCAAATTTTACATGACAAACAAAAAAAAATCCAGAAGAATTAAATTTTTTCAATTTTTTCAAAAACTACGAAACACCGAATTCCTGAATTTTCTTATGATCTGTGGCAACCCTGTTTTTATATTATCAATATTTTAATTAAAAAAATTTAGTCTATTTAAATCAATTTCTAAAGTCGTAAAATTTACTTGAAAGAAAGAATAATTTCAAAAAATAAAAAAATAAAGAGAAACAGTTTATGAAGAGAAGAAATTATTATTCTTAATACCTTTTGTGCGAGACTTTTTTCTTCTTGTGCTTCTTGTGAGATCTGTGTCTATCGCGATCGGAGTAACTTCGACTTCGACTACTACTCCGACTTCTAGAGCGATGCCTCGATCTTTTGTTATTTATTTCCGCGCCTTTTATTCTATGAATCAGTGGAGTTGTAACGGGATTTGTTTGTTCTGTTTCATCGTCACGAATTGGAGACGGAACCGCTTGAACTTCTTCTAAATCAACATCCCTCTTACTCGTAATCACATTTTTCTCCATACTTTTTACATTTATTGGCGTTTGCAATTGACTTAGAAACATAGCCGCCTTCTTTTTTCGTTCCAATTGAAGTTGTTTCTCCTTCATTGAATTTGCTGCCATTCTTTCTCGAGCGGCTGCTGCCAATTTATCCTTTAATCTCTCCTCAACCATTTTCGATCTCAAGTCCTTCTGACAATCCTCTAAAATATCGTCAGTGAGATCGACAAAGTCCTTTTCGTCGATTCGAGATTTCTTTTCGAGATTGATTGTTTCTTTTTCACTTTTTGCCGAATCGTCTCCTTGTAGAGGTGAATTTGATTTAGAATTATCGTCTTTCTTTTCATCGATATCGTCGTCATCACTTTCTTCTAGTGGGAGAGCATTGCGTTTTTCGATTACTGTCGTTTCGCCTTCTTTTGGTTTCTTTATGGAAAACGAAACTGTTGTTATATTCTTACTCGCAGAGTCTTCTTTGAAACGTGTGTCGCCCTTCTTTTTGGCTTCGATCATCTTAACGCGTTTTTGCACTTCCTCCATTCGTTGTTGCTTCTTTTGTAATTCTTCCAATTTCTTTTGTTTCTCCTCTTTTAATTCCTGTTTCTGCAGGAGTTCTTCTTCGGTTAAGACTCGAGGATTGACAGCGCCTTCGTATATGGTTAATTTATGTGCATAATAGCCGTGATATTGATGTGATAATTCTAGGAAATTGAATCTTGGATCGCCTTTATTTTTCACGATTGCTTCAAAGTCGCGACCATTTTTTGCAACGTAACTCGCCATTTTGTCGATTATTATTTGAATTTCAGCTGGTGGGACGATAAAGGATGGCCTGCTCAATGGTTTTGGAGGAGTTGGTCCATAGGGAACGAGAGACGGTGGTTCTTTGAGTGGGGTTTGCACGAGATTTGCATCGCTCGAGGATGGAATTGGTGGCGCGGAGATTTGTGATGGATTATTCGTGTGGCCATTCGCTCCGTAAATTACTGGACCATGTGAATACTGTTGTGGCGCTACCGGATACGGCGGATAACCCTGTGAAAAATAGGGATGCTGTAACATAGATTAGAAGCGAAAAGCATTAAAAAAAATCGGCAAATTTAATTTTGAATTAATGTTTGAAAATTAGAAATTTAGTTTATTAAGTTAAGATAGATTAATAATTAAGATTTTCAAAAATTTCAAATTCAAACCTTTTTGAAATTGAACAACTTATAATAATAATTGAAGATGTCTACGTGATAAAATCATTATTTTATATTTTAACAATATTGTTACTGTAACTTCTTAAAAATTACTTCAATCATTTCAATTTAATTATTATTTTCTAGAAATTTCAACTAAAATTCTTCTTTAAATCAATTATTATCTATTAATAATCGTTGTATTCCTATAATCTTTTCGCAGTTTAAAGTTAGTTGTTGTTTGATTTTTTTATTTTCTAACTTTTTTAATAACTTTTCTTTTTAAATATTTAAAATTTTAAAATTAATGTACCTATTGAAAATCATTGAATTCTTGCAAAGAATTTTATCAAAAAATTGAATTCCTTCGAAGAATTTTTTTATTTTATGAAAATAATTAAATTTTTGATAAGAATTTTACTATTTACAAAAATTATTGAAATGTTTCGAAGAATTTATTAAAATTTTGGTAAATAATTGAATTGTTTTGTAGAATTTTATAGAAAAATTTGAAAATAACTAAATTCATTCGAGAAATTCAATTGAAGTTGTTTCGTAAATAATTGAACGGTTATATCATACTTTTACGGTTTCAAATTTTTTGGGAAAAATTTATTTCAAAAATAAGTAATTAAATTATTCAAACTTTTTGGGAAAATTATCTTTGGGAAAAGTTTTTTTGGGAAAAGAAATCGTTGGGAAACTTGTTTTGGGAAAAGTGTCCTACAATCAATTGAATTTCTGTAAAGAATTTTATTGACGAATATATTTAAAAATTGCATTGAAAGAAATTTAATTTTCATATAGAATTTTTTAAAAATATTTTGAGAATAATTGAATTATTCTTAGAGAATTTCATATTCTTGTTGAAATTGAATTTTTTGGAAATTTTCGAAAATAATTGAATTCTTTCGTGTAATTTGATTTAAATTGTATTAATAATTGAAATTCTGCGATGAGTTTTATTATTTATGAAAATAATTGAATTATTGTCAAGAAATTTATAAAAAATTTGTAAATAATAGAATTCCTGTAAAATTATTTTATTATTTATGAAAATAATTAAACGTTTGCGTATAGAATTTTAATAACATTTTTTTGAAATAATTGAATTTTTTAGGAAAATTTTATTAAAATAGTAGATATTTAAAATCATTGAATTTAGGAAAATGTTTGCAAATAATTGAAATTTTGTCAAGAATTTTATTAAAATTTTTGTAAATAATTGAATTTTGAAAAAGAATTTCTTTAATTTTTTTAATATAATTGAATTTCTGCGAAGAATTTTATTATTTTTGAAACTAATTGAATTTTTGCAATCATTTAAAAATTCTCCAAAATTCAAATTTTTTTTAGTGTTTTTTACTAAAATTCTTCTATAAATTCATTATTTTTAATAATTAATTAAATATACATATTTATATTGAAAAGTTTATATAATTTCAGAATAATTTAAATTTTGAAAATTTTGAAAAACTTAAATTTTTGCAAAAATTTAAGTTCTTTACAATTTCTAATAAAATTTATTCAAAATTGAAATTTTATAGAATTTTTTGAAGTTGATCTATTTGTAAAAATAATTGTAAACGCAAAGCTTTTAAAACTCAATCAATTTTGAAATATTTATAATTCTTTAGAAAATAATTCTTTTGGAAAATTTTATTAAAATATATATAATTATTGAAAATTATTGAATTGAGGAGAATTTTTTAAAGCAATTGAAACTTTACCAAGAATTGTATGAAAAATTTTGAAAATAATTTAATTTCGGAGAAGAATTTTATTACTTATAAAAATAATTGAAATTTTGACAAGAATTAAAAAAATGTTTTGAATATTTTTTATAATAATCGAATTCTTGTGAAGAATTTGATAAAAATCTTTTTTAATAATTGATTTTTTTTTACAAAAAGTTTTATGAAAATTGTATTAAATAATTGAATTCCTGTGAAAATGGTATTATTCAGGAAAATAATTTAGTATTTGCAAAGAATTTTATAAAGATTTTATTAACTGAGTTCTTTTGTAAAATTTTTTATTAAAATACTAGATATTAAAAATAATTCATTTTTTGAAATTTTTTTGAAAATAATTGAATTGTTTGAAATTTTTTTCTAATTTTTTAAATTTTTTCTAAAAACTTTATATAAATTTTAGATATTAATTTTTTATTTCAACTATTAACGAATTTAAATTAGTACGAATTCTCAAACATAGAAAAAAGTAGTTTTTAGTGACACAAATCCAAAAAAAAAAAGTACCGAAATAGTAGCAAATCCAAAGAAAGTAGTAAATAGGAGGTTTTAGTAGATACGAAACCTATTATGAAGATTATTAAGAATTTAAGACAATTACAAAAATTATAGAAGCAAATTGATAATTTTTGTTTTGTAGTTTCTTTTATTACCTGTGGAGGCATTCCTTGATAATATCCAGAAATCGGTAGTGGTGGAGCAGGAACTTCCGGCTGTGGTGGAACTTTCGACGGCGGTGGCTTTCCGGTGATTCGATTAACCAACATTGAATAAGCACAATCCGCAGAAGGTTTGTATGCAATGCTGGGTATACTCGGAGCCTGAAAAAGGAACATTTTTTAAACACTACTTTCAATTGTTAACTTTTTTTTTTTTTTTTTTATAAACTCAAAAGAACTTACGGCTTCGACTTTAGCGAAAGAAGGTGCAAGGCTGGGATGAAGATAAGGCTCGTCGTCATCTTCGTCATCCTCATCGTCATTATCATTTTGCTGATCCGCTTCTTCTAATTGGAAAAAAGAAAAGAAAAATCCTGACAAAAACAGATTTAGGTAAGTTTAAATAATACTACATTAAAATAACGCTGAACTCTCGTTTTTTTTCGTAACGTAATGCAAATACTTACGGCAATTAAAAAATAAGTGGGATCAAAGTAGATGGTTGTTAAATCCAGCATATTATTGTCATGTCAATGAGAGGGCAACCTCGATCATACACTAAATATAATTTGGTCAAAGTTCTTCTGCCACTTAAGCGGACTTGTTGAAATCGAGAAAGTTATGGTAAAATTAACCTGATAAATTAAGAATGAAATGCGTACCCGATTCTTCTTTCTCGGACTGTTTTTCTGGATTATATTGCTCGGACTTGATAGCCTCAAGGACGAGTTTGTAATACGGATGTAATGCTCCATCCACCGATAGAAATGCGAATTGTGGATTGTTTGCCTGCTTTGCCTTTATCAAAACTTCCATTTGTCCTCCTTGACGGCTTATAAATAGTGCTGTTTTCGTTATTATCGCGTGCAATTTCTGTGTATCCGGCTGTAAAAAATAATTTGTTTTACATTTCGAAATTCAATTGAAATTTAAATTATATGCATCGCAGTACTTTTTTTTCCTCAAAAAAGGTGAAAAGGGGAATTTTTTTCCTCTAAAAATCACTCAAAATGATTAGATACTAAAAAAAAATGTTCTATTACATTTATTTACGAATTTCTTTAATTGTAAAATTATTCGAAAACAGAAATAATTTAAAAAAAAAATAGTTAGATTAGTCGCATTTTGCTAGAAAAAAATCTTGGAAAAAGTCACATTTTTTCACAGAAAAGTCGAAAAAAGTCACCTTTCCTTAGAAAAATCGAAAAAAGTCGAAAAAGTCGCACAATCCGAGCCCTAAAGGGGACCAACTGTGATGCCTGAAATTATTTTTTATAAAATATTCTTACCACAGTCATGTCAGGTGGAACATTAAGTTCCGGGGGAATGATGAAAGCTTGATCGTCTTCTTGAGAGCCTTCGGATGGTTTTGGACTTTGTGAATCGTCACAAGTTGCTTTTTGATTCTCCTCATTTTCGTTGTAGTTGTAGGCGACCTGTCCATACGAATTCTCCGAATCCAACGCCTGTTGCAGCCTTTTCATTTCCTCTTCTGTGTAAAAATCATCAAATTGGAATTAAATTTCAGTTCAAATTCAATAGAAATATTTTTTCAAAATTCAAGTCGTAAATTATTATTATTATTATTACCATGATAGAGATTTTCATCCGCATCGCTTTTGTACAAGGAACGATACCGCTCCTCATCGCAGAGCTGTTCAATTTTATATTCATCCTCGGTGAGAAAGGTTCGTTGATCAAAGCCACCGGGTGGTGGTTCATAGACCCTGAGGTCGCCCAGAGCCCCGCGTCCATCGTATCTATAGACATATAACACTTCAGTTAGAGATTGAAAATATCAAACAATTAAATAATTTTAAAGCGCACTCAGCATCTGAAAATAAAGTAGAATCAACGAGAGAATCCCATCAGGACGATTCCTGTGAAATATACGAAAAATAGATTTAGTCTACGACATAAAGATATTTGGTAAATTTATATAATTAAATAGAAAAGCCTTATAGAAAGTATGGCAACTGATGGCAACATTTTTCTTTTCTTTTGTCATTGAAAACATTTTCTTTTAAAATTATTAGCAAAAATAGTCTGAAATCTCTTTAATATTGAATAAAATTTAAAGATTCATTGAAATATTAAATACAACACTAGAAATATAAAACTAATAAATTGTGTGATGCTAAACCGCTAAAAATTCCTTTAATATTATTCAACTTTTTAAATCTGATTTATTAATATTTAAAGGAATTTTCAGAAAACGATATTTAATTGAAGCGTTATACCTCAGGAACTCAGAACTGCTGAAAATAATTAACAGTTAATTTAATAAATTATTAATTAATATTAAATAAATATGTAAAATTTAATTTATTAAACTTATTGCTAGAATATTTGAGATAAAGGGTTGAAAAATACATGTAATTTGAAAATAATTGAATTCATTTGTGAATTTTATTATTCTTAAATTCCGTTTGTCCAAGTGTTCAGATAAAATATTTGTAAATTTACTTACTGATTGTTATCAGTTGACAGATAAATTCAAGTATTTTTTTTTAGATAAAATAGAGAAAAAAGAAACTATTTTTTACATGATGTGGTAAAATAACGATTATAGTAAGTGAAAAATATTGAAGAAATTTTATTCGGCAAAGCACACACAAAATTTTAGTTTATTCTTTTTTATTATTTATTTTACTTGTGTCAATTTTAATGATTCTACAAAAGAAACCGTTGAGTAAAAATTTAAATATCTTTGAAAGTACAACATTTTAAAAACACTGGATTTTCAAACGCACATTTATTCTCTGACTTCTGAACTTCTTGACAGAAATATTTAAAATTAATTATTTATACACATTTCTTGCAAAGAAGTTAGTTGTTGATTGATTTTTTTTCCTAACTTTTTAAAATTTTAATATTTTTCTTTTTAAATATTTTTAATTTTAAAATTATTAATGTATTGAAAATCATTGAATTCTTGTAAAGAATCTTGTCAAAAAATTTCAAGAGAAAAATTGAATTCCTTTGAAGAATTTTTTTATTTATGAAAATAATTGAATTCTCCCGATGAATTTTGCTAAAATTATTAAAAATCCTAATTAAATTCTATTGAAGAATTACTTTAAATTTTTTTTAAAATAATGGAGTTTCTTTAATAATTTTAATTGAAAATTTTTAAGAAGAATTTTATTAAAATTGTACTGAAAATAATTGAATTTTTTCGTCAAATTTTATTAAAATTTTGTTAAAAAAAAGAGTTGAATTTTTGCAAAAAATTTTACTATTTATAAAAATAATTGAATTCTTCCAAAGAATGTTATTTATATAAAAAAAATAATTCAATTCTTGCGAAGAATTATATTAAAAGTTTTTTAATTAAATTATTTTAAAATTTATATTTGAAAGTAAAAAATTTTGTAATTTGCGTAACAATAATTAATTTGATGAACACGTTCCGCGCGCGTATCATTTGCTAGTTTTTTTTTTATTAAATTTCGTTATTCGATTTAATTTTTTTATGAAAGAATTTGTACTGTTATTATTTTTGAGTTTTAAAAACAGAGTTTTTGTTCTATTAAAAAAGAAAATTTATTCGAGAAGTAGAGAAATCAAAGAGAAACTCAACTAATTAGAATTGTTTAATTGAAATTGAATGAATTAAAAAGATGAAAAATATTCGATGACAACATTGAACAGCGTATTTAAGAATCCAATTTAGCGTGTACCTGTCAGGAATTCAGGATGGATTCTAGAAATACATACCGTGCTGAGCGGTCAATATTTATTATGACCGTCAGCTGCCACTTGTCTCTCTACGCTGTCTCACCTTGCTGCAAGCGCCGAGGATCATCTCCGTGGGCCAGGACACGAGAGCACCTTGTATACACTCATGCAGAGCGCAATTAGCGCTTCCACACTGAGCCTCACTGCCAAAACACCTGCGGAAACCTTAAACAGTCTCCAGATTGCTTATCCGTACGTTAAAAAAGTTTGTCACACCTGTCGAGTTTGTCTAGTTTGTCATCAGTTTATCAGAATTGTTCTCAGCACAATTTTGCGCGTACATTTTCTTTTTTTAGTCAAAAATATACGTATTCTAGGTATAATGGTTTTTAGGTTATGGGAACGGACCTGTCTATCTTCAACGTGTTATCGCCCATCCAGGGTATCAAATGCTTCCCTTGATCAATCATTTTCGCCTTCTCGTCATCACGAAATAATTTGCAGCTGTACCCGAACACCAACAGCTCCTGCGGTTCCTCCTCTGTCGTTTTTTTACGCAAGATGCCAGAATCAACCATCCAACGTTGATTCTTGGACGCCATTTTTGTGTTGTTTGCAATTCGTTTGACCTTCCAAACTACATTGACGATTTGACGGCAGGTCAGGGCATCATTTTAACCGGAAATACGCCTCTTCGCGCCGGAAGTCCTTTACACCAATCATAAAAAGCGTTACAAATTATTTTTCTGCTATTACAGCAACCTCCACTGTCATTCGTTGATGAGATAATCCATTAACGAATCATATCTCAATGTGAGCTTAACATTATCAACGGGAACCAATCACAAGAGAGCTACAACAAATTACTGTATTCTGATTGGTGGACGCGGGGAATATTCCGAAACTGTGTATACTTGTCCGCCAACTGCCGTTTGCCGGACACGGCTTCTATTCGACGTCGATAAATATTCGAGGTTCGAGCGCCAACGTGCAGTCGCGTGGGAAGATAACAAGCTCGTGATCCGGCAGCTTTGCGTAAAAAAATACCGGTTAACCGCGGCTAAAAATCTACAACAGGTAAATTCCCAATTCCAATTATATTTTCAATTAATAATCATTCTCAAAATTAATTTCCTTTTAATCCGTTTTAAATTTTCCAAAAAAAAATCCTCTCCTTTACCCGGCGAGTGTTTAACACGCCACGAACAGACACACGTTCCATTAAAACGCGGGTGCTTTCAGAAAATGCCTCCACGAAAGACCAAGTTGAAGGAGGATGTGGCCACCGATGTCGCAGCCGAAAATACCGACGCATCACCACCAAAAAGGAAGAGAGAAAAGAAAGTTCCCACAGAAAAGTTGGAGGATGTAAGGGAACCTCGTTTTCCGAGGGCGGCGAAAAATAAGAAGCCCGAAGTCACGCCAGAGGAGCCGGTAAAAACGAAAGCGTCTGCCAAGAAAAATGATGCAGCCCCAAAGAAAACGGCCGCCAAGTCCAAAAAAACCAAGGATGTCGATGATGATGAGCCGATGAATGATGAGGATGAGGATGCCGTTGCAGAACCTGAGGTTCCAAAGAAAAAAGCTCGTGGAAAGGCCGCGGCAAAAAAGGCGGACGCTGACGAACAGCCAGGTAATGCTTTCTCATTTAATCATTATTTTCCTGTTATTATCCTAAAACAAAATGTCGCTTCTGAATGATTCCCGCATTATTTTCTTATTATCGAATTTTCAAAATTTTGCTTGCATTATTTTATCATTAAAATGCATTGAAAATTGGTGAGGTGACGGTTATTCTCCTTTTGCCCCCCTCGTTATTCCCCCCCACTGACCCCCTTTTCCATCGTTTCTGTTCATACATATTTAATCATTTTTATCGTTTATGTTTTTCGTCTAATCTCCCCTCTCCCTATATTAACTTTGTTGCGCTTAAACCTGTTTGACTCCCCTCTTCCATTAAAGAACCTTCCAGTGTGTTTATTCCCCATCCCCCATCGTTGGATTGCACTCGTTTTTACACTTGTGGCCATACTTGTTTGTCTTTTAACCGGTGCATGACGTTTTACAGGGTTGCCTTTATCAAATAGGTGGACTGAATTTTTTTTTTTTTTTTTTTTTTCTGTTGAAGAATTTTTCTTTCTGTTTACCTTTTTTCTACCATCTTTTTTTTGTCCCAGAAAAAAATTTTGTTTTTCACATGAGGAATATTGATTATTTCGTAATTGAAATTTTTTGCGACATTGTTCTTATGAATTAATTTAAATTGTAAATATTTGTATAATTTAATAAGTTTTTGAAAATTATTTGTGTTTTTTTTTGGTAGAAATTTTGGGGTGTGGTCATTTTTCGGTAGTGAATTTTTGAATTTTTAATCAATAAAAATTGTTTCTCTGATGAAAGAAAAGTGAAATTGTAAAAATGTGTAATGTAAAATTTTGCTGATCGTTGCTAAGACGATGGGAGAAAACTTATATTTGTTGATTGCGCAGACGTCGTATTTAGAGCTTTATAATCTGAAAAGCTCAATTATCTCTAGTTTGTAGTTTCAATTGTAATTTGATAATGTAGAATGTAAAATTACGACTGCATGATTTATTCGTTTCCTGCTTTTTTTGTTGAATTGAATTTTTTTAATTTGATTCTATTTTTTTTTTGTTTTTTTTTCACACGAAATCATAAACACAAAAGTGTTACAAGAAAGAAAAATGATTACAATTAATTTTTTTTTTATTCATCATTTTCAAAATTAAAATTCTACTTCTTTTTTTTTAATTCTTTATCCCGTTCACAGAGTTCTGAAAAATTTTCGATTAAAATTAAATCGTCATGAACGAAAAATTTTGTCATGTTTATAGAAGCAACAACTAAAACGAGTAGTGTAAAAACGAAAAAAAAACCAACTGCCGATAAACCAAGCAAAGAGGAGGAAGTCAGTGAGTCTAAGACAAAAAAGAAAACCAAAGCTGCTGGTAATTTTCAAAATTTTTTTTTCGATGCTGAAATTTAACCCTTTATAGATTTTTGAGAAGACAGAGCCTTGTGAATTGTCCCTTTACACAACACAATTAGATTTTAGGTTCTTTTATTTAGCAATTTTAGTTCAAAATACTATTTCGAATATTATTGCATGAAATTATTTACGAAAACTTTCTCTATAATTTAATTATTTTCAGCTAGAAAAAAAAATCAGGGTTGCCACAGGTCAGGGAAATCAGGGAAAAGTCAGGGAAAGTTAAATTGGTCAGGGAAAAGTCAGGGATTTTTATTTAAGTAACTGGAAAAAATTGAATTTTAGAGAAGTTACAAATGATTGCAGAAATTCAATTATTTTCAAAAGTAATAAAATTCTTCGCAGAAATTCAATGATGTTCAAAAATTAAAAAAAAAAATTCAATTGTCTTTAAAAATAAGAAAATTCTTCTCCAAATTTCAATTATTTTCAAAAATTTTAATAAAATTCTTTGCAAAATTTCAATTATTTTCAAAAAATTTTTCTCAATTCAATGATTTTCAATATCTACAGTTTTAATAAAATTTTTCAAAAGTATTCAATTATTTTCATGAATAATAAAATTCATCATAGAATTTCATTTATTTTTAATACAATTTTAATTGAATTTCTCGAAAAAATTTTATTATTCTTGAAAATTTTATTAAAATTTCTCGAAAAAATTCAAATTTGTTTATAAAATTCTTTATGATAATTTAGTTTCGAAAAAAATTCATTTATTCAATAAATTATTTATTTTTGTATTTAAATAATTGAATTCTTGTAGAATTTTCCAATAAAAATTGATTTGAAAATGAATATTAGTTAAAATTTTAGATAATAATTGAATATTAAAAAGCATTATAGCATGAATTTTTAAAAATACATAATTGATAAAATACATAATTTAATTCTTTCGAAGAATTTTAACAAAATTTTTGAAAATAGTTACATTTTTCGAAGAATTTACTTAAAATTGTATTAAAAATAATTGAAATCCTGTGAAGAATTTTATTAATTTATAAAAGTAATTGAATTCTTGCAATGAATTTTTTCAATTTTTTTTTAAAATAATTGAAATAATGTAAAGAATCTTATTATTTATGAAAATAATTGAATTCCTGCATCGAATTTTATTACATTTTTTTAAATAATTGAATTCTTTTGAGAACTTTTATTAAAAAAGTAGATTGTGAAAATATTTGAATTTCAACGAAGAATTTCATTATATTCGTGAAATTTAATTAAATTCTTACAAAAAAAATTAAGAGAATAGTTCCATTTTTCTAGGAATTTACTTTAAATTGTATTATAAATAATTGAAATCCTCGGAAAAATTTTATAATTTATGAAAATAATGGAATTCTTACAACGAATTTTATCAATTTTTTTTAAATAATTGAATTCATGTGAAAAATTTTATTACTTGTAAAAATAATTGAATTTATGCAACGAATTTTATTACATTTTATTTAAATAATTATATTCTTTTAAAAACTTGTATTAAAAATGTAAATTTTGAAAATTTTTGAATTTCAGCGAAGAATTTCATTATTTGTGAAATGTACCTAATTTAATTCTTGCAAAAAATTTTTCAAGTTAATTTTTTTTTTGAGAAATTTATTTAAAATTGTATTAAAAATAATTGACACCATGTGAAGAATTTTATTATTTATGAAAATAATTGAATTCTTGCAACGAATTTTATTATAATTTTTGTAAATAATTTAATTTTTTTTTTGAAAAATTTTATGGAAATTAAAATTTTTATAAAACATGAAGATAGCAATTTTTCCGAGTCGATGACTCGGAGTAATTGATATCTTCATGTTTTATAATAATAATTAAATACTTATTTAAAAATTTAGTTATTGATGTTTGCGAATAATTTTACAATTTAAGAAATTCGTAAGTAAATGGAATAGAATGTTTTTTTTTGAGTATCTAATAATTTTTAGAGTGAATCAGAATATTCTTTATGGTCAGGGAAAAATTGAAAATTTTGTCTGGAAATCAGGGAAAAATAAAATTAAATATTTGTGGCAACCCTGAAAATGTAGTTTTTTATTTAATTGCATGCTAATTGAAAATTAAAATACTTAAAGCACGGTACTTTGAGGGGAAAGCAAAATAGTGCGCTTTACTTTCTCTAAAAGTCTAGTTTTAGAAACTTTCACCAAGAGAGACCAGTTTTTCAATCTCATTCTAGATTTGCATAAAATTATTATAAAGGGTTAAGGTCTTGATGTATAAAAAAAAAGAAAAGAGAATTAAATGAAACACACGTCTAAAAGTATCTTTTTTTCCAAAGCTGGTGCCAAGAAAGGAAGAGGCAAGAAAGCGGCCAAGGAACCAGAAGATGACGCAGAAGAGGAAAATGCTGAGACAAGTGAAAAGGAGGATGAGGAAGAATCTGGTGAAGTAGAGGAAAATGGAAATGCGCAAGAAGTCGTTGAAAATGGAGGTGGTAGCGAGACCAGCGATGACAAAGAAACAAAAAAGAAATCCAAGAGCAAACCTGCCGCCAAAAAGGGAAGTGAACCCGCCGCTAAGAGCAGCACTGAAACAGCGGATGATCAAGAAGGTGGTGAATCTGAATAGTAATGTTTTTATTTTTAAATTTTTAATTTTTTAAAAATTAAAAGATAAAAAACAAGTTGCGACTTTTTACGTTTCTAAAAAAAAAAATAAATAAATATTCACCATTTATAACACGCGGGACAATGGAACTTATTTAGCTATATATGAACATTTTTTTGATGAAGATTTTCTTAAAAGAATATTTAAATTATAATTGTTCCATGAAAAAAAGCCCTTGTGGATATTTACTATTTACATCTATAAGGAATGTAATGTGTATAGTTTCATTACTCTGTGTGATTTTTGAAATACAATACTTTGTGTATTATTTTATATTCCTAAAACTAAAGTAGTTATAGATGTAGACATCTTTATATCCTAAAAAAAATCCGAAACATCGGATCTATCAATAATACACGACCTTCATTTTTCACACTTTGTCGCGTGTCGATTTTCATCAAAGGACTAAATAAAAAAAACTGTATTTTTTTTGTTGTTTTTTGACGCGAGCACTTTAAAAATAATTCCAAGCTCATGTATAAGAAAAAAAAATTTTTTTTTTTTGCAAACCGAAAGTGCCGAAAACAATGTCAAATGGTACTTATCGTATTTTAATTAGTCCTTAAGATTTTACTTGAGAGAAAATGTTGATCAATAATCGATATTGTACTTTTTATTAGTTTACTTTTTCAAAAATTGATGATAAAATGCCCATTCCTAAAATATTGTTAAACTGGTTTTATTCATTTCTTATGACATTAACCCCCCAATTAATTTGTAATTTGCGAGTCACGGAAAATTTAGAAATTAAGTTTTCTTTTGTTTTTAATTTTTCGAAAGGAAACTATAAAAATTTGTCAAGTCTTTTTTTTTTAATTAGAAAAATTAGAAAAAATCGATGAGCAAAAAAAAAAAAAATGCTTTATTTTTTTTTTATTTTTATAGTGTTCGTGTAGAATTAAATTAAACTAGTTGAAAACTAGTTTTTAGGAAAGAATATTATATATTTAATAATGATTTTTGAGGTCTGATAGAACCTATTTGTGGAAGATTAAAAAATTTTTTCTCAAATTTAACACTTGTATTATTTTGTAGAAAATATAAAATTCACAATATTACAATTGTAACCATCGTTTTTAATATAGTTTTAATAAAATTATACTAACCAGAATCTAATTTTTTAAAGAATAATTTTTAATCCTCGAATACTTTAAATATTTTTGCAATAAGAAGTCTCTTTGAGAAAGCAAAAAAAAAATTTTAATTTTTCTGAAAATTCCTAATCTTTGATACTAAATTTAAAATAAATGTACAAATTAATAAATTGATATTTTAAATTAATTTGAATATTATACAAACTATTGTTCTAAACTAAGAGAATAAAAATATGTACAAAATTATTAATTCTAAAATGAACCAAATAATCTTTTTTTTTTCTTTAAATTAAATTTTTCCATACTTGACAAATGCAATAGTTTCAATTATTTGTATAAATAAAAAAAAGTAATTAGTTTCCAATTGTTCTAAATTTTGATTTTAAAGATATTTACAAACTTTTAAAATAGAATAAACCTAATAATTTTTCTTTTTCAAATTTATCCTAAATTAAATTTTTTGTTACTTAACAAATGCAATAATTTAAAATAATTGGAGTTTCCCGCGCATTTTTATACTTGAACCAAGAAATCAAAAATCAATTATTTCTTTTTTATTAAAAATAGAATTAATTTTCTCTCATGGAAAATTTTATTCTAGGTTTGGTGAAAAAAATATTTTTAATAAACAAGAGAATTAAATAAAATTTAATGTTACGATTTTTAAATATTATTTTATTTCGCGGGCATTTTGAAGTGATTTGATTGGTGGACGTTTAAATTTGCATGTTCTGGACGCTAGATAGCGCTGCGATCAAAAGCCATGGTGAAGGAAGCAAAGTGGGGATCGTCGCCATTTTCTATTTTTGCATAGCTGCGAGCTAATGTTACATGTGTACATTTTGTGTGATAAATTAAACGATTCTATTTGTAATTAACGTTTTATTGTGGAGCTCAACGGAATAATGTCATGAATTTGTGGATAACGTATCGGGCACATTCTATGATCGAGTTCACCTTGTTTGCCGTCCGCGTTGCCGCGAGTAAACTCAGTTTGACTTGCACGTAAACATTTTTCAATCAACTTTCCTCCAAAAGTGAGAGTGGAGTGGAAAATAAAAAGAGTCGAATGTTCTAACCAAACTGCGTCTAATTGATATCGAAATATCATTCCGCTCGCGATATTTTTCGGGTTTCAAGGGATATTTACGATTAGAAGAAAAACGAATCTGTGATATTAAACAGTAATAAGGTGTATAGAATTCCTAGGTGATAGCTTCGTAAAATATAAGATATACGTGTGTCGTAGTAGTATCTTTTAAAAAAAACTAGGTATAGATCTTTATAAAAAGGATCTAAAAACGAAATTCGAATAGAGATAACTTTTAAATCGTCCAAAGAACAAGCATCTTCGAGAACAAGATGTCTGTTGAATCTGTGTCAAGTGACAGGCCGGACCCAAAAGACGAAGGTATGTTGAGATTTGATATACATATACGCTTATACTATTTTTGCTCACTGCTCACTCTTCTTTTTTTTCTCTGCACTAATCATGAAATCATTTTTCACCTATTTCATTTATTTTTAATTACATATTTGTTCATTTTTTCCATTGTTTTATTGATGGGAAAAGTTTCTTTCAATATCGCTCTCGTAGGTGCATTTATCTTTAACTTTCCCTTTTTTCACTAGTTTATACCCTTACAACAAATAAGTATTTTATTTGCTTATTTATTCGTTATTAGAAATCAATTCATATATTTTAGGGACAAACACATAGAGTAATTTCTCAATATTCCAGACGTAAACATATTTAATTCCTGAACTCCAATTTCAAGAATTGTAAAACATTTCATAGTAAATAAGTATTTGAACAAATTTCTACTCATATTTTTCTTTTAAATCTTTACACTTTCTCTTTTTCTCGATTAATTACCTAATTATTAAAATTTTTATTGTTAAAATAATTTTCAAATAATTATTTCTGTTTATATCTTTCAATGAAAACATTTTCTAAAGTTTAATTCGTTTTTCAAAACTGAAGTTTTGAAATATGTTTTTATTATAAAACTTCTGCTCTTCAAGGTTTTAGAAGTAAGACAATTGGAAAAAAGTAGATTGCATTGTAAAGTAAATGTATGTTTGTATAAAATTTGCCTAACAATTTTCTTAAAACATTCGTATTATATTTAGAATTCTTTTGTCCTCATTCATATAAAAACATTTGCTGTATATTTTTATTTTTATATATCGAAAATGTAATTTAAATGAAATGTTATCTTTAAAATTACAACTTATCAATGTTTTTACAAAGTTGATTAATTCTCAAGTTCTGACTCAAATTTTTATTCTCAACATTGTTAAAGGTGAATAATAATTTAAAAGGTCAGCGAAGGTTACTAATCGTAACATAATTTACAACTAAAAATAAATGTTGACAATTTTCGTTATAATGTCACTATACAATGTAGTGGGAAAATAAATTCTTACTTACAAATCATTAATTAGAATTATGTAACAATGACAGAAATTAAAAAATGTATTTTTGATCCAGTTGAAAAATTTTACGCAAAATTACAATTTTTTTAAAGGAAAATTTTTTTGATTAAATTCTTATCAAATTAATTAGAATTTGATTTGGTTTTATAAAAATTTGTATTAAATATTCTGAAAAATATTGAAAAAATCCAAAAGTGCAATTTACAGAGATTTTGTATTTTATTTTGACTGGAATTTAGTGTCGAAAGTTCGTTTAATACATTCAAAATGTAAAATTGACGAATCATTTTCAAATGTCAACAAAACTGACCAATACGAAAATTAATTTCATATCACGTGAAAGGAGAAGTTTAATTTTCTGTGGTATAGTTTTGGGGTGTTTATCTATTCAAACTGATGAGTTGAATCAGTTTATTCCGGAGCCTTGTATAGTATAGAACGTCTTATATAAAATAAAAACAAATTTTTGTGTACAATAGGATAAAATTTGTTTTTTTTCTCATTTTTGAAAAAAAAGTGTTTCGAATTTTATCAATTTCATTTATAAAATAGTATAATTAATAAATTTATTGACTTGTGAAAATAAAATCGCTGGCCGATTTTTATGTTAAAGTATAAAATAAGAGAAGAGAAGAGGTTCCCGAAGAGAAAAAAATTATCAAGTTTATTCGAGTATTTATCGTGTTATTATCGTCCTTCAGAAAAAGAAAAAAGTATAAACACTCAAATCATATTTACGTTTTTAACGGTCTTTTGAAAAAGAATTAAAATCATTTTTTGTACTTGAAAGGAAATTCTTTCCTTTTTTTTTGTACTTTCGAGAAGAGTGCAATTTTCGGTACTTGAAAAATGACAAAATTTAATTCGTCAAATATGGCGCGAGTGGGTCCTCATCGTTATCGAAGACCTCGTCGACGTCCTCTCGTTGGCCCTACCGGCTCACCGTATCTCGATTATACTCTTCTTCTTGATACAAAAGCCGCTCCATGGTTTCGGCGAAATAAACAAACGAATGTTGTTAAAAGTACTCCATTTCGTAAGTTTAGAACAATCCTCTTTTTTCCTTTTTTTGCTTTTTCTATTTTTTTTTCATTTTCTTATTTTTGGTTCCTTTTCTATTTTTTTCTTCTTTTGTCGTTTTTCTATTTTCTTTTCGTTCTTATCCTTTTTCTGTTTTTACTCTTTTTGAATAATTTTTCAAAATAATTTTTACGAATTTGAAATTATTTACAAAAAAATTTGTTTTCTAGAGATAAAATTTGCAGAATATTTATTATTAATTTAATTACGTTTTGTTGTTATTTTACTTACTAAACTACGGAAATTAATTGAATTGAAAAAACAAATTTTATTTGCGAATTAAAAATTATTTAAATTTACAGTTACATTTGAAAGCAAATTTTGTTTATATTTCAATAATATAAATACAAGTTTTGATACCGAAAAGAAATTTTTAACTGTTATTTGTATATGTGAAAGATAAATATTATCAGAGGTTATTCTAAAGGAAAACTTTGTTTGACCTTGAAAAATTTTTCCCAATTTTTCTACTTTTATGTTTGACAAATTAAAATTTAGGAAAATAAAATCAATGCTAAAATATTTATAATTGTCTATCGTAATTTTTGGTGTTTTATTTTTGTATTTTATTTTTTGTATTTTATTTGGCAATAATTATTACAAATTTGGTAATTTTATTTATTTTCGAAAAAAAAATTACTACAAAGAATTAATTAAAAATTGTTTTTTTATGTTATTTTGTGTTTCAAAAAGAAATTTTTCTTGTTTCAGGAGATGAAGCAATTATATCAATGTCGGTCGCCGGAGAGGTGACTGATTCCTCGATTTTGGAAGTTGGTCGTTCAAGACCTCAATTCCAATATACTCGGGTTTGTTGAATTTTTTTCTGGTTAAAAAAAGCCTTTTTTAATTTTTTTTACTGTTCAATTTGACGATCCTGAAGTTTTGAACGTTCGAAACTGTGAAATTTATTTATTTTTTCTTCGAATTACAATTTTATTGCAATAATTTGGCGTCACTTTTAAAAAAATTTTAGTGAAATTTGACGATCTTAAGTTTTGAACGCTCGAAACTATGGAATTTATTTATTTCTTCTTCAAATTACATTTTTATTACAATTTTGCGTCACTTTTAAAGAATTAACTATTTTAGTAAAAATTTTAGTGAAATTTGACGAATTTAAAGTTTTGAATGCTCGAAACTATGGAATTTATTTATTTCTTCTTCAAATTATATTTTTATTGCAATTTTGCGTCACTTTCAAAAAATTAACTATTTTAGTAAAAATTTTAGTGAAATTTAAATTTAAAAATGTTTTTATTTAAATTTCCAATGTTTATTGCAATCAGTATTTTTAAAAATAATTTTTAGTGGAATTTACATTCCCAATTTTTATTGTAATCCATAATTTACGAAAATATTTTTTTTTTCTTTTATTTTTCTAATTATATCTTGTTGAATAATTAAATTTAAATAATTATAACAGTAACTAAATTTTCAATTAGTTGTTAAACACTTGTGAACATTTTTTTTCTACTTCAAAAAGAAAATTTTCAGTTTGTTTCTTATTTGACTGATTTTAATATTTGTAAACTGCTAGCAATTTCTATCTTCGTAATTGACTTTTGCCTCCCACTTTATTTCTTTGAATATTTAGTAAAATATTTCAAAGAAATAAATAAATTTTATTTAATTTCCTTATGCGTAAAATGTATCGAAAAATAATTTTTTTTCAGGAGGAACTCATGAACATAAAGGAGACAGCTTTGGCTAAACGAAAACCCGATTGTCTGGATCCGGCATACAATAAGTACGTTCAATTTGTTTTGTTTCCGAAAAAAATTGAATCGTATTTTACAAAAAAACAATTTTACAAAAAATTTTTTATAAAAAATGGAAATAATTTTCTGCATAAAAAGTTGAGATTTTCAATTTTATATTTAGCATTTCTATTTCTTATTTCTTTTTTTGCGATTTTCATTTAACAGCAAGCATGGTGTATGGGATCCTGAGCGTTGGCATTTGGATAGAAAGCGAAGTGAAACACCGCCGGATGATGAGCCGGCGAGTCGTATTGATGCTGTAGCGGAGAATCATGCCAAGCGACGCAGTGGAGATCCTCGGGAGAGAATTCGTAAAGAGCAGGACGGCATTGTTTTGAGTCCACAACGACGAAGTTTCAACTCCGGATGTTTTGTCAACGTAACGCAACCCCCACCGCGACGCCCAGAAAGCCCGATTGGCAAATCTGAGGTAGAGAAAGCATAAACGTTATTTCTTATCGTCTACAGATACGGGAGTAGATTGTATATTTATAGATTATAAAACTCGTACGATTTCAAGAGAATTTTTTTTTTTTTTTACTTTGAATATTAACAAAGTATTTTTGTTTTTTTTTGTTGTTGAGGAGAAAAAAATTAAGAATTGTTTTTGTTTCAGGTTACACATCGTGAGCCGGTTCGTCGGATCGGCAGTGGTCGCATTTTAAATCGCGACATGTGGGACTTTAGATCGGACAATGATAAACTTGATTCAGATCGTTCGGAATATAATTTCCGACCTGGTGGCGGAAATTCTCTTCGCGATCGAGACAATCGGGATTCAGGAAGGGACAGAGATATAATGCGAGATCGGGACATTATTCGTGATCGAGATGAGAGGAACGATCGTTTTGAGCGACGTTCATTTGGCAGAGATTTTGGAGATCGTGGAATGGAGAGGAATGAGCGTAATCAGCAGAATGATCGGGACAAAGACCGAGGAGGTCGCGATCGACGATACGGAAACGATCGTCGAAGGAGTTTCAACGATAGTCGCGACAATGAGGAGCCTGAATGGTTCAGTTCTGGGCCGACTTCTCAACACGACACTATTGAGTTACGTGGCTTTGAAGATATTCCCGAGGAGAAGATGAATAATAACAACACTAGCGCCAAAGGGAAGAAACAATCGCCGGCTCAGAAGAAACGTGCGAAGAAAGCCGCTGAGAAGGAAGAGAAGAAGGAGGAAAATCATTCTGCCGGTCCAAAGGGTCGTAGTACTCCGAATTTGATGGAATCGCAAACAAGTGTCATTGCCGCGCCTCATTCACCGATTCTTGAGCAAAATGAACAAGAGCCGCCCGCCTTGAAGGAGAAGCAAGACGACAGTAAATCAACGACAACTGCCACTGAATCCGAAGACACGGAGAAAGTAAACACCTCGAATCAGAATCAAAGTCAGGAAACGAAACCTCCCGATTTTAATCTTGATGAGTTTTTGAAATCGGACACGTTTCCCGGTGTGTCTGGCCTACTTACCAATGGAGTTGGCTCCAATGGTGGGACTGGTTCACGATTCAGTCAATGGTTCAAGAGGGAGAGTCCCGTTCAACAGGTGGACAGTCGCCGACAATCTATTCAAGATGAATTGCTCAACAATCTTCTAAATGACATTTCTGAACCGAAAATTAAAATTCCCGCAGTGTCCGAGTCGAATGCTTATTTTGCGCCAATTTCTCCTGCCAATACAACTAATAATGCTGCAACTGGAACGAAACTTTTGGAGATGTTACAGCGTGGTAATAAAAATCAACAGAATGGTGGTCAGGGAGACGCTGCCAATCAGGTTGTTCAAATGATGAAAAATTCGAGTATCAAAGATGTTGAACAAAGTGGCAAGGTTTTCCATAGTTTGGAGGAATTGGAAGCGAGAATGCGCGGTGGACTTCCATCTGTTGTGCCTAATGAACAACCAAGGGTCAATAAAAACGAAGAGGATCTTTCTGCTTTCAAAAAATTGCTGGCTCAAGTTACTGGCGGTCAGGCTGTTCCTGCTGCAAATGGACCGATTCCACAGAAGCAACAACAACAACAACAGCAGCAACAACAACAACAACAACCGATCACGTTGATGCAATTACTTAATACGCAATTGAAGACACAACAAAATGAACAAATTCGACCACCAACTTACAATCACGTTGGACCTCTTGGTCCAATTCAACATCCTCATCAAAGTCAATTGCAACATGAAAATCTGATGAAAGTTTTGCAAGTCCAACAGGTACGTTCTATTACTATATAATACACCTTGAAAAAACCTGGAAAAGTCAGGGAATTTTGATCGGAATCCTGGAAAATTATTGTTCTCTAAAGTTATTGTGCTTATATTTTAGAAATCTAATTTTACTTAAATATTTCAAAATTAATTGAATTTTAAAAGAGTTGCGTTTACAATTCTCATAAATTGATGAACTTTTCAAAAGGTTTTAGTTTAAAATTTTGAATTAATTAAATAATAAAAATTTCACAGGAATTCTATTATTTACAAATTTTTTATAAATTTCTTCGCTATAATTCAATTATTTTCATATTATATAATCAATTTTTTACAAAGATTCAATTATTTTCATAAATAATCAAATTTTTTTACAAAGATTCAATTATTTTCATAAATAATCCATTTTTTTTTACAAAAATTCAATTATTTTCATAAATAATAAAATTCTTTATAGGTTTTCAATTATGTTCATAAATAATAAAACTCATCGCAGAATTTCAATGGAATTTCTCGAAAAATGTAATTATTCTTAAAAATTTTTATTAAAATTCATCAAAGAAATTCAATTATTTTAAAAAGCTTTCCTATAATTCATTTATTAGAATTAAAGTATTATTGTTAATACATTTTTAATTAAATTTCTTTAAAAAATTTAATTATTTTCAAAAATTTTAATGAAATTCTTTTTAACAATTCAATTTTTTTTTCAAAATAATTTTATTAAAATTCTGCGTAGAAATTTAATTAATTTCAATAATTTATCAAAATTCAATTATTTTCAGTATCTATTTCAATAAAATTTCACAAAAGAATTCAATTATTTAAAAAGAAATATTAAAATTCGTCTCAAGAATTCAATTATTTTCAAAAGTAATAAAATTCTTCTCAGAAATTCTAAAGTTTAAAAAAAAAATTCTCGTCAAAATTCCAATTTTCTTTATAAATAATAAAATTTTTCTCTAAAAATCAATTATTTTCAAAAATTTTTTTTAAATTCTTGGCAAAATTTCAATTATTTTTAAAAACTTTTCTCAATTCAATCAAATTTTTGACAGAGATTCAATTATTTTTAATACAATTTTAATCTAATTTCTCGAAAAATGAAATTATTCTTAAAAATTTTATTAAAATTCGTCAAAAGAATTTTAATTACCTATTTAAAAATTTGATAAAATTCTTTGTGAGACTTCTATTTTAAGTAACATTCAATTCTTCAATAAATTATTTATTTTTGTATTTAAATAATTTAATTCTCGTAGAATTTTCTAATAAAAATTGATTTAAATATGAATTTCAGTTATCTTTTTAGAAAATAATTGAATAATAAACTCTAAATTTGAATTAGTAAAAATGTTTTCTAATTTCAGTTAGTGGCTGACTTTTTGCTTTTGAATTAGCAGATTTTACTAATAAATAGTCGTTTCCGCTAATTTAATAGTAAAATTTATTAATTTAAAAGCAAAATGTCATTAACTAATTCCACTCAGTAAACATTTTTACTAATTCAAATTTAGAGAGAAAGTATTATAGCGTGGATTTTTAGAAATAATTCAATTTTGAAAAGGTTTCAAATTAGAATCTTTCAAAGTTTAAATTTTTCATACTTTTAACTGAAAATTGTGTAGATTTAATTTGTTTGAAAAAATTTCAATTTTCTAATATATATTTGATTGAAGAATTTCCGAATAATCGATAAAATTTTTTAAAATTGAATTGTAAATAAAAGGATTTGAAAAAATGTTAAAGAAATTTTCATAAATTATTAAAAATAATTGATTTAAAGAAGAATTTTAGTTAAAAAATTTAGAAAATAATTGAATTGAAATAATGAAAATAATTTTTATGAAGTTACAGTTACAATATTCGCGTATAATATAAAAAAATTATTTTATCTCTCGGTTATCTTTAATTATTATAAAACATGAAGTATAAAACATGAGTCTTCGACTCGGAGTGATCGATTTCTTCATGTTTTATAACAATTTTTTTATAAGTTGTTTAATTTCAAAAAAATTGAATTTGAATAAAAAAAAAATTTATTAGAATTATTTAATTTTGTAAAATATAAAATGTAGTTTTAAGAAACTGGACAAATTCCGTTTTTTAATATGGAAAACCTTGAAAAGTCAGGAAATTTGAGCGTGGCAAACCCTGAGTTGTGTTAATTTTTCTTTTTCTTATTTTTTGTAAAACTAGCAACAAAAGCAGAGACAGGAACAGCAGCAAATGTTCTCGATGATGATGGGAAATCAGCGTATGATGGGTGTGAGTCCCATTCCACCGGATGTGCAGATGATGATCAATTGCGCGCCAACTACTCGCGAACTCCTCCAGAGACCAGAAGCTCGAGCTATCATTCATGGACTTCAACATGGCGATATTACGAAACAACACATTATCGAGCAGTTGCAGGTATTTGTGTATTAATTATAATAAACCTTTTGTTGTCAAGCGTCACATATTTGTTTTGTATAAAATTTCCTTTATTTATTTTTTAAAGATTAACTTTTAATATTTTATTTTAAAATCTAAAAGTTTGAAATATTTAACAAAATCGATTTTTTTTACACAGAATCCGGTAATGCAACACAGACATCGGGAGGTTCTTGTCAACATTCTGAAGGTCTATGGAGGAACTACTCCTCGCACAGTGAGTCCACATCCTAACGTTCCCACTCCTCAGGACCACATGCTGCAGCAAATGTTGTACCAGCAACAACAGCAGCAACAACAACAACAACAACAGCAGCAGCAACAACAGCAACAAAGAATTCCATCGCCAATGAACAATGGTAAGTTTAATTTTTTATTTTCTGTCAATTCTTTTTTTTTATTTAACAGGGTTGCCACAGGTCAGGGAAATAAAATTTTAAAAAATGTCCGGAAAAATAAAATTTGTTTGGAAAATCAGGAAATTTTATCAGAAATACTGGAAAAAGTAATAAATTTCTAGAATTGATAAAGAAAATTAAGGTCTTTGGTGTCCAGAAACTTTTGAAAATATAAACATTTAATTCTCGAATTTTTTTTTGGTTTATTTTATAAACTTTGAAATTATGAATTTTAACAAAAAAAAACCTATTTTTTCTATTTTTGACAATAATTGTAACTTAGAGAATATAAAATTGAATTTATTTCGAATAATTGAAGTGAAACGAAGATAATTACATTTCTGAAATATGATTATTTCTATAAATTCAAAAGTTTGTAAATAATTCCAAATTTGTAAAACTTTATTGAAAATAATTGATTTTTCTAAAGTGTGTTTAATTAAAATTTTTGAAAATCTACAAATGAAAATTAGCTTGAAAAAATGTATTATTTTTTTAAATTGTCTGAAAACTTTCTTAAAGAAATTTAATTATTTTCGAAAAATTACATTGTAATATTTAAAAAAAAATAATTCTAATAATTTTTTCAATTCATTTATTAAAATTCAATTATTGGAAAAAATTAATTAAAATTTTTTTAAAAATCTACTTTTTTAGACTTATTCTTAAAATTTTTGATAAATAAGGGATTTTTAGGTATATTTTTTAAATTCTTCAGAAAAATTATTATTCATCAATATTTTACAAAAATTCTTTTCAAAATTCAATTATTTAAAATTTTTTAATTTTTTATAATTGAATAATTCTTTATCTTTCAAAAAATATTTTAAATATTTTCAAAAAACACTAATGTTAATAATTTTTTTATTCTAATTCTTTAAAAATGAATTTCTTTGAAAAATTCAATTATATTCAAAAGATTTTACTAAATTTCAATTATTTAGAAATTTTCAATTAGCTATAATTGAAAAATCCTTTATCTTCTGAAAAATATTTAAATAATTTTCAAAACACTAATTTTAAGAATTTTTTTAGTATAATTTTTTAAAAATTAATTTCTTTGAATATTTTCAATTACATAGGATTCTCAATAATTAATTTTAATAACTTCAAAAAAATGATGAATAGAGTTACAGTTGAAATTATAAAAAATTGAATTTTTGTATTTAATTTCAGGAATATTATTAAAAATAATTGTTTTAGAGAAGAATTTTAGTTAAAAATTGTAGAAAATTAAAGTAATTAAATTTTGGAAGGTTTACAGTTGAAATGATAAGAAATTGAATGTTTGTGTGTAAATAATAAAATTCTCGAAGAGAATTTCCGTAATATTATTAAAAATAATTGTTTTAGAGAAGAAATTTAGTTGAAAATTGTAGAAAATTAATTTAATTAAATTTTGGAAGGTTTGCAGTTGAAATTATAAAAAATTGGATTTTTGTGTTTAAATAACAAAATTTTCGAAGAGAATTTCCGTAATATTATTAAAAATAATTATTTTAGAGAAGAAGTTTAGTTAAAAATTGTACAAAATTAAATTAATTAAATTTTGGAAGGTTTAGAGTTGTAATTTTGAAAATAATTGGATTTCAGAAGGTTTTAAAATTTTTGTGACAACATTTAATAATATAAACGACTTTTTCGCATTTTTTTCTTTGTTCCTTAATAGACTAAAGAGACTTTTTTTTGAGTCTTAAAGTCAATCCGCGTCCTGAATTAAAGATATTTACAAATAAATGTATTAGAAATATTTTTTTTGTTTATCTTATCATTTTTTGAGTGAATTAGAATATTCATGGAATATTTCATTATTTATTTATGAATATTTTAATTCATGAGCATGGAAAAAATTCAAAAGTCTGTCTGGAAATCAGGGAAAAACCAAATTAAATTTCTCTGGCAACCCCGTTCAATTTTTATTTGCATATTTCGTTATTTCTTTTTTTTTGACTCTGTTTAATGGAAATTTAACAACAATAAAAAAGAAATGTTTTTCCCACGACTTTGGATAATATTAAAATTTTTTGATCAGTGATGCAACATCGAGTTCCATCGCCTCGTGAGCTTGCAATGCACACGCAAACAATAATACAAAATGCCTTGATCAAAAAGAAGCTTGAGGAACAGCGTGAAAATTTCCGTAAACGACAGGAACAACAACAGCATCATCAACAGCAGCAGCAACATAAACATCAAACCCATCCAAATGCTCCTAGTCCAGTGAATTCGCCGGCAAAACAGACATTAAGTCCAACGCCACTTGCTTTCACGCCAACTTCGGTACTACGTAAAATGACCGCCGAAAAGGAACCCGAGGGTGCGAATCAATCATTTCAACAAGTAGAAATTATTATTGCCAGTGCTTCCGCTAATCAAGCTTTGCCTAAATTTAATTCTTCTGTAGTTATTCCACCACGCAATTACACTTCACACAAAAATCAATCACCCAAGGAGAAAAAATGGAACGGCATTGTTTCAAAGGGTCAGGGAAATAATAAGAATGGTGGTAATCATAAAAATTTTGCCCCCACTAACAATAAAATGAGTCCTAAGAAAAAAGCGCCGCGATCAAAAAATAATAATTCCCTCTCAACAGTGAATAATAACGATAATAATAACAATAATACTAGCAACATTGAAAACATGAATGAATCGCAAAAAAATTGTCCTGATGGAAAAAATTCTGAATCTTCTTCTAATACTAAAGTTTTGGATTCTGATCCAAAAGTTTCTGATATTAAAAATATTAGTTCGGATCAGATTTTAAATATCGATTCCAAAAATGATATTCCTAATAAAATAATGTTGGATTCTGATCCAAGCATTTCAACTTCAGTTTCAAAATTATCAAATTTTGATTCAAAAGTTTCTGATAATGAATCCGATAAAAAAGTTTCAGTTTCAAATGAAAAATCAATTGACATTTCAAATGCAATTGATTCTGATCTAAAACCATCAGTTTCTACAATTCCCTCAGCGATTGATGATAATTCAATGAAAACTAATATTCCAATAATAAGTGGTGAATCGAAGAATAAGATTATGATTTGTGAGGCACAAAATTCAGCAAGAAGATCTTCACTTGATTCTCTGGATTAAATTATACTTTTCATTCATAAAAGTTCCTTAAAAAAATAAATCACGTCAGACGTTTAGATTTAGTCCTTATATGCATGTCATATAGTAATCTTTGAGAAAAAAAAATGTCATACAAGGAACTCTAAGGTAACTCGAAATTAACGAGTGATTTATTAAAAATATAAATGGGTAGAAAGATTTTATTTTATTTTTGTTTTTTAAAAAAAAAATTGAAAAGTACGCGGTTTAGTTTCTTCAATTAATTTTTCTTTTTCATTGTAAGTTCCTTTGAATTGAATTTTTTTAAAATTGATTAAATCAAAGTAACTAAGGCTGAACAAAAATTAGCGGCAGGCTCGCTTTTTTCTTAAGGACTATTGGAAAATATTGTTAGTTTGGTGCTTCACACAATAATACACTTAACATAACACCAAAACAGAATCTTATGTCGAAACACTCTTTTTATATAATAAAAAAAACACTTCAGCTAGAAATTTGAACTATTTTGGCAAATTTTTTTTGTTTTTTTTAATACTGCATGCTTTTTGAGAAACTGCTTAAAATAGTCTTTAGATTTTTTGTTAGTAGTTAAAAATTTAAGAAGCATGATTATTCTTGGTGTGATTTAGTGAAAATATTTAATTAGATTTCTGAATTTTCGTTTTAAGGACCTATTTTTCCTATTTTTACTAAATTCGTTCCGTTCCTAAATTTTTCTTATTTTCATTTTTCTTATTGTCTAATTTTTAGATTACCTGATTATTTCTTGATATAATTTTAATAAGGGATTTTATTTGAATATTTGTTCAGACTTTGCCGAACGAATCAGCTAAAATTTAAAAAACTTTCTTTTATTATATCAAGAAAATAATTTAAATATTCAATAAAATTGTTTTTATAGTAATTTTTTCAGGGGAATTTAATGGTCAAAAAAATATTTTGATCCTTTTTTTTTTAAATTGGTAGATTATGAAATCCATGCGAAATTTTTGTAAAAAATATGTTTTTTTTTGCACAAAAAATTGACAAAATGAAAAAATTTATTTTTACTATTTTTGAAACATTTTTTAGAGAAAAAAATTGTCTTTTTGCTTAAAATGTTGAACAACACTATTGTTATTAGACTTTTTTTATTTAAAAAAATTAATTTCTTTATTTTTCTAACTAATTTCAGATCATAATTTTTAAACATAGAAAATGCAAAAAAGTTATGATTTTAAATTAGAAAGAAAAGAAAGAAATTTTTAAATAAAAAAATTGAATAATAACACTAGTGTTTTTTGCATTTTCAGCCTAAAAACAAAATTTTATTTAAAAAAAAAAAACTCACCAAAAATTGGTGAAAATCAATTTTTTCATTTGTCAATTTTTTCGTGGATTCAAAAACATTTTTTACAAAAATTTGTAATTTCGAAATCTACTAATTTTTAAGAAAAATAAAAGTTCAAAAAATAATTTAATGGAATATTTAAGATATTTTCTTGATATTGTTTAAAATAATTTAAATATTCCATAAAATTGTTTTTATAATCATTTTTTGAGAGGAATTCAATGGTCAGAAAAATCCTGAAAATTGGTAGATTTTGATTTTCGTGCGTAATTTTGTAGACAATATATTTATGTATACAGAAAAAAATTTAACGAATGAAAAAGTTGATGTTTACTATTTTTAAAGCATTTTTTTTAAATATTGTTTTTTAGTTAAAAAATCTAAAAAGAACACCATTTTCATTCAATTTTTTCATTTGAAAATTCACTTCTTTTTTTAACTAATTTTGAAACATAATTTTTATAAAGAAAATTTTATTTGAGAGTATTTATAAAAATATACAAATGATATTTCAAATAAAAAAATTGAATAACAATTATATTTTTAGCATTTTGAAGCAAACAGACAATTTTTTTCTCTAAAAATGTGCTTCAAAACTAGTAAAAATTAATTTTTTTTATTTCATCAATTTTTTATGAATGAAAAAACATATTTTCTACAAAAATTTCGCATGGATTTCAAAATGTACCAATTTTTTGAGAAAAATAAAAATATGAAAAGGGTTAAAATTTTTTCTGATCGATTTTATTTAAAGACAATTTTGAAAAATGGAATTAGTTCAAACGGTTATTATGGAGTAAAATAAAAATTAACTAATTGAGAAAAATGAAAAGTGACGATGAAAATTCAGAAATACAAAACTTGTAAATAAAAAAATTATTAAAATTAATAATAATGCAAGTTTGCAATTGACGTTTAAACAGTTTCGACGATATTTCTTTTCAGCTTTGCTTTGATTGCATTTTGAGTGATTTTGATGCTGAATTCATTATCCAGTGTGCATGATAGAAGTTTTCCTTTTAGAAATGTACAGAAACATTTTTTAAATGCACAGAAACATATTTTTTTTTAAATTGGTTTCAAATAACAGACAATTCAGAAAAGAAGAAAATTTACAATTTATGTAAATTTTGACTTAGTTTCAAATATTTTAGACTATTAATGTTCATAGTTGGTTTATATTTTATTTTTTCTATTTATCAGAATGTGGAAGATAGTTGAAAATTTTTTCGTGTGTTTAAATATGCTTTTTTATCGCATACCGACGAACACAAGGTAAGATTTTTTTTAATATTTTTTTTCCAATCGGTAAGTAAAAATAGAACTTTTTACACTAACAAAAATGTTTATTTTCTAAATTACTATTTTAATTAGGATTTTTAAATTCTAATTATTATTCTAAAATTAATTGAAAATTCTAATTCTAGTTAAATAATTAATGCTTCACTGTAAGAGTCGCTGTACAAATTTGAGAAAACTGCGAAACAATTTTGGTTGTTGTGTTGAGATTGCTTTTTCTTCTCAAATCGTAAGCATGTATTTTTTTCTATTTTGACTTTTACTGCTTTGCTTAGGCTACAGTAGAAATTGAAAGATTTGGAATTATTATTATTATTACTATTATTATTATTATTTTTATCGTCAAACATGAAATAAAAATGTACAGGTAACAACGATCCATCAAAAATGGTTGCTCCTAATTCAGCATTACGACGTGACGATCTTTCAGTTATTGCTGATTTCGCTCATCAAGTTGCTCTCGCTGCTGGAGAATCTCGCGTGCCACCAACTCGATCACAACAACCAATTCACCCCAATTGGCAGAATCCTGCTGTCAAACAGCATCCTGGTATGTTTCCATTAAGACAAGAATTCTTTGGAGTTAAATTTCAATTTTTAGATTTGAAAATAATTATTTCGCTGTGTTTTGTCTCATCAAAAATAAGTTTTATTTTCAATTTCTCTTGTAATTGAGAATTTTCATTTTGTTATTTATTTATTCCCTCTGAATTTTTTGATTATTTTTCACCAACACATTTAAGCAGGATTCTGTCATGTTTTTTAATTCACCACCTTTTCTTTATTATTTGGTTTCTTTTGAAATGATTCTGTCATGTTTCTTTTTCTATTTACCACCTTTGTTTTATTATTTGATTCTCTCATGTTTCTTTTTCTAATTACATGCCATTTTTGTTTTTATAATTTGCTTTATTTTTGCAATTAATTTTTTTGTTTTCAGAGGAAATTTGTTTTATTTTTGACTTTGACTATTTTATTTTTGGAAAAAAAATTAAGAAAAAGATAGATTTATCTTGTGATGAATCTTGTAATTTTTCACAATTGGAATGACGATCTTGATGAAATATTTAATTTTAATTATTATTGTTGAATTATTACAGGACGACCAATTGTTAAGGGAATAAATGAATACCCGTATAGTGCAATGTTGGAAATGCAACAACAACAGCAGCAACAAAAACAACAACAGCAGCAGCAACAACAGCAACAACAACAGAGAGCAGTTTCTGGGATGTTCGCTAATCCCCATCGTTCAAAGCACACAATGACTGCTCCAGTTTCTCATCCAAATGTTTCTCAATTTAATGTTGCGCCCAATTCCGTTATGGGACAGAGAACGAATCAAATGACTAGTCAAATGAAGCAAGTTCACCTTGCGAATTTACAGCAGCAGCAACAACAGCAACAACAACAGCAGCAACGATCTGTTAATCCGCAAATTCAACTTGCTTTGAACCAAAATTACAATTCGTCTCGTAATGGTAAGAATTTTTTTTTTTATCTAAATTCTTTAAATTTTAATTTATTAGATATTTTTTCATTTTATCTAAATTTTTGTCTGAAAATAATTTATTATTAAAGTGGAGAGTACTTGAAAGAACAGATCATTTTAAATTTTGTTTTTTGTTTTTTCTAATACTCGAAATGTTTTCGATTCGCATTAAAATGACGCCTCGGATTATTCGACTTTTTGGCTTTTTTTCACTATTTTCAGAAAACATGACTTTTTCGTTTTATTTTCAAAAAATGCGACTTTTTCTATTTTTTTTTCAATTATTGCAATAGAATACGTTCATGAATTTCACAACGTTTATAATCAACGTTTTGAGAGAAAAAATATTTTTCTATTGTAATTTTTATCGAAAAATTTTTTTCAATATTTTTTCCAGCAAAAATTCAAAAAGTTAAATATTGTTAATTAAAACTATTGTTTTTGCATCAAAAATATTTATTTTTTTCTATCTTTAGATCATAAATGTTGTTAACTTTGCCCACGTAACAAAATATCATTTTCCTTTAGTATAAAATGCAAATTAGTTCCAGTTTTATAGAAAAAATATAGATAACTAGACGAATATTTCAAAATTTATTTTCAGTTTATTGAAATAATTGAATTTTTTTACAAGAACTTGATTAAAATTTACTAAATTCCAATTGTAGAAAAACTTATTGCGAATTTTGAAAATAATTGAATTTTTAAAATTTGAATGATGAATCAAATTGAAAATTACATATTTCCAAAAATTTGAATGTCTACAAAAAAATAATTAAATTAGAATTTTCTAAATCTAATTTTTTGAAATTATTAGCTATCAAAATTTTTGGAAAAAAACAATTATTTTCAAAAATTTTGAATAAAAATTCTTCAAATATTTGAGGCCTTGGATCCAATAACTCGCCCAGAGGTGCTCACTGCTCACTGACTGGCAGTTGCGCGTTTTCTCCGAGCGTCGGGCGAGTTATTGGATCCAAGGCCTCATTTGATTATTTTTTAATATTTTCCACCAAATTGTTTTAAAAAATTCAATTATTTTACTAAATTTTACTAAAAATCAGTTATTTGGACATTTTTCAGTTATTTAGAATTTAACAATCTATTATCATTCGAATATTATTTAGAAATATTTTCAAAATACCTACTAATTTTAAGAATTATAATTTTAAAAAATTTACAAATAATTATTTTTTTGAAATTCAATTATTTTCAATATTTTTGCTTATTTATTTCCAATAATTCAACTTAATAACTTTAAAAAGAAATGAAGAGTTGCAGTTGCAGTTATTGTAAAAATTAAACTTTCGTATTAAAAATAATCTATTTAGAGCATAAATAAAATTAAAAATTCTTGAAAATAATTAATTTTTGGAAAAATTGCTGTCTTAATTTTGAGAAATAGTTAAATTTCAAAATGTTTGAAAATGACTTTTTTATGTTAAATTAAATTTTAATTATTCAATTATTTTATTTAACAAAATAAATTATTTAATTTTTCGAATAATTGAATTTAAAAATTAGTTAAAGGTCCATAAAACACAAAATTTATTTTTTGTGATAAAATACTGAATAAAATAAATTACTTTTTCGACTTTTTTTTAATCTTTAAGGAAAGATTACTTATTGCTTTTTTATTTGTTTGTGAATAACAATGTATTATACTAATTCCAGGTTATCCAACTGTTCTTAAACATTCTGTCAGTAACGGAGCATTGAAATCGGAATAACAGAACCTCTCTCCTTTCCATCGTCCAAAAACCAAAAGTCCATCTTGCGAAATTAAGTAATCCCACAGATTATTATTTTTAAATTGATCCATATTTACAAATTTTTGAAAAAGAGATATTGAATAGAATTAAGATAATGGAAAATTGTGTGAATAATTATTTAATTGCATTCAATGTTTCAAGATCGTGATCATAGGTGATGAAAATGATCATAAATATTGTTACTTTGAATGTCGTATTCGATTTCGTCTATATTTTAGAAATTTGTCACTTTTTTCGTGTCAAATTGAAATTTTTATTTTCTCTGATCTCTGATTTTCTCTGACTGATCCATTTGTCAAATTGATCTGGTTGTCAAATTGAAATTTTAATTTGTTCAAACTTATTTTTATTTTCACTGTTCAAGACTGATCCTGTTTTTTGGTGTTAAATTGAAATTCTAATCTTGCAAACTTTTAGTTTTCCTTCTTTTATCTGAAAGTGATCCTTTGATTCCTTTTTCATTTATACTTTATTATTTGATTATTCCTCTTTGAGGAATGAATTAACTTTTTGTATTTATTTTGACGATTTTCTGTTTTTTTTTGCAGACGGACGTGTAATACGACCTCAACAATTAAATATTGGCGTTGGACGACAAACGTCACCAGTTCTTGGATTCATGAGCAGCAGTGGTGGTGAACTTTCTCCAACGTCAAATCAATTGGCACGATGGTTTAGTCCTGAACTTCTTGCTCAAGCACGTGCCGGTAAATTGCCAGAGTTGGGACAAACTAATTCTATTCTATCGGTAGAAGAACTCGAAAGATTACAACATGCATCAACGACAGTTCACAACTAAATCGACGTGAGACTTTATATCTTAATCTAATATATATAAAAACAGGTATATATATATTAGGATTATTAATTACGAATGCAGAAAAAAAAACAAATCTACTTTTGGATCTCAAAGATACTTTTTTAGAAAGTATACAAGCGATTTGCTACTAATTGAAGACAGTTTTACATTTAATTCACTTAATTCATTTAATTCGTTTAAAGAATTTCATTCATTCAATTCATTTAAAGAATTTAATTCATTTAATTCGTTTAAAGAATTTAAAGAATTGTTCAAATTATTGAAATATTATAGTTAATTTCGTCAATGCGAGAAAAAATCTATGTTGCTCAATTGAAATCGAAATAGAAATTTTCTCGAGAATTGACAACAATTTTTCGTTGTAAATTTTCTTGAAGAACCATGACATTTAAGATTTTATAAATCGTTTGTAATCTTTCGTTGAATTGTCTCCAATAGATTTCATTGTGATCATTGTCATTTATCGACAAGTTATTTTAAAGACTAAATTCTCAAATTGAGACGGAAACTTTTAAGGAAGACTTAGAAAAAATGAATACGAATTATCAGTGATCGGAAAAATAAGTGTTAGGCTATTTCCAATCAAGACTGTGCAAACTTTGTTTCTGCAATCCTATTAATGAACGCGTTCTCTCAAATTCCTTTTTTTCTTTAAAAAAAAAGCAAAAAAATTTTACTGTTTATTCGTTCTACACAAACAAAAAGACAAGCATATTAAAAAAAATTCATCGCTTCACAAGGCTGCCAATTTTTTTCTTCTCTCTTTTTTTTGGCATTTGAAAGGAAATTAGAATGACGTGCGTAAAAAAAATTTTGATCTTCGAGACTGATGTATTAAGTAAGACCCGATAAAAATTTAATCACTGTCTCCCCAAAATAATTTCATTTTTTTTCCTAGTATTATACTTTAAACATTTAATTTAATTAAAAAATGAAAAATGAAGTAAAAAAAAATTAAATTGAAAAAATAAAAAAAAGTAAATGAACAATTAAAACTTTTAAAATGTAAGAAAATTAAAACATAAGTTAAAAAAAAAGTGTAATTAATGAAAATTAATTTAATAGTATTTTCAAACTATGGGAGTTTGAATAAGATTATTTAAGAGATAAACGCAGTGTTTTTTTTGGCGTTTGGTGCTTTGCTCGTCAACTCCCATAAAGACTGTTTGCGCGCTATTTTTCGGTGCGAAATTTATGATTAAGATCTCTTTTTAAAAAAACAATATTATATTGAAAAAGAAAATTGTTTTTTTTTAGAAGCAAATCCAGGCTCCTAAAAATGTATGTCTGTCATTCTCAACGTATGTTAAATTATAAATAAATAATATATACCTGATACGAGAATACAGCGCTACCATTGTCGAAGATTAATAATTAATAATTAATAATAACTAGTATTCAAAGTATCTTTGAAAAAAAAATAAGTCGGGACAAAAAAAAATCATCATGAAAAGTGAATTAACATTCCAGAAATGCATGAATAAAGCTGGTCAATTTTTTATATAGTAATAATCGCATTAGACTTTTTTTTCCTTTAAATTCATTTCTTCGAAAAATAATTCTTATTTAATGATGATTTTTAAATGATAATTTAAATGATGGAAAAAATGTTTAAATACAAAAAAAAAAATGTTTCCTTTTTTTGGAGAAACAAATTTTTTTTCAATTGAATGAAATGTGAACTTAAATTTTCTGTTTGTAGCAAACAAAATATTTTTTAGAATCTCAATTATTAATGGCTGTAATTAGATTTTTTTAAATAAAAAAAGAAGAAAAATACGTTTTTTGTAAATAACGCGATTTTAATTTTTTTAGTAAGAGAGAGAGATTGATATGACGTACAATTATTTTTCAAGCGAAGGTTTTCTTTTCTTTGGGGGGAAAATATTCGTTGTGCACGTCTATATTTTCGACAAAACTTGATTAGAATGTATATTGATAAACATAATTACTATATATTAGTAGAGGAAATAATTGTACGAAAAAAAACAGGAGAAACGAGAAAAAATGATTTTTTTGAAATCATTTTAAAGAATTTTACACTCGTTCGATATTTATAGAGAACCGAAGATAAATAATTATTTCAGAAAGAGAACTTCTTCTTGTGTCAAAAGAAATTTTCTAAAAAAAAAAATGCACCGATTTAATTTTTTTATGAATGGAAAAAGAAAAAAAAATGTGAATGTCAAAAAAAATCAATGAGGTTTCGAAAATAATTTATACTTTGATAAAGCTTATGATTTAATTACGTTTATGATTTAGGAATTTAAAATAACTTCGTGTTTACTTTATCTCTTCTTAAACTTTTCGACTAGTGCTTTTCTGTTTGGTCATCTTTTTCTCAACCTGTGAAGCGAAATTCGCAGCTAGCACTCATTAAAGGACAATTTTTGTATATTTGACGGAGCACTCGCAAAAGTTAAAAGAAAAAAAAAAATTAATATAATATTAGTGGAACGAAACTGTTAGTCTTAAAGACTTTTAGCGAAGCATCTTTTTAATGCAAAGTTGCATTTAAAAAAAAAAAATAAGTGTCAGTTTCGTATAAGACCTTAGTGATTGTAGAACGACGTTCAAAGGACAAACGGCTGTATAAAGAAAAAAAAATAAAAAAAAAACGCAAGTACCTACTCATTTTTGTCGGCTTAAGAATAATCTGGAACATTTATTTGTTCTATTTAAACTCGAGAGAATTGCTATAGTCATTAATTAGGCGACTATAGATAATTGCGCCTCTTTCGTTTTTTGCTAATCAGAGGCAATTCTTGTAATCCTACAAAAAAAAAAAAAAAACTTTTGTAAATAATTCGAAACCCTCAAAAATAAGAAAGAAACAAAAAAAATTTATTAGCTATGTAAGTACCGAAATCCAATGTTTTGTAAATAAAGTTATTAAACATGTGTCAGTGATCTTATAAATTAAGTTAAAAGTGAAAAAAGGCTGTCTATATTTATTATCTTTTTATTTTAAATCAGTTTTTAGTAATTTTTTTTTATAGATATTTAGGTGTTGTTTAAGATAAATAAAGTATGAATTATTTTGTGTGCATAAGGAATATTTAATTTTTTTCTATTCTGCCTATAATTATTTTTTGTATTTGTAACAAATTTCACATTTATTTCTATATTTTTTTATTAATATCAATTATTATTATTTTTTTTATTATTATTACTATTGTTGGTACAATTATTATTATTGTTACTATTATTATTATTATTTTTATTATTATATTATTATTACTACTAATATTACTATTACTATAATATTACTAATTAGTATTAGTATTACTACTAATATTATTATTATTATTATAACTACTAATATTACTATTACATTAGTAATTAGTATTACTATTATTATTATTATTATTAATTTAATCTTGAATAGTAAACTGATTCAATATTATATATAAAATATAAATTCAGTTGAATTAATTTAATTATTTTAATTAGAATTGTCCATCTAAATTTAAATAAATCAATAAACAGAATTTAAAACTTTTTTACAGATTTAAAAATTCGTGGGTAAAGTGTAATTGGTTGATGCCAAGCGCACTCGAAGCCAATCATATTGTTTGACGAGTGACCAATAGCAGCGCAGTGAAAAACGCGGGCAGGTTAGTGAGAAAGGTGAGAAATAATATTTTTGGAAGAATGCAGAACAGTGTTAATAGTTTAATAGAAAAAGTATCAATAATATAATTTAATTGTGATATTTATTTGTGCCATTAAATAATGTGACTTTCCTGGACTGTAGTAGTACCGGAAGAGCTATTTTGGCGGAATACTACTGGAGTAAATTGATGTTTCTTGATTCTTGAAAACGACTGTGAATTCTATTTATCTATAATAGGTAAGTTATTTTAATAATTTTAAGTATTTAAGAATTTATTTTTAGCACTCTCTTATACAAAATTATCAGAAAAATGGGAAAAATTGGAATATTATTAAACAAACATTTGGCTAGGCCTAGGCGGAAACAGTTGATGCTAACCTAACCTAACCTAACCTTCAATAAGTCTTTCGGAAGTGACGTAAAACGATGATTCCGTGTATATTATCTATACATTGTTTGATAGTGTTAGTTTAGTTGCTGCTGTTGGTCGCGTCAACAAAAAAAGGAGATAAAGAAGTGTAGCTTGTTCAATTTACTTTGCACACATAGCTACATTCAACTACAATAGCGGCGATATTATATGTATTCTTAACGATTAAAAAATTATATCCAGTCCTCTATAATCTCTAGAATAAAGACAGAAACTTTATGGTCAAAACTTTATTGAACAAAAGTTTAGCTCAATATTTTTGGTTCTTGCGGTAAAGCTGAAGTTTGGAAAAATAAGATATCGAATTACAATATATGCAAAATTTGTACGGTATTGTAATGTACAAAGCATTCGATCCGACAAATTTCTGGTTTTTTGCTGAAATGCAGTCTTGACTCAACGTGTCACTAGACACGCCATGTTGTATTAAATTCTAACGCCCTTGTATATTTCTTACATTTCCTAGCTAGCAAAAAATGATTTTTAAGAAATCTTATTGTAAAAAATAATTTTTTTTGTTGAAAATTAAAAGAAGTATTCAAAAATTGTTTCTTCGTGATGAACAAGGTTTGTGATCCACAATTGCCTTTTACATTTTTGAACTTCTTAGTTCTGCAAATTCTGTTATTTTTCCAGTTTTTAAAATAATTTTCTGCAGTATTTTCAAAAGAAAAATAATTCCACGAATTTTCTTCGATATTTCCTTTTCTTGAAAATTGGAGAAATGATTTAGAAATGTTTCTGTAAATTATTTCTTCAATAACTGTCAGAAATTATTTCACTAGGAAATAATCATTCAATGACAATGATTCTTCAATGACGTTGGGAATGTAATTTCTAATATGCAATTTCCATTGAGTAAAGTAAAATATAAAAGACTAGAAAATAAAAAACGACCTGAATAGCTCTTATGTAATAGCTGTATTTGTAGTTCAAAGTTGCCTTAGGAACAAAAAATTGAAGGTCATTGGTCGATCTGGTAAATTTATTCAAATTTCAAGAAAATATTTCAATATTATTAAAAATACTTTTGCAATTTTCTATGCGGAATTTCAAATTTTTTCAGATTATTCGTGTCAAATTCTCCTTGATTACACAGTGCGTGCGAATGCACCTGTGCAATATGGGACAATTTTATCAGACGTGACAGTGAATTAATTACTCATTTGTTATTTGGGTCATTAGGATTCCTAATGCAATGAGTAAATCTATAATACTAAATAAAATTTTTGACACGAATTAATTAATTTCTACTTTACTAAATTTTTCATTTCTAAAATATTTAATTTAATATTTACAAATTACAATAAGATCTACCAACAAAAAAAAATTTACAGGAGCGCATCAATTTTTTTTTTTTTTTGAAAAATACAATGAAGTTTACCCAAATTATTAACATATTCGAAGCATAAGCAAAATGTAGAGGTCGAAATCGATGCTATCATATTCCACATAATGTTGAAAGCGACGAGTTGAATATGTCACACATGCGGGATAAATTACATTTCTATCATAAATTTTCGTCAAATGAAAAAAAGTTTCTTTTCTCGAAAGTATTTCTTTTTGTGAATATATATAGAGAGAAGAAGTAGAGAAGTACAAAAGTTTAGATAAATACACGTTGTTCCGTATGAAAGTCTCTCACACTCCTCACACTGTAGTAAACACACGTTCCATAGTCCCTTTCAGTCTGCAATTTGCACTCCACACTGCAGTAGTCTGCCATAGTAAGAACCTGTCAATTAATATTTAACATGTGTGTCTATATGCCAGCTGAAATATATGTACAAAATCAATAAATTTTCCACTTTCCATTTCATTCTCAGAACATGAAAAAATTCTGCAAATCGTTTAATCGATTTGTCTTAAATATTGTCCAAGTTATATTGATTCTCTCGCACTGTAAATAAGATGTTGTTCTGTGTAGCCCCTTTAGAAACTGGCGTGTACGCCCCTGGGTGAATTATGCGTTTCCTCCTTGGTTTACCTCTAAAAAAAAAAAAGTGACTTTTTTAATGAGACTTTAATTAATTAAATAAATAACGAAAGATTGAATACTTTTTAAAAATAGTTCTTAATATTGGAGAAAATTCCTTTCTGTAAATACACAATAAGTAGAAAGTGAATTTTTAGAAAATTTATCAATCCACCAATCAGAATTGCTTGTCTTGTCCAATCACACACTCAACTTGTAGGATAACAGCTTTAATTATTAAAATCTCATCGCAAACGCCTATTAGAAACATTTGTTAATTTATTTATTCTTAAAATTTAATTTTTAGTTTCTAACGTTTATTTTAAAAAATTTGGTTGTGTAAATTGTTTCTAAAATATAGTATAATGATAATAAAAACTTATATTTATAAATCTTATAACTACAGTACACAATATTTCGAAAATATTTTTTACTTGATTTTTCGTTTTTGCTCAAGTAGAATTTTCATAAACGAGTAACTGACAAGAAACTAACCTTAACATAAGCCTATATTATTACTTATTTTTAATCTGTACTCTTAAAATTTCTATTAAAATTAATTATTACCTATACGCTAGGGAAAATTTTTGTTCTAAACTATAGATAGAAATTGAAAAAAGAGAATAAAAGATAAGAAATAAGAATTGTAAAAATTTGGAGACAATATAATTTTGTCCATGTCAAAAATTTTACTTGGTAGTAGTAAGGCAATATGGCGGTTGAGCAACTTCCTGCTGCGCGCTGGACGAGTCGGTTATGTTCACTTCCGGATGGAGGGTGACGACCGACTAGCGCAGTAACCACGCCGCAGTGAAATAGTACCAGTTGAAGAGCAGCATTCGTTTGTCTTCGAAATACATTAAATATCAAGACTTTTCTCATCTATTTAGAAGCCCTGTTATAGTTATTATTTTTATTTAAATACGTATTTATTGGAACACGTTTCAAATAGGGATTAGATAGTCGTTTGTAATAAATTTTCGAGTAGTGAAACAATGCGCCTTGTAGGCGTTCATTTACTCCGTTGCAGTTCGGACGCCATTGGAGTTATGAGAAAAGTTTTGCAAGTAAAATTGCACTTTTCTTTTTGAATAAATAATTTCGGGATTGTTTAAAAGTGGAGCTGTGATTAGGTTTTAAGTTATTCCTCGTACATGTTTGCGGTAGGTAAAGGTCTTCTAGTCTCTTAATGCAACTTTTGGTTTTGGGTATCCTTGCTCTTTGTTCGTGGTAATTTTTCTTTTGTTCACTTCTCTGCGTAAAGTTGAAAGATGACTATAAAAATTGTGAGCTTGTTATAAATGATAGAATATTGAATCATGTTATGTAAGAGTTAATAGACATAAAGAGACGACAAGATGGCGGGCAGTGGTCTATCGATTGAACTCCTGTTCCTATTGGCTGACATTCACTTTTCAATGCGCGCGCAGTTTCCGGTTGATGTCCGTGTTTTATTTTAGTTTTTTTCCATTTCATTGCATTTAACAAGCGGATTATTACTTTCTACCAGTGAAAAAAGTTGAAAATTATAAAATATAAAGAAATAGAGGAAAACTTACCTTGATTTAAAATTCAAAATTTTACGAGAATTATGTGAGTGACGACGGTTTGACACAATGACAAGAATGCCAAGATAACTTCTATTGAATAATTTTCGTGAATTTTTGGGCAATTTTCTTTTTTCTATTTATTCTTTTGAATAAACGTGTTGAGATGGTTTAGTACGTTTTAAAGTCAATACCAAACGAGGCATTTGTTTAATGAGTATCCTTGGTGATAATAAATGAATGTAGAAAGCGTCAGTTGAAGATCAAGGTACGGAAAATTGTTTTATCGCCATTTTGTGAACGCCAACTTATTGAGTATCATGATAAAAAAGTGCTGCTGATTATACTACTATTTTTCTTTGATCATCTACGTGTACAATTATTATTATTGTAATGCAGGTATTTTTATTTATTTTTTAAACTTTTGTTTGCATGATTTATTCAAAATTATTATATCGTAATTAGTGATTTATTCATTTTAACATAGTGAAATATGTGCAAGTGGAAAAGTTTTACGATGCTAAAATCTGTTTTATATTTACGGATATTAATCAAGATTCATCTGCGTCGTACGGAAATGTTATTTAAAATATTTTTATTTTTTTTATTTTTTAATTAAAAAACGATGTATATTGTGTTAGCTATTGCTAGTTTCTTAACCTATTATCAAATTTTGTATGTTTTTACGTTCTCTTTTTTAAAGTTTGAAATAAGTTCAGTGAATTTGGGATAAAAAATTTTACTTTCGGTTATACAACGTATGAATACAGTACTTTTATGAATAAATACATTTTTCTGAAATAAATTTTATTCTTTTTTCGTGGAATAATAATTGACGTTCGACAAATTTTTTAAAAATTGTCTCTTTTTTTGGGCATCGAGAAAATGGAAATTTCGATTCAAAAAAAGTAGGGATAGACGAATTTATATAGACGGAAAAGACATTCGATTTTGGATATAGATTAGCTAGCTTATAGACTCTTTTTTACGAAAATTAGTTACTTGTGAACCTTATAAACAAGTACATTGCACATTTATTACTATTTTTCAAAAATAATAATTATTCGCACATTTTTTTAACACTATTGCGAAATTTTTCTCCGTACTTTTTAAACTTTAAAATTATTTTTTAAATAAATAAAGTTATACCGACTAGATCTGGATTATGATGAATTCTGGAAATAGGAGAATTAAAATGACAAGTGGACAAAAAATTCTGGTTAGAAGAACTAGAATTCTGGTTTTTCCAGACTCAGAGAAAAATTTGTTTGAAATAACCAACTTTTTGGTTGAATCAACCAAATTCATTGCTATTGTTAACTAAATATTTGATTAGTTCAACTAAAAATTAGCTTCAAGTGGACAAATTTTCTCGAATGGAAAATTTATTAAACATAACCCAATGTTTGTTTAGATCAAATGAACATTTATTCAGGTTAAACAAACTTTATTTCAGTCCTTAAACTTTTTATTCAGCTTGAAAGTTTAGTCTGTACAATAAAATAGAGTTTTTGATTCAAACACATAATTTTTCACTTTAACCATAATTTTAGTCAATTTAACCAGAATTTTAGTTAATTCGACCATAATTTTAGTCAATTTAAGCAACATTCTAGTTGGCTCAACCAGAACGTAGTGTTAAACATAACCTATAACCAGAACTTTTTTCCAGTGTACTTTTGAATCTTTTGAATTATATTTTAAAGTTTCTATTAGAATATGTTACGAATAGTATAGTATAATACTAGTACTAATAGTAGTACATAAATAATAAAATTTAAGTAAAAATAATTTATTTTCCACTATATTTACGTCTCTGAAGTTAGCGTCGACGCTTAGCGTCAAAAACTATTATTTGGGGTTTTTAGCGATGAAAATATCACTAATTTAACTTCTTTCATTCAATTTGAGAATGAAAAAACTATTAGGACACTTTTTTGACTTAAAACCTTTAAAATAATTGTTTCATTCTTTTCTATTTAGTAAAAAAAAATTGTTGTCGACGTTAACTTCAGGGACCTTTATATTTCGATTTTAATAAACTACAAAAAAAATTTGACAGTTTGCAGTGAAAATAAATAAACGAGACTAGTTTTTGGGTACAAACTACTAATATTTAGTTCCTTATTAGATGCAATATATTCAGTAAAAAATGCTTTTGATGTCAAATAATCAAAAATAAAACTTTTATAAAGCGAAAACTACCGTAAACATAACCTAAAAATTTAGGAAGTTAGTTCCATGGATCGTGGAACGTCAGATTAGATGTTAAATTTTACGAAGTAAAACGGGATTTAAACTAAATTTAGATTCAAGTACTATTTAATAAATTTTGTTATGTAGATTTTTTACATATTTATAATTACAGTAATTGTTTATTGTAATTATTTACAGTAATAGTTTAAAATTATAGATTATGTAAAATATAAGATAATTGATTTTTTTTATTGAAATTCGGATATTTTTTTAAGTAAATGGTATTTTTTTGGTGGTATGAAGTAAATAGTACGCTATATGTCAGTCTGTGAGAATTAACCGCCATTTTGTGAAGCATAAACTGCCGTCGGCCATTTTGTCATGTCAAAATTATTTGACACTTTTAGCTTGTTTAATATTAAGCCTGAATTATTTATTGTAGTGTTTTAATACTAATACCTAATTTTTTTTAACATTATGATCTAATTATTTCCCGACTACATTTAAAAAAAGCAAGCTTTTAAATTTTTTTATTTAAATGAAATTGTTGTGCTTTAATTTTATTAACATTTTTCTTTTGTTGCTTTGTTTTTTTTATCATCGTCTCATTTCGATTTTTTTTTAATTGTGAAAGTGAAAAAAGTGAAGAATCGTCGTTTATTATTAACTCATCACAAAAAATTAAACCAAATCGTAAAAAATGAAGATCTACAGGTGCCTTCGTTAACTCTACTAAATTTTGTGTGAAATACGTGAAATATAAAGCATTATGTGAAATTATATTGTAAATACATTTAAAATAAAGTATCTAGTTTTCAACTTTAACGTTTTTCTCTTACGATGTATTTGAGTACATTTTAGATACATTTTTAACTACTCACTTGAATTTTGATCCAAAATCCAAAAGTTGCATTAACCTGTCAATTTTCAATCATCCTTTTTTTTTAATTTTTCAAACTTCTAAGTTTTGATATTTTTCTTTCAGAACTGCCAAATGTGAGGAAGATTCAACATGCTAAAAAGTGTCGTGTTGAGTAAATCTTCTGACAAGAAAGTCCATAAATTGAACAATGAAGAAACTCCATCAACATCATCGTCATCATCATCATCAAAAACAAAATCTAGTGATAAACATAAAAAAGTGACGAATAAAAATTCTAACAGCGATGTAGTTTCTAGATTCGATTCAATTCATTTGTCGGATATTAAATTGCCACCAGAACCGGCGCCTAACATGAAGCATCACAATAGGGAAAAGAAACACAGATATAAAAAGGAGAAACGTGATAAAAGTCGTTCTCATCATAAACACCACAGTGATAGAAAAAGTGAAAAATCGAAGCATAGTGAATCGAGGAAAAGTGTCGTGACTTCATCTGAAAATAAAGATATCAATAATGCTACTTCAGATGATTATCTGTTGACGATCGATACTGGAAAGAGTTTCATGAATGAGAATATTGATTTTTCTAAAACCAACATTAATTTTGATAAGCAACAATATTTGGATGACAATGACGAATATGACAAACGATTCTCAGATGTTAAGAGGTACATTCCATTTTTAGAGATGATGATCGACAGACATCGGCAAATGAATGATCATAAATCGTTGAAAAAAATGGAGAGTCTACATGAAGTCCTAACACAATCAAAGAAGAAGTAGGTTTCTTATTTTCCTAGTGACTAATTTTTCGAACTAATTTTAATTCTACAATTCATTCTAATATTTTATTTTCTATTATTTTTATTTATTTTCTGTTTTTTTATTTCTTTTCTATTATTTTCATTTCTTTTCTATTATTATTCTTTATTTTTATTTATTTTCTATATTTAACATACTTTATTCGTTTTACAGATTGAAAATGGAAACTTTACGAAGATGCGAGGATGTCTTGGAGAAATTGTATCATAAAGTAGGAGAGGTAAATATTTTACATTTTTATTATTTATTTGAACAATTTTTCTTCATACCAAATTTATAATGCAATTTTTCTACTTTTTAGTCTCTGAGAAAGGAAACTAGTGCCGAAGCTCTGATGGATTATAATTCCGTTTTTTCATCGTACGTATTGCATATTTGACTTTAAGTAGATTAATTATCGTCATTAATTGACTGTCTACTTTTTTATGATTCGAAAATATTTTTTAACGTGAAAAATAGAGAAAGTAAAGCGTACTTTATCTTCGGGAAGATAATAATGTTTTGAACGATGAGTGTGAGTGTCAAATTCTGAACGTTCAAATAAATGAAATGTTTTTCATTAAAGAATTGAAGAGCAAGTTTTCAAAATTTGATAAATCCATATTTTCTTATTTCTAGAAATTGAAACAAATGACTTTTCTCACATAGCCACTGCAGTTAATTTTAAAATACAAAATTTGTAATCATTTATTTCTGTAACAATGTTTTTATATTTAAGACGTTCTGCTTTTAATTAAACTTTACCATAATCAGGTGATATAAAAGTTTTGGTAATTTTTTCTGATAAAAAACAAAAATTGTCATCTTGGTTATGTAAAAATTTTTAAATTGAAAATTTGTTACATAGAAATTTTTTTTCTTAAATTTAACAGCGATAGGTCGATTTGCGAAGTCTTTAAAATATTTAATTTGTGTTTATCTCGATTTTTTTTAGAAAAATGGATTTATCAGCTTTTGAAAACTTGGCCACTTGTCAGTAAAGTCAGGAAAATGTCAGTTAACCAAAATTCTTGTCAGTAAAGTCAAGGAAATGCCAGAAAAAAAATTTTTGTCAGGGAAATTAAGAAAATTGAGACTTTCACTTTTTTTTCAAATATTGCAATAAAATAACACATTTTTTAGTATAAAATGCAACTTATTTCGATTTTTATAGTATAAAATAATTAAAATTTAGTCAAATTTAATCGAAAATAATAAATTTTTTTCAAGTATTTTGTTACAATTTTTTAAAATCAACTTTTGAAGAATTTTAATTGCAAATTTTGAAAATAATCGAATTATCAAATATTTTAATGAAAAATCTTTAAATTTAAATTTAAAAATAAAATATAATGAAAATACGTACAACAAATAATCATATTTTAGAATCTATTTTTAACAATTTGAAAAAAAAATTTTTAATTAAAATTCATCAAAAAATTAAACAGTTTTTCTTAAATTATATACAGAAATTCTTTTAAGAAATTCAATTATTTTCAACAAATTACATTAAAATATTTTTAAAAACTAATTCTTAGAATTGTTTTATAATAATTTTTTAAGATTCAATTATCTTCGAACGAAGTGAATAAAAATTTACTGTTTTAGATTTATTAAAATTTCGGAGAAATCATGATCCTATTTGTAATTAAAATTCTTCAAAAATTTGATAATTTTAAACTTAAATTTTACATTTAGAAACAATTTTTTTTTATATGTAACGTAAAATTATTACTTTTACCATAAAGTTTGCAACGTTTATGATCAACGATTTAGAAGAAAAAATAGTTTTCTAACAAACTTTATCGATATTTTCGTTTGGAAAAAATTGGAAACTAATTTTTCTTATTAAATAATATTAAAGAAAATTTTTTAATAAAATTACTTTAATTAATTACTGACAATTTTGAAAATGAAAAACAAAATGAAATATTCTGAATTTTAATTTTTTAATACATGGCGTAATATTATTGTAATAAAATTTTAATATGAAGAAGAGATGAATAAAGTCCGTTTACTTGAACGTGTTCAGAACTTTCAGGAGATGTAATAAAATTTTTATTTAAAGAAGAAGCGAATAAATTTCGTTCAACTGAACGTTCAGAATTTTAGAAACATCGCTGAGCTTAATATTTCTGTTACATGTGTCAAAATAACCATATTTTCAATTTATTATTTTTTTTGAAATACTTTTCTCGAAGATGTCTATTTTTTCTTAAATAATCAGTCTTGTAGTGCGCCTTTTCTAAAAGGCGCTACAGTTTACATCTAAACTAAAATAAATTTTTGGTTTAATTTTGTTACTTCCAATAGAATTGAATTTGTTTTTTTATTTCCATAATTATTATTAATTAATTAATTATTATTTTCATATTTTCGTATATTTTTTGAGAAACATGTATATAATCAGGGTGGCCACATGTCAGTAAAGTCAGGGAAATGTCAGGGAAAAAAATATTTTGTCAGTAAAGTCAGGGAAATGTCAGGGAAAAAAATTTTTTGTCAGTAAAGTCAGGGAAATGTCAGGAAAAAAATTTTTTGTCAGTAAAGTCAGGGAAATGTCAGGAAAAATTTTTTTGTCAGGGCAATTAAAGAAATTAAGACGGTCATGGAATACATTTTTTGCTCTAAACAAAAAAATGTTTGTCAGGGAAATTCGTTGTTATGTTAGTAAAATGTCAGGGAAATGTCAGGGAAATTGATAAAGTCAATCTTGCGGCCACCCTGAATTATAATAATTTATAATTAATTATTTTTCCATTTTTATAAAAATGAGTGATATTTTTTAGATCCCGGAAGAACAAGAGATTCCATCAAATTGGAAATTTGGACGCTTCCTACGACGATGGTGCTTTGAGTCCAATATCAAGTCCTTCAGCCAGCCCAACACCACCGTTCAGTCCCGATGACAACTGCCTGATAATCGACGATGACAATGACATCGACAATGACACGATCATCAAACGTTTAGAAAAACAAGCTCACAGTCCTGAAGAGGGAGAAATTATTGACTGTTCCGACAGTGGTGAAGATGATGTTGGCGGTTCTTCTCCAACAATTATTCATGATGATTCTTCAAAGCGAACAAGACGTGATAGTGATATGAGTCTCGACGACGACGCGGCTAAAAACGACGACGATTGGAAGGCTTTTGTCGATAAGCACTCTCGTCAAAAACCAACATCACCAAAGTGGAAACCAACACGGCAACCAATTGTCGTCACGGGCCACGATGTCAGCACAGCTGCTCAAATCGTCGGCAACAATATTTCGAAGAAAATCACCACACCTCGCGCAATTACTCCACCGCCAAAAATATTAAACGAAAGTGAATTGAATCAAGTTTTCAACGAGGAGGACAGTTTCGACAGTGATCGTATGCACATACCAGTGTCGCCTGACTCCAATTCTCGACTAGATTCACCGTTGAACGTTCCCGAGGAGGGTCTTCGATCACCCGATCCCGATTTGTTTAAGGATAAATCAAATTCACCGCCACAGATAGTTGAAGAACCTCCAGCACCCGTACCGCCACCTGAGCCGATAATAAATCCTCCGCGAGTCAATGACATACCACTTATTTCCATGGCCGATCTTGAAGACTTGATACTTAATCAAAGTAAAATTCTCAAAGACGGTTTACCCCAACAACCAGGTGACAAGGACGACAAGGAGAAGGAAGTTCCCAAAAGTCCCGAACCAGTAACACCGATTCGTCGAAAACAAACAGGAAACGTGAAAATTGCTCCAATGACACTGAAACTCGACGCCTTTATTTCCGGCGGTAAGGAACGTACACCTTCACCCGAATTGCCCATCGATCCAAGAATTCGTTCCCGCTTGCAGAAAGAGAAGAACGTCGATCCAAGGTTAGCAAAGGACAAACAACCACCAGTTCCAGCTCGAACTCCAGCACCACCGCCGGACATGTATTCTCTTCACGATTTCAACGTCAATCCAAATTCACCATCGCCACCAGTTGCTCCAATACCGGCTCCACCCGTGAGTACTTATCCATCTTCTACCAGTGCCAGTCAATGGAATTACGGCGCCAACATGAATCCCATGTCCAGCATGGCCAATCAGTACGGAATGCCTCGCGACTCAACTTCTCATAATGATTCCTGGGAGAGGAATACTCCCATGAATCCCATTATTAGTTCCACCATGAGCACCGGAATCAATCCAAACATGAATCCTGTAATGAGCCCAAATATGAATTCTGGAATGAATATTAATCCAAATATGAATCCTGGAATGAATATTAATCCAAACATGAATTCTGGAATGAATATAAATCCAAATATGAATCCTGTAATGAATTCGAATATGAATCCTGTAATGAATTCGAACTTGAATCCTGGAATGAATCCGAATATGAATCCTGGAATGAATATGAGTCCTAATATGAATCCAGCAATGAGTATGAGTCCCAATATGAATTCTGGAATGAATATGAACTCCGGAATGAATATGAATCAAAATATGGTTCATGGACCGGCTATGAATATATCGCCAAATTCCGCTTACGGCAATAATATTCGTCCTGGAAATAATTATCAAAATTACGATCCTCATTTTCAACAACCACAACAACCGCCACCACAGCAGCCGTATCCCGTTTCGGAAGGTTTCGGAAACAATACAATGCCCTATGGACATCAAAATCCACCAAATTGGAATCGACCCGATGATCCAATGATGGATCAGAGATTGCCTCCTGTACGAGATCCTCGTGATCTTCGCGATCCAAATATTCACATGGACAACAATCGTATGGACTGGAATTGGGACAGGCAGAGCGATTGGGATCGCGATCGACAGAACAATTGGGATCGTGAAAGGCAGAGTGATTGGGACAGAGGCAGAATGACCGACTGGGATCGCGACCGACAGAATAATTGGGAACGAGACCAACAGAATGATTGGTCCAGACAAAACGATTGGGACCGAGGTCGACAAAATGATTGGGACCGTCAGAACGATTGGGACAGACAAAATGATTGGGACAGAACGAACGATTGCAATCGCCAAAGTGATTGGGATCGACAGAATGATTGGGACAATCGAAATGATTTCAGAAAGAATCGAAATAAACTCAAGGAAATTATAACCAGAGATCCAAGGCTTATCGCCAAGGACAAGGCGAAGGAAGCCGAAAACGAAAAGGAGAAAGAGAAAGTAAAAGAAGATGATAAAGGAAAGGAAAAGCCAAAAGAGGAAGATAAAGAAAAGGATAAAGAGACAGACAAGTCAAAGGAGACAGAAAAGGACAAGATCGCAGAAGCGGACAAAGAGAAGGAAAAGAAGGAAGGAGAAAATTTAGACGAGGAGAAAGACGTCGAAAAGCAGAAAACACAAGAGAAGGAAAAATTAAAAGATAAGGACAAGAAGGAAAAAGAGAAAATAAGGGACAAGGTAAAAGAGCGACGATCCTCCGACAGTCGTGAATTAGTGAAAATTCCCCTTGGGAAATCGAGTTTAAAAGTTAATAAATTCGATATTTTAAAGAACAAAGAGAAAATGAAACAAACTTTACAAAAATTAGGATTAAAGAAGAAATTACCTGAAAAAGGTGGAAAAGTATCTCTGGAAAGTATGTACGGTGTCGTCGATACAAAAGCAGCTGCCGGTCAGCAAATCTTGCAAAAATTCAAAATCCCCAAACTAAAGAAACCAGATTCCACTCCCTCTGATCCAAAACAATCAAATTCTGACGATTCCAAAACTATCCCGAAGACTGACGATTTGAAGAAAAAGATCGACCTCAAATCCAAAGAGCGAGAAAAAATTCTTCAAACCAAGGATAAAATTGTTCGAAAAGAGAAAAATGAGAAGGAAAGTGACAAAGAGAAGAACAAGGAAGTCGAGAAGGAGAAAAATAAAGAAGTCGACAAGGAGAAAAAAGACGTTGAAACTGTCAAGGGAAAGAGGAAAGCGAAGAAACCAGACGAGCCTAAGACTGTCGAACCAAAACAAGATAGTGATCAAATAGCCTCTCATGAGCTGAAAAACTTCATAAACATTATTCTTAATCAAGACGGCGGGAAGGAATTTTTGAAGAAAGCAACCTTGCTAAATCAATTCAAGGAAATTTTCGACACCGACGGAGACTTGATGAAATTGAAAGAATTCATTGATAGCGAGTCGAAATCCGATAATGATGACGCCAACAACGCCACCAAGAAGAAGAGAAAATCCTTCCCAAGAAGACGTTTCATCGTCTCTGACTCCGAGGACTCTGAAGACGAAACCCTGGCTAAGAGAATCGAACAACTCGATTCGTCGAAAGAGAAAAAGAAGACCGAGACCTCCGAAAAGAAGAACACGACCCGAAAACCCAGAAAGAAGACCGTTCCCACGAAAGTTGAAAATAAAAATGAAGATAAAAATGAAGAGAATAGGGTAGACGAAGAAATACCCGGGGCAAAAGAAACCAACGAAGATACGACTGTAGAATTCACTAAGAGAGAACTTCCCAAAAGGGGAGTTAACAAAGAAACTCCCAAGAAGGCAGAGGAGTCTGATGAAGAATTGTCCAAGGAGGAAAAATCCAAAGAAGAAAATAAGGAACAGGATAAACTACCCTCTGATGTTTGTAAGGAAAACGCCAAAGATGTCAAAAACACCAAAGAGGACGAGAAAGAAGAGGACGAAAAAGAAGAGAAAGAAAAAGAAGAGAAAGAAAAAGAAAAGGAAGAAAAAGAAAAAGAGAAAGAATCCAGTGAAGATAAAGAAGAGAAGGAAGAAAAAGAGTCAAGTGATAAAGAAAAATCCACGGTTCCAAAAGTGAGAGCAAAACCGCGAAGGAAAAATTCTCTGGAAAGATTGCAGGAGGATTTGAAGGATTACATCAGCTCTGGCATCATAACCGCTGGTCAACGAACTTGTAGAATGGCTAAGGAGACAAATACAAACTCCGCTGCTATTACTACAAGTCCTTTAGCCAGTACTGCAGACAGTGCAACTTCATCCCCGGAATCGAAATTAAAACCCGGACCGAAATTTACAAAGAAATCGCCCACAAAAGAAGGATCAGCTTCAGCAGGAGATTTGTCCTCGAAGGAAGAGAACATAAAGACCACTCCCGTAAAGAAGAAGAAAAAACTATCAGGTCCCAAGTGCAAACGATCTCGTGTCGAAATGATGGAACCCACCGTTCTTCTTCGTCGAGCCGACACCTCAATGTTGGACGATCGTCACGATTCATCGTCAGACGAGAGCAATGTCGACGTCACTGAAGTTAATTCCCCTCCAGGCAGTCCGGACACTTCGAAACTTCCAAGAACGAGAGCGGCGAGAAGAAAGATTTTAAACAATAAGGAAGATGAGACACTTACCGATACGGAGAGTTTGACTTCTGATATTTCAATGTCAAGCAGCACTGCCTCGAAGAAGACGGAAGAGGCATCGAAGAGTTTCACGAAATCCGTCGATGACGATGTGGAGAATTTGGAAAATCCCCAAAATGATACCATTCCGAAAAAAGTCACCAGGAGAAAGAAGAGATCCGGCTGGCGTTTGGGAGTCGTCTCCAAAGCAAAGAGAAGAAAAGCTCGAGCTGTTAAGCTCGTTCCGACTGTCGACAATGAGGACGACTTCCGAAGACCTTCGATCGAAGTCATCACTGATCTAGAAACTAGAAAACGAATCCACGGTTCTTTTGATCCGAAAGTAAAAGCAGAACCTGAAGACAACGAGGAAGATTCGACTTCTGTGGCCGATTCCCAAGATTCGGAAATTGTAGTCAAACATGAGATAAAATCGGAGGAAATAGAAGATATCGTGAAGGAGGAGAATATGGATATCGACCTGGACGAAACGGAAATGAATACTTCCAAAGAGTCCCTTGATAATGAGCTGAAAATAAGCAACAGCAAACTCCTCGAGTATTCTTCGTACGGTCTGGATAAAATCAAGTGTCTACATTGTCGATTTTACGGCAAGAGTATTGTGCACCATTACGCGATAATGCATCCCGAGAAGGAAGTCTCGATATCAAGACTCAACCCTCAGGATGCCGAGTCTGCAATTCAGGAAGCGCGGGAAATGAACTTTGAAAATGAGGACAAACTACAAAACGATGAATTTAGTTTCATCTGCCGATTCTGTCCCTTCAAGAGCGAAGGTCGAAGAGAAGACTGCATGGAATCGAGCTATGAACACTGCACATCCCACACCGGTGAATATCGATTCAGATGTAAACTCTGCTCCTACATGTCAATCACGAGAACAACGATGAAAATTCATCACTACAAAAAATACAAACCCCAAGGTTTGTCACTCGGGGAAACAATCAACGAGCAATGGATTCCAGCCAACAATCGTGTTTACGGCTACATCTGCTCCCTGTGCAATTTTGTCCAACTCCACAAGAGCAATGTCGCGAAACACGTTCAGCAATGGCACAAAGAAACCCCAAATGTCGAGATTATCAAAATTAATATGTCTCTTGATAAATATTACAAAACTGAGAAAGTCGAAAATTCACAAAAACCTTCAGGAATTTCGAAAATTCCTGAATTTTCAAATTCGGATGTTTTGGAAATTTCAAATTCAGAAGTTTCAGAAAATAGGACTGATGAGAAAAATCGTGTGGAAAACGAGACGGAAAAAGAAGAGGCGGACAAGGAAACGAGGAAAAATAATCTGAGTGCTTTCGTCTGCCCCCCGGAACTGGAGAACAACGAGGAGATCGAACTGGAGCGAAAGAAGAAAATGCAGGAGATTGTCGAGAATATTGGCATAAAAGTCAACAACAAGGAAGTGAATAAACTCTCAATTATCGATCAACTAAAAGACAAGATGGAAACAACGAATTCACCGAATGATGAATTGAATGATCCACTCAATGAAGAAGTTCTCGAAGACGAAAGTGAATTGAGAATCGAAACATTAACCGAAGAGGAAAAACCAGTGGAGACCGCATCAGAGTCAACTGATTCAACACTTCATTGTAGTGAGGAGTTTTCCAACGCCGATATTCTGGAGGCAAAGGAAGATTGCGATACAAACGAGAACGAGGATGATAAAGTTTCGAAACCAAAGGATCCATTGGACGTGGAGAATGATACGCAAGACGAGGTGAGTGATGGTGAACAACCGTCTTTGCGATTCGACACCGAGTCGAGTTCGGATAATGAAGAGACGACAACGGCTGATGTGAACGATTTGCTCAAGGAGACCACGGATATTAAGAATCAATCTAATGATTCTATGATGACGACTATTCAGAGACTTGCGGCTCAAATTCAAGGATCCAAGTCAACGAGTCCTGAAGCCGATGGTCCGACACTTGTTGAGATTAGTTCTCCACAAAAGGAAATTCCGAGGGCGCCCAATGTCATTCCTATTGCAGCTCTCAAGAAAAAACCATCGCTGAGTTCATTTTTTGGTAATTATCAACCGAATTCCGAAGAGATTTGTTTGGATGACAAAAGTGAGGATTCTTCGTTGCCGAAATTATTCTTGAGACCCAGACGTATTAGTGGGGATATGCTCTCTGTTCCTGAGACGGAAAATGAAACTGCTCCCGTTGCCGGTAATTATTATTATCAATTAATTAATAATTATTTTGTAGATGAAAAAATCATTCTTTGCGAGTCAAGTAAAAAAATAATTGAATTCTCTTTTTTACTTGACTCGAAAAGAATGATTTTTTTTACTTATGTAATTCTCGACCGAGTAATAAATTCAATTTTATGTTAATTACTTATTTTATTTGTTTATTTTTAGATTTTCATGATCCTAATAAAAATTGTCGATAATATTCGAATTTTGTTTAAAAAATAAGAAAACAAATAATTTTTTCAACAGGTACGAGTATGCAGAATACGGAAAAGGAGACGGCTGTAAACAGTCCAGGTGTTTCGACTACAGACAGTGATTCGTTCCTGAAAATCGAGAATGTTGTCAGTTTGGCTAATCCTTCGGAAAGTGGGAGCGATAATACAGTTGTAAGTTGATCAATTTTTGGCTAATTTTAAGAATACTTTTCTAATTATCACGTAAGGTTTGCCATAAATCAGAAAAATCGGGATAAAGTTCTGGAATTTTATCAAAAGTCCTGAAAAAAGTATTAAATTTCTAAAAATCGATAAAAAGAAAATTATTTCACTAACATTTTGAATGAAATTTTTTTTCTGTTTAAATATTTTTAAAAAAAGTACTAAACTGAATTGGAAAAGAATGTAAATTCAGCATTTATTTACTTGAGAATTAATGTTTTTTATATAAAAAATAATATTTTTCAACAAAATAATTAATTTAAAGGAGCTACAAAATTAATTACGTTCACTTGAATGCAAAAACTTTTTAGAGGCATAACTTTAAAAATTACTAAATTTTTATTTCTAAATACTAATTTTCGAAAAATTTTGAAAAAATTCTTCATGAAAATTGTAAATATATTCAATACAATTCTAATTAAATTCTCCGTAAAAATTCAATTATTTTCCACAGTTGTAATAAAATTCTTAGCAAAAGTTCAATTATTTTTAAAAAAATTTATAAAATCTTTCAAAGAAACTCAATTATTATTACTTTAAAAAAATTATTTCCATATACAACAAAATTTTACTCAGGAATTCAATTATTTTTAAAAATTTAATAAAATGCTTCACAAGAATTCAATTATTTCTAAAAATTTAAATAAATTCTTCACAATAATTTAATTGTTTTAATAGATAACAAAATTTTACTCAGAAATTCAATTATTTTTAAGAAATTAGTAAAATTTTTCAAAATAAATCAATTATTTTCAAAATTATTAAAATTCTTCACAAGAATTCAATTATTTCCATAAGTAACAAAATGTTTCTCAGGAATTCAATTATTATTATAAAATTTCAATAAAATTTTTTCCAAGAATTCCATTATTTCCATAAGTAACAAAATTTTTCTCAAGAATTCAATTAGTTTTAAAAATTAGCAATAAATTTATAATTAAAAAAAATTTCTTAAATAAAAGAATTTATTATTTAGAAACATTTTAGTAAAATTCTATACCTACTAAAATTAAATTTTTGCATATTTAATATTATAAAATTTATAAGAATTATAACAAGTTGTTTTTTACCAAAAATTTTATTTTTTATAATTATAAAATATTCAATTATTAACGCAGAATTATAGAAAATAAAATAATTTCTAAATTTATCTCGAAAAAATTTTTTTTTTAATAATTTCGTTTATAATTTTGATAATTAAATTTCAGAATGTTTTAAATTTAAACTTGAAATATTTAATTCTTGAGTAAAAAAAAAATAATAATGATTAAATATTTTAAAAAAATTATTGATGTTTCGAATAATGTAATTAAATATGATTAAAAATAAAATTCTGTCTGGGAATCAGGGGAAAGTCAAGAAAAAACAAAATCAAATTTTTGTGTCAACCCTTTTATATTCTCTAGCGAATTTTTAATCTTTTTTTAAAAATAATCTTAGCGAACTCTCTCTGCATTGAGAAATTTTAGGAAAATAATAATTATTTTAATCTTTCTTAGTTCTTTTTTTTCTTAGTTTCTTAGTTCTTAGAAATACATAAATTTCTTAGAAATACATAAATTTTTGAAGAGTCGTTCATTTCTCTCATCTTTATTTTGACAATTATTATCGAATCATTGAATTCAAATTGTATCGCCAGTATTGAATGGTTTTCTATAAACATATCCTCATCCAAATTGTTTCAGGTCAGAGACATTATAAAGGCAGTAGAAAGCTCTCATATTAAAATCTCACCTCTTTCTCTCTTGAAAAAGAATGGTCCAATTATCTTGAAGCGAGTGAATAAACCTCCACCATTGACACACACATTATCAAGTCAAACGATAAAAGCCGTGAATCCAAAATCAAATGAGACAGTCAAATTAATTCCAATCAATATCACTCCAAATTCTTCAGCATCGCCTGGCAATTACTTACCCGTAATGAGTCCGGCAAATTTTAAAACCTACATGGACGGTAAAAAGGTCTCAATTTGTAATTCAAATTCCACTTCAATCCTCACAAAACCAGGGAATTTATCCACTGTTTCCATTGCCAAACCCTCGAATTTAACTCCAACTCCAAAACCAGCTGCAGTAAATCCCGTTCCAGTTGGTAATAATCCCAATCCCATTAAAGCCACAACCTATGCTCCAATTATTAATCCCAATTTTCCCATTCCAATCTGTAAAACTGGAACTTTGACTCCAATTGCACCAGTCACTAAATCGACAATTGTTACTGCCTCGACTTCTTCAACAACACAAAATCGAAAGATCGTTAAAGTTGTGAGTAATGCAACGCTCTTGAAACAAAATGAATTTGGACCTCAGGTTGCTGTTAAATTGAAAAATGCAACTGCATACAATGAAATGTTGAAGCCCGAAAAATTACGTCACATTTATAAATGTATGGGTCGAGATTGCGCCTACACCACTGATAATGCTGATTATTTTCGAAGGCACTTTGAGAGACACTCAATTACTTGCGATATTTCCAGCAATAGTTTGGTGCCCTATGATTTTAAAAAATGCGCCTACTGCTATTCGGCCCTTGGAAGCTGGTATCAAATGGAAATGCATTATGAGGAAAAACATGCATTCTGCATGTACCAATGCAGTTATTGCTTTTATAGAGCAATTTCACAATCATACGTTGAATTACATCAGGTGGGGATAAAATAAAAATTATTTTTCTGCATGGGTTATTTGCTTTAGTCTTTTTTTTTTTTAGATGGTTTTGGCTTTTATTCGCCAATCGCGATTAAAAATATTAAATTAAACTAATTAATTAATAAATTATACTATTTAATAGAAATAATAATGAATAACATAATTAATAATAATAATAATAAGTAATAATAGATAATATAGATAATAAATAATAACAGAAAATAATAAATATTAGTAAAAAGTAATAAAAAATTAAAAATAGCAGTAAAAAATAATAAATAATAATAAATAATAATAATTGTTATTAACTGTCTGAATTTGGTTCTTTATAGGCAAGTGCTCATCCAACTAAGCCAGTGGCAGTTTTGCAAGGTGCAATTAATTGTGTATTGAAACCAATGACCGATTTTAATCGAAACGAACGAGTCAAACCCTTCGTTTGTCAAAATGGTAAGTTCCATAATTCTTTAATAAATTTAAATATTAAATTTATAAATTAAATTAAAGGTTAAATTTTAACCTTCTTTTTTATTTATAAATGATCCACAAATTTTGATCGTTCAAATAAATGAAATATTTTTATTTAAATATATTTTTATAAATTATCAACTGCAATAAAAATAAGAATTTTATTTCACATATTTAGAAACTAAATAATCAATTCCTTTATAGTGACAAAAATTAAACTTAAATTTTACATATTGAGAAACTAAATAATCAAGTTTTTTTTATAGAGACGCAAAATTATTGTAATAAAAATTTAATTTGAAGAAAAAAGAAATTTTCGTTCACTTAAAAGTTCAGAACTTCTGGATTTTGTATTTTAATTTTTTTTAACTTATTATAAGAAAAATCTTTAAAGTTGAAACTTTTTCTTACTTGTTTTTTTATTTATTGTTCCAGAATGCAACAAATATTTCTATGTACCAGAAGCATTCTTTGTCCATCTGAAAATGAAGCATTCCAGTATTTCGGTATTTAAGTGCCACATGTGTAAAATTGCCAGTTACTCGCCAGAGCAACTTATTTTGGTAAGCTATTCTTTTTTACTTTATTAATTTTTTATAAAGATTTAATTTTTCTTGAAATTTTTTTTTATTTGACTATAATCTTTGAAGTCACTAATTTTAATACTATTACAAATTCTCGTTTTTTTCTATTTCTTACAAGGCTTTAATTTTAAATAATTTAATTCTTAAAAAACCACCATAAAATTATTATTTTCAAACTATTTAAAATTGTACTTATAATTCCTAAAAGTAATTGAATTTTAGAAGAGTTACGTTTACAATTTTTTTTATAAATAAATAATTGAAATTCAAAGGGTTTTAGATAAAAATTTTAGAAAATTTGAATTTAAAAAAATTTGAATTTGAAAAATCCAAAAATTTAAATTACTTATCTTTATAAATGAATAGCAAAATTCTTCGACAAAATTCAATTATTTTCAGGAATTTTGATTAAATTTATTGGAAAATATCAATTATTTAAAAAAAATTTTATTAATTCAATGATTTTTCAATATTCTACTATTTTAATAAAGTTTCCCAAAAGAATTGAATTATTAAAAATAGAATTTGCATACATTTTTAAAAAAAAAACTAATTGTTTGAAACTTTTTTTATAAATTTCTTCGCAATAATTAAATTATTTTCATAAATAATAAATCTCATTGCAGAATTTTAATTATTTTTAATAAAATTTCAATCAAATTCCTTGAAAATAGTAATTATTCTTAAAAATGTTATTGAAATTCGTCAAAAGAATTCAATTATTTAAAAATTTGTTGATAGAATTATGTATGAGAATTCAATTTTAAGAAACATTTAATTATTCACTAAATTATCTATGTTTGTTTTTAAATAATTGAATTCTCATAGAATTTTCTAATAATAATTGATTTATGAATGAATTTCAGTTAAAGTTTTAGATAATAATTGAATTTTGGAGGAGTTACTAATAATTGCAATTTTTTTTAGAAATAATTGAATTTTGTTCAAGTTTTAAATTAAAATCTTTGAAAATTAGAATTTTTCATACTTTTAATTAAAAATTCTATGGAACTAATTTTATTTTCAAAAAGCTTAATTGCAATTTTTTAAAATTATTTCATGTTTTTATTTTCTAATGTATATTTAATTGAAGAATTTCCGAATAATTAAAATTTCACGTATAATAAGAATTATAAACAAATGGATTTAAAAATTCTCAAAGAGGAAGTTGTTCAAAAATTATTAAAACTTGATTTAAAGTAGAATTTTATTTAAAATTTTTAGAAATTGAATTGAATTGAATTGAAACGATGAAAATAATTTTAAAGAAGTTACAGTAACAACATTCTTATATTATAATATAAAATAATGATTTTATTACTCGGTCATCTTTAATTACTAAAAAACAGGAAGAAATGGAATGGATCACTTCGAGTCTTCGACTCGGAGTGATCCATTTCTTTATGTTTTATAATAATATTCTTTCAAGTTATTGAATTTGAAAGTTTTGAAATATTTTTTTCTATGAAAAAATAATAATGATTAAAAAAAGAAATAAAGTTATTGATATTTTCGAATAATTTTACAATTAAAGAAATTCTTAAATAAATGTACCTAATAGAACATTTTTTTTCTTTGAGTATTTAATCATTTTTAGAGTGAATCAGAATATTCTTTAGGGTCAGGGAAAAAGACAAAATTTTGTCTGGAAATCAGGGAAAAAGAAAATTAAATTTTTGTATCAACCCTGTTTTAGTAACCTTGAAGTGGCATTTCTTGCGAAATTTTTATTAAATTCGATATTAAATTTATTTTCAGCATTACAAAACCCATGGAATCTTTAAATATCAATGTTTACACTGCACACATGGTTCGGATTCCATAAGCGATATTCACAGTCATCTTAGTGCCCGGCATTGTAATCAGAAGCCTGTTCTCATCGAAAGAACCTTACCTCCTCAGGTGTGTTTTTTAAAAAAATATTTTCAAACATTTAGATTTGAATTTATTCGTGTTTCATAATTTATTATTTAAATGTCGCTTGTTTATTTATTTTATTGACAATGTGAATTTAATAATTTTTCAGCCAACCAAATTGAAAAGTGCCATTGATCAACTTCTGTTACGAAATCCAGATGAGCATTATTCATTGTGCTCGGAATTAATTACTTTAATTAATTCACCCGACGAATCGACGGATTCTGATGCCAAGACTAAATCATCGGACCCTAAGTTGCAAACTAACACCGTTAAAGATGTGAGCAATTTTGTGATATCAGTTACTTCTCCTCGACCCAACAGTCCACCGACTATCAAAATAGTTGCCACCGAGAGTCTTCAGAAGAGTGATCAGCAATTAAAGAGTATCGACAGTAATAAGGAGCCAGAAATAAAGTTGAAGTACAAAATAGCAAATATAGATCCATCAGATGGTGATCCCTTACGAATTGTAAGTAACGAAGATGGTGATGAATTCGTGAATATGAATCTTCTCGATAATCCCGATTTCCTGAAGAATAAATCTTTCCCCCTGAAGACAAATGCAGCCAAGGATGATGAAGACAGTGATATTGAAATAATAGAAGACTGTGGAGTACCTCAAAGCAAAGAGAAGAATTCACCAGAATCGAAAACGAAAGATCTATTGCTTTTGAGTGGTGCCGATAATTCCGATTTATCGAACGATGCGGCAAGTCTAAGCTCCTTGAGTCCAAGTAAAACTGATAAATTCCTAACTCTCGATGATATTAGACACACGGGTCTTGAAGGCGAAGCACTATACAAATGCGGTGCACTCAAATGCAAATTTGCAGCTTCAAATTCAAAAATTCTAAGAAATCATCTCAAGGATTGTTGCGTGAAAAATGTCCCCTACAGTTCTAATAATGCAATAAATTTCCAGTGTATGCATTGTGATAAGACTTTTCAAAAGATTGGCTTCTTCATGGAACATTTGGATATCCATGGATTAAAGAGATTCTGTTGCAGTGTTTGTGGAGGAAAATACGCGATGCAAACTCAAGCACAAACACACATGAAAATGAAACACAAATTTAGCTCTAGACTTCTTCCGGCCGATCCAAAAAATCCAACAGCCGATGGTCTATTCTTCGTTCAACCAATTTTGAAAGCAAAGAAAAAAATACAATTATCAAAACCGGAGAATGTGAAAATTTTAGATCCCGATAAAACGTGTTTCTCACCCAATGAAATTGATCTTCTGCCACGTCAGGCAATCTATCAACGAGAAGTTCAATGTGCCGTGTGTCCATTCTCGACTAAAGTTCGCTCGAATATTTTACGCCACCTACAACTTCATGCGAAAGATGAAACTGTTCCAGAATCAGGACCCGTTAATCCCGTGCCATGTTTGGACAAGCGAGAAAAAATGTTTGATAAAATGGTCAATCTCGCGAGTAGCTCTCATCAAAATGGTCGCATGGGAGTTAAGACAGCAAAAGAAACAGTGATTCAAAGCGATGAGGAAACACTACCAAAATACGTTCCCGAAAGTAAACGATACGTTTGCGGTATTTCCGAGTGCTCATATTTAACCGTAAATGAAGATATGTTACGCTATCATCTAAAAGCCCTTCACTCGGACGAACCATTCTTCAAATGCACTCATTGCAAGGAACAAGGACAAGAGGGACAGAATATTTCCATCGAAAAAATGGGAATTCATCTAAAAATGCACGACTCGAAACTGTACAAGTGCTCCTACTGCAACTATTTTCACTATCAACGGTACGTGGTGGAACGTCATCTGGGCGATAAGCATGGAGACAAGAAACCCCTTGTGAAAGTTGTTCGTGAATTCGAATCAAACGAAAATAATCAATCCTCACCCGAGGAGATTGATGAGGACATACCAGATCCGGACGGAAATCAATGGAAATGCAACAACTGTGAATATCGCTGTGTTTATAAATCGGAAATGCAAGCGCACGCCAGCACCGAACACGATGAGAAGAGTCAATTTAGATGCAGCATTTGTCCTTATAAAACAAATGGAAAAATTCAATTGGATCAACATTTAATTTCTAAGCACGCGAATGAGCCGGAAGCTGATTTTTCTATGGTTTATCAGAAAATTAAGGGTTTGAAGAAAATTCCGGAGACTAATGATCAACAAGGCACTTCTGAGGAACCTTTTGATACGACACCACTTTGGAGAAGAGATATGCCGAGAGTTAAGCACATTCGGGGAATTTTGATTGAAGAGGATCCATCTTCTTCGATGTCTAGTCCACCGGTGACGCCGGATAAATCCGGAAAACGAAAGAATGATTCGGACAGTCCGAATAAGCCGACAAAGATAAAGTGTATCAAGCCTGTGGCAATGAGTTCATTGAACGATCCACTCGTCGAAGAAACTGGTAAATATGGGTCTTATGGAAGTCCCGAGAAGGATATGTACGTGTGCACTATCTGCACAAATGGACGTGAATTCAGGACGAGATACAAACACGATATGCGAGATCATCTTTATCGAGAACTGAGATATGTCAGGTGAGAAATCCAAATTAAAATCATTTATTTTCAATTTGCTTTTAATATGGAAATAAAATCAATCTATTTTCTATTTTCAATATTAATAATCGTTTGAATTATGATAATCTGTTCGCAGTTTGAATTTGCCTTTTGGTTTTTTGTTTCCTAACTTTTTAAATAATTTTTCTTTTTAAAATTTTTTTAAGTTTTTGTAAATATTTAACTTTTTGGAGAAATTTCTTTGAATTTTTTATTTAAATTAATGTACTGAAAATCATTGAATTCTTGCAAAGAATTTTATTATTTATAAAAATAATTGAATTCCTGAGAAAAATTTTATTATTTATGAAAATAATTGAATTTTTGTTAAGAATTTCATTATTTTTGAAGATAATTCTATTCCTGTAAAGAATTTTATTAAAATTCTTGAGAATCATAGAATTTTTGCTAAGAATTTCAATATTTTTGAAAATAATTGAATTGCTGTGAAGAAGTTTATTAGAACTTTTAGAAATAATTGAAATTTTGCGATGAGTTTTATTATTTATGAAAAATTTTGAATTTCTAAAAGCAAATGTTATTATTTATGCAAGTAATTGAATTTTTGTAAAGTTTGTGAAGATTTTCAAAAATAATTGAATTTTTGCTAAAAATTTCATTATTTTTGAAAATAATTCAATTCCTGTGAAACAAAATGTTATTATTTATGAAATTAATTGAATTTTTTCAAAGAATTTTGTAATTTGTAAAAATAATTGAATTCTTTTGAAGAATTTTATTATTTATGAATATTGTAATTCAATTCTTGAGAAGAATTTTATGAAAACTTTTAAGAATAATTTAATTCCTGAGAGAAATTTTGTTACTTATGGAAATAAATATAAAATTGAATTCTTGGTAAGAATTTTATTAAAATTTTTTAATAATAATTGAAAAAAAATAATAATAAATAATAATAATAATAATAATAATAATAATAATAATAATAATTATTATAATTATAATAATAAATAATAATTGATAATAATTGAAATTAATTGAATTTTTTCAAAGAATTTTGTAATTTGTAAAAATAATTGAATTCTTTTGAAGAATTTTATTATTATTATTTATTATTATTATTATTATTATTATTATTATAAATATAATATATAATATAAAATATAATATAATATTATTATTATTATTATTATTATAATATAATATATAATATATAATATATTATTTATTATTATTATTTTTTATTATTTTTTATTTATGAATAATTGAATTCCTGAGAAAAATGTTGTTATTTATGAAAATAATTGTATTTTCTTGTGAAGAATTGTATTATTTATGAGAATAATTTAATTCCTATGAAAATTTTTACCAAAGTTTAAAAAATAATTGAATTTCTGAGAAAAATTTTGTTACTTATGGAAATAATTGAATTCTTGGGAAGAATTTTATTGAAATTTTTAGAAATAATTGAATTCTTGTGAAGAATTTTATGATTTAAGAAAAAATAATTGAATTCTTTTTGGAGAATTTATTAAAATTTTAGAAAATAATTTAATTCTTTGGAAAGTTTTATTAAAATTTTGTTAAAATAATCGAATCCTTTTGTAAAATTTTCTTAAAATTGTATTGAAAGTAATTGAATTCCTGCAATGAATTTTACTATTTATAAGAATAATAATTGAATTTTTCTTAGGAATGTTATTATTTATGAAAATAATTGAATTTTATTATTTATAAAAATAATTGAATTCCTGCAAAGAATTTTTTTTTAATTTTTGAAAAGAATAAACAATACATAATTATGTACTTAATACCTAAGTGAAATTTAGTTTTTGAATCTGAAATTATTAAAAAATTGAAGTTTATATTTGAAGATAAATAATTTTGTAATTTGCATAATACTAAATTAAATTCCATATTTGCTAGAAAATAATAAATATTTATTAGACAGTTTTACAATTGACGTCAAAAGAAAACTATAAGAAGTTGAATATTTTCAAAAGTTTAAATTATCGTTTTTAACAAATAGAGTTTAATTTATTATTAATGAATTAATCAATTTTTATTTTCACTTTAGATGGCATTGCAAGAGTTGCGGATTCGTGTCAGTCAATAAAAACTCACTGACTAGACATTGTACCAAAAGTCATGAGGGTCAAGTTCCTAATTTCGAATCCTTGCCAGTGAATGAGGAAATCGAGGAATGGGTCAACGTTTTATTGAGGCGTCAGACGGAGAAAATTAAAAAGTACATAGACACTTTAACTGGAAATTCAAGTGAATCAGGAAAATCATCACAAAATAGCGGCAAATCACCAATCAAGGCACAAAGTTCCTCGATTCATGTCGATTCCGAGGAAGATGCCAGTGACGATGACGATAATGAAAGCGATGACGAGGGTGGTCCTCCAGTCGTCAATGATGGTAAGACTTTTGAAATTATTTTTTCAACATCTCAAATCACTCAGGATTTGAAAATAATATTTATCTAAATATCTCAAATAATATTAATTCAATAAATAAATTCTGCTTTGTATTTATTTATTTTATTCTATTTGCATTGTATTCTTTTTCTTGCAAAAAATTTAAAGAACAATTATTTAAAATAGGAACTGAAGAGAAAAATCCATTGGAAACTGATGATGAAATTTCTGAAAATTCAATTGGTTCACTCAAAGCATGTAAGAATATTCGAGATAAATTGTCAGAAATAGTTTCTATCATGCACACATATTCATTAGAATTTAGTAATTGATAATTTGTTTTGTAGAAATCACAGAAAATATTGTATTAACACTTTTTTGTTTAATAACTAAAGGTGATAATTTTTATTGTTTCTAACATTCCAAGTTTATCTTCAATAATTCATTAACATTTGAATAATTAATATTAATTACTCTTCCCCTCCTGAATTAGTAAAATTGAGTAGTAATAATATTAGTTATTAAATTAATTAATAATTAATTATAGTGTAAGACAAACTTTATTGCTATAAAAGTTTAGAATTCATTTTAGTTATAAAATATAATATAATACTTTAAGATAGTAAAAAATATATTTTTATCTTTCAGGTGAGAAAACGGAATTGATTCTGGTCTGCAAGCATTGTCAGCAAAAATTCCCAAGCAAACGTGGATTCAAAATGCATGTCACCAAGCAGCACTTGAAAAAATACAAATATTTGTGTACCTATTGCGATCGAAGTTCGAATTTAGAATCAATAATAGAGCAACACATTCGTGCGAAGCACACTGGTCGCTATGTGAAAGCTATTCCCAACATTTTTGCTCAAGAAATCGAAATAAATGACGAATTCTGGGAGAGGGAGTACGGTGTTCCGCCAGGAAAGGAACGACGCGGTCAAAAACGTAAAGCCAACTTTGACGAATCTGGAGATAAATCAAAAGAATTGTCTTCATTTGTCTGTCGTGTTTGTCAGTTTGTTGCTCTAACGCTAGCCGGTTATATTTCTCACAAGAAATCACACAAAATGATTTATAAATGCGCCTACTGCTCGTATCATGCAGTCGTTAAGAATGACGTAAGAAAACATTCGAAAACTGAGCATCCACATTTATCGGCCAACATCGAGGAAATTGCTGTGAGTAACGATAGTACGATTCCACCAAAAATTGAGGAAACAAAACCAGTTGTGGAAAATCTACCAGTTCCATCGAAACCGAACCAGAGATATGTCTATTGGTGCGAATATTGTAATGTTCGATGTAAATCGTTGTTCTCGATCAAGAAACATTGGACTCGTCTTCATAAGGATCCAAGGCCACATGAAAATAATAAATGGAAAGTTGGACCTTTCAAGTTTACGATTGAAGAAGATCAACCGGCGCAGAAGAAGGAATCTATTCCTGGACTAATGAGTACAAACACAAATGTTACATCGAACGAAACTTGGGTTTGCGGATGGTGTAATGATTACTCGAACGGAAAAGAAAATATGGATCTTCATCATCGTAATTTCCATTCTCATCTTGAGCAAAAGTGCTCCTTGGTTGAATCCCGAGAGGTTTGTAATCTTTCTATTTTTTTTAAAAACGAAAAATCGAAAAAATACGTTTTTAAAACATTTTACTCTAAAGGTCACTTTTTTCATAATAATTTGCAGGCTTTGCATTCATCTACTAAAACAGGGTTGACACAGGTCAGGGAATTCAGGGAAAAGTCAGGGAAATTAGAATTGGTCAGGGAAATCAGGGAAAAGTCAGGGATTTTTATTAAAAGTACTGGAAAAAATTAAATTTTTAGAATTTATGAAAAAATTATGAATTTTAGTGTCTTTTTTGTTTGACTCATAAACTATAAAATTGACAAGAATTCTAATACAAAACCTTCAATTTTCTCTATTTCTAACAATAATTTCTTTTTAAATAACTTAATTCTTCAAGAATTATCATAAAATTATTATTTATAAAATATTTAATGAATAATTTTACTTAAAATTTTTTTAATTAATTGCATTTCAAAAGAGTTGCGTTTACAATCTTCATAAATAGATGAACTTCAAAGGTTTCAATTTGAAATTTTAGAAAATATCAATTTTTAATGAATTTAAATAGAAATTTGAAGAACAACTGATTTCAGAAATTCAATTATTTTCAAAAGTGATAAACTTCTTCGCATCAATTCAATTATGTTCAACAATTTAAAAAAATTCTCGTCAAAATTTCAATTATCTTTATAAATAATAAAATTCTTCTCCGAAATTCAATTATTTTCAAAAAATTTAATAAAATTCTTGGAAAAATTTCAATTATTTTCAAAAATTTTCCTCATTTCAATTATTTTTAATATCTACTATTTTAATAAAATTTTCCAAAAGAATTCAATTATTTAAACAAACTTTTAATAAAAATTTAACAAGATTTCAATTACTTAGCAATTTTTTATAAATTTCTTCGCACCAATTCAATTATTTTTAATTTTTTAATGAAGTTTCTCGAAAGAATTCAACTATATTCAGAGAATTGAAAAAAATAGTTCTGAGAAATTCAATTATTTCCAAAAAATTTTTTAAAATTCTATTATTTAAAAAAATTTTGACAAAATTCTTTACAAGATTTAGTTAATAAAATTGCAATTTTAATAAAATTTTCTTATACAATTCAATTATTTTCAATACAATTCTTCGTAAGAATTCAATTATTTTCACAAATAATAAATATTTTTTATGGGAATTCAATTATTTAAAAAAATTTGAATTAAATTCTTCGCAAGAAATCAATTGTTTTCATAAATAATATTTTTCACAGGAATTTAATTATTTAAAAAAAAATTAATAAATTTCTTCCCCAGATTTCAATTATTTTCAATTTTTTAATGAAATTTCTCGATAGAATTTAATTATTTTCGAAAAGTTTTATAAAATTCTGAGAAATTCTGTTATTTAAAAAAATTTGAATAAAATTCTTCACAAGAAATTAATTATTTTCATAAATAATAATATTTTTTTTCGGAAATTCAATTATTTTTAAAAATGAAATTCTTCACAGGAATTCAATTCTTTAAAGAAAGTAAGAAATATTCAATTATTTAATAAATTGTTTATTTTTGTATTTAAATAATTGAATTCTCGAAACTTTTCTAATAAAAATTGATTAAAAAATGAATATTACTTAAAATTTTAAATTATAATTTGAATATTAAAAGCATTGTAGCGTGAATTTTGAGAAATAATTGAATTTTGAAAAGGGTTCAAATTAAAATCTTTGAAAATTTGAATTTATAGTTACAATATTCTTATGATGTAAAATAATGATTTTATCACTCTGTCATCTTAAATTTATTATAAAACATGAAGAAAAGAACTCGAAGTGATCGATTTTTTCATGTTTTATAATAATATTCTTATAAGTTGTTGAATTTCAGAAGTTTTGAATTTTAAATATTTATTAAAAAAAGAAGTTATTGATGAAATAGAATAATTTTACAATTAAAGAAATTCGTGAATAAATGTAATAGAACATTTTTTGGAGTATCTAATAATTTTTGGAGTAAATCAGAATATTCTTCAGGGTCAGGGAAAAAGTCAAAATTTTGTCTGGAAATCAGAGAAAAGTCAGGGAAAAACAAAATCAAATTTTTGTGGCTACCCTGTAAAACCTAATATTTACTATTATTTTTTTTAACAGTTTGCGCGTAAAAATTATAAAATTTCCTTTAAAGTAAAATGTTTTAATAAATTGAACTAAACTTTGAAATTACCAAAAATTTAAATTAGAATTTTATTCTTTCAGGATCCAAAGGATCTTAAATGTCCCGAATGCAGTGAATTCAAGACAAAATCACAAGACTTAATGTTAAAACACATTACTCGTCATTTCAAGAAATTCCAATGTAAATATTGCGATAAATACTTTACAGAATCGTTTCAATGTACAGCTCATTGTGTAGCGGCACATCCTGAAAATGAGCCAAAAGTTGAAACAAGAAAAAATTACGATTCTCTTCTACAAGAAATGATGAAATTGGCGCAAAGGGGAATTTCAAGAAAGAATTCCGATTATGTTGGAATTGCCAAGAAATCAACAGCAAAACCTGTCGTTCGTGTTCGTCCATTCTCAAAGAAATTTAAATCAGTCGCGAGAAAATCCACAACTCCATTGCCACGATATCCATTGGGTATTAAATATCAAATGGAAGAATTTTCAAATTATGGAATAAAAACAGATCCAATTGATTTAGCGACAGTTAATACTTATATGGTTGTTGGCGGTCATCGAATGAAGGTAAATTGTACAACACTTTCACAGTTTATGAACATAAATCCAAAATTAATACTTGTCGATATCAAAGGAAGAATGAAATAAATTTAGGTTTTGTAGACTGATTCACAATTCTTAATGAATGCAAAATTCTCACGAATGAGAAAAAAAACTATATTTTTTTAGTTGTCCATTATGTTTCGCAGGGAAATTTTTCTTTACTAAATTATGAATTTTTCAAGCATAATTTACTCTATTTTTTGTAATTCAAATTATAGCCATATATTGTAAAAAAAAATGTGATTTCGAGTTTGATAAAATCTCGTTAGTTTTAATTCGATTCTTTTGTTCCTCAATTCAAGTAATTAGCTTGCGTTTTATTGTAAATTATCAATAGTTTTTTTTATGAATCTCAATCTCTATATACGAATTTTTTTCATTGTTTACTGGAGAGTATTTGAGAAAGGGAAAAAAATGTAAATTATTTTTCTGATTTCACAAATAGTGTATAATATAGAATGCATAATTTGTTATAAATATCAATTGTTTTTAACTTTACATTGGAATTGTAATTTGCAGTTTTATAAAAACTTGAAAATCGACAGTTTAATCGAAAGTTTAAATATTAAAATGTTTAAACTATTTTTATTTAAAAAAAGAGAGTTTTGTATGTAACTAAATAAAATTTAGTTTTCTTTTTTTTTTGCTTCTTTTGATAAAATATTGAAAATTTCTTTCAATCTATTAAATTGAGTGTTTCAGGTTTTTATTGTAACTGCAAAAAAACAAATTGATGTGTAGTTCCTTGTAATTTCTGTTTCCTTTCATTTCCCGAAATTTGTATGCTTAATATTATTTACCAATTTTTAATTATTCTCAAGAATGTATTTGGCCAGAAAAGTTTTTGGTAATAATATTTATCAAGAAAAAATGTGAATTAAAACAACTGTACATATTGTATCATATATAACTTTAAATAAATATTTTTGATTTTTGTAAACTGTTGTTTTCTCAAATTAAATTACATGTATACATTTTTTGAAAATTCAATTTTTTTTAGAAATAATATTAAGTATTTTATGTAGAAAAATGAGAGAATTGGTAATTTTTCTATTCGGTAAAATTAAAAGTTTTCTTAAATTAATTTATCTTGAATTTCTTTTATTAAAAAAATAAAAGAAGAATAAAGATTGTGTTAAACAAATTTTTTCTTTTACTCAATTTCAAATCTACCCGCGCTATTTTAACCAATAAAAATATCGTATCTGCAACGCATGCGCAGTTTCGTTTTATAATTGAAGTTGGCAGCACTGATCTTCTTGCTGGTTACAATTAAGTTACTATAATGCGGAAAAAGCAAAATTTACAAATTTGTTTATACTATTATATTTAAATTAAAATGCAACAAATTTTTATACAGTATTTGTTATAATTGTATAAAATGATTATATTATTCAATTTGATAATAATTTCCAATCTGGCTGTACTCAGTACGCCATTTTGCTTTTGAGAGCGTTGGTCGCGCCAAGACTTCTTCGTTCGACGTTCGACCAACCACGTGTTTCGAAATTCAGTTTAATTTCGAATTTCAATTTTTAGTTTTATGTCAATTAAATTAATCCTTTATTTCGGGAGTGTTCGAAAAAATTAAAATCGCGATCGTGATTACAAAATGTTGCCCACCCATTTCTCCAATTTAGCACGTGGTTCGGGAGTGCTAGAAATTTTTTAAATCGCGAGTGAATGTTTTTTGTTATACTCCAAAAATGACATCGTATACCGCTGTCACTGCAGTTTACAGAAATCTAGCTGCAAACTCTAAATAGAGGCGGTCGTATGAAATCTCCCAAAAATCAAATCGATCGAATATCCATTACATCGAATTTCAAAACATCGAATGCTCAATACATCGAATTTTCAAAACATCGAATGCTCAATATATCGAATTTTCAAAACGTCGATTACTCAACACATCGAATTTTCAAAACTTCGAATGTTCATTAGATCGAATTTTTAAAACATCGAATGTTAAATTGATCGAATTTTTAAAACATCGAATGTTAAATTGATCGAATTTTCAAAACTTCGAATGCACATTACATCGAATTTTTAAAACGTCGAATGCTCATTTCATCGAATTTTCAAATCTTCGAATGTTCATTTGATCGAATTTTCAAATCTTCGAATGTTCATTTGATCGAATTTTCAAAACGTCGAATGCTCATTTCATCGAATTTTCAAAACTTCGAATGTTCATTAGATCGAATTTTTAAAACTTCGAATGTTAAATTGATCGAATTTTCAAAACTTCGAATGCTCATTTCATCGAATTTTCAAAACATCGAATGCTCATTTTATCGAATTTTCAAAACTCTGAATGCTTATTACATCGAATTTTCAAAACGTCGAATGTTAATTTTATCGAATTTTCAAAACTTAGAATGCTCATTTCATCGAATTTTCAAAACTTCGAATGCTCATTACATCGAATTTTTAAATCATCGAATGTTAATTTGATCGAATTTTCAAAACGTCGAATGCTCAGTTCATCGAATTTTTAAAACATCGAATGCTCATTTCATCGAATTTTCAAAACTTCGAATGTTGATTTGATCGAATTTTCAAAACTTCGAATGCTTATTACATCGAATTTTCAAAACTCCGAATGCTTATTACATCGAATTTTCAAAACGTCGAATGCTCATTAGATCGAATTTTCAAAACTTCGAATGCTTATTTCATCGAATTTTCAAAACGTCGAATGCTCATTTCATCGAATTTTTAAATCATCGAATGTTAATTTGATCGAATTTTTAAAACGTCGAATGTTAATTTGATCGAATTTTCAAAACGTCGAATGCTCATTTCATCGAATTTTCAAAACTTCGAATGTTGATTTGATCGAATTTTCAAAACTTCGAATGCTTATTACATCGAATTTTCAAAACATCGAATGCTCATTTCATCGAATTTTCAAAACGTCGAATGCTCATTAGATCGAATTTTCAAAACTTCGAATGCTTATTTCATCGAATTTTCAAAACGTCGAATGCTCATTTCATCGAATTTCCAGAACTTCGAATGCTCATTTCATCGAATTTCCAAAACTTCGAATGCTTATTTCATCGAATTTTTAAAACATCGAATGTTAATTAGATCGAATTTTTAAAAAGTAGAATGTTCATGTCATCGAATTTTCAAAACTTCGAATGCTCATTTCATCGAATTTCCAAAACTTCGAATGCTCATTACATCGAATTTTCAAAACTTCGAATTCTCATTAGATCGAATTTTCAAAACTTCGAATGCTTATTTTATCGATTTTTCAAAACATCGAATGCTCATTACATCGAATTTTCAAAACTTCGAATGCTCATTAGATCGAATTTTCAAAACATCGAATGCGTATTTCGTCGAATTTTCAAAACTTCGAATGCTCATTAGATCGAATTTTCAAAACTTCGAATGCTCATTTTATCGATTTTTCAAAACGTCGAAAGCTCATTTCATCGAATTTTCAAATCTTCGAATGTTCATTTGATCGAATTTTCAAATCTTCGAATGTTCATTTGATCGAATTTTCAAAACGTCGAATGCTCATTAGATCGAATTTTCAAAACTTCGAATGCTCATTTCATCGAATTTTCAAATCTTCGAATGTTCATTTGTTCGAATTTTCAAAACTTCGAATGCTCATTACATCGAATTTTCAAAACTTCGAATGTTAATTTGATAGAATTTTTAAAACTTCGAATGTTAATTTGATCGAATTTTTAAAACTTCGAATGTTCATTTTATCGAAGAGAATTTAACATCTGAGTTTACTATCTATGTAATATGTTCTTCCTAGGGAATTTTGAAAGTGCGCGAGATTTGAAATCGTTATGGTAAGTGACAATTTTTTTATTGAGTAAAATTTTTTTGTTTGTTTACTAATTACTTGTCAGTAAATGTTTATTTTTTTGTTATATAAGTATCACTATTATTATGATTATTTTAATTTATATTATAGTTTTTATTATAAGGTAATTAAATTAAATTGTGGTTATCTATTACAATCATAGATGGCTCTAGTAATATGAATATGTGTTTTACAAATTTTTATAAATATTAATTTATTTATAGTATAATTATTAATATTGTTATTCTTATTATTGTGTAATTGTGAATTTATTATGTATATTTAATGTAATATTGATTTATTTAGAAGTCAGTAAGATGATCGTTAAAAAAAAGTAGTGAATATTTCTTATTTGTCTAAATATTTCGCTTCTAAATGAAGAGTTCAAGTTTCTTTTATCTATTTATAATGAATGATTGAATGAATGAATGAATGAATGAATGAATGAATGAATGAATGAATGAATTAATGAATTAATGAATTAATTAATTAATTAATTAATTAATGTGCATAAATTAAAATTATTTTCAAATTAAATAAAATATTGTGTATTGTTATTATTTTGTTATTTCTTTATATAGTGAATATTAAATTGCATTACTCTCTACTTTAAATAAGAAATAGATTCTATATGTAAGTAATACTTAAATTTTTATTGTAAATAAATAACAAGATTCCTACAGAAATCCGAAATTAAAATTCCATACCTTTTCCATGATTTATAGGTCAAACTTTTACGACATTCCAGTGCAATTTTAAATATAATTTCATTACTTTTGGGCTCTTCGAAAATAGTTTACTTATTGAATAGCCTCGACTCTTTGATAAAAAATTTTAAATTATCTAATATTATCAAAAATTCAAATATCCGAATTGCTTAAAATTCAACATTTTTTCCTCTTTTTTATGGGATTTAGCTTCATTATTTTTGGGCTCTTCGAAAACAGTTTACTTATTAAATAGTCTTGACTTATTATTATTATTATTATTATTATTATTATTATTATTATTATTATTATTATTATTATTATTATTATTATTATTATTATTATATTAATTATTATTATTATTATTATTATTATTATTATATTATTATTATTATTATTATTATTATTATTATTATTATTATTATTATTATTATTATATTATTATTATTATTATTATTATTATTATTATTATTATTATTATTATTATTATTATTATTATATTATTATTATTATTATTATTATTATTATTATTATTATTATTATTATTATTATTATTATTATTATTATTATTATTATTATTATTATTATTATTATTATTATTATTATTATTATTATTATTATTATTATTATTATTATTATTATTATTATTATTATTATTATTATTATTATTATTATTATTATTATTATTATTATTATTGTTATTATAAATTCGAAATAAAATCACATTTTATATTAAACAAAATTATATTTTTATTTATAATTGTAGAACTACATACATTTTATTTTATAATCGTGAATAAATCTTTGAAACATTAAAAGTTGTTATACTTTTTTTATAAAATTTACATTACGATAAAAGTTTAGTGTGAGTGACTGAAGAAAACGGTGATTTTTAGGAATTTTTTTCAGGGAAATTATTGCATCTAATTTTTTATACAGTTTTGTACATGTATACATATTTCCCCAGTAGCACGTAATATTACAGCGATATTGGGAACATTGCCTTAACATTACCAATATTGCCTCAATGTTGTGGCATATTGCTGGGATGTTTCCAATATTACGTGCTACTTGGGTTGTATAAATAGTCAACATTTTGTAATTTTTTCAAAGAAAAATATTCTTTTTTAATTAAGAGTTATTCGCTATATAAAAAAAAATCCAGTTTTCCCACTGCGCTGCAGTGATTGCGGCCTTCTCAGTAACCTAAATAAAAAAAACCAAAAAGATTATTAAACTAGAAGATATTTGCCGTACAATGAGGTTTCAGTTTTTTTAATGCATGAAAAATAAAATTTTAAAATAAAAGTAAAATAAAATCCGAACCATCGGATTTTTTTTGGCGAAAATGAAAAGCTTTTTCAAAACTCCACCATTTTGTTGCAATTCAAT